CTTGTACTTCTTAAAATTTTATAGCATATACTGTAGGTCCCTGTGCTTTACATTATTGTAACAATCTCGGGGATAACCAATGTGGTGCCCTCCAGATGTTGCCCTGCAACTCCCATCACTCCTGACCATTGGCCATGTTTATTAGGGCAGGTGGGAATTGCAGTGCAACATCTGGAGAGCACAAAATTGGCTACCCACTTTATTTTATCAAAGAGAACAAGGGTAGTCAACATGGTGCACTCTTACATTATGGACTATGATCAATGGTGGCGGTGATGGAAATTGTAATGCATAACATCTGGAGGAGACCACACTGGCTATGGCTAAGAGAGAGACTAGAAAATATAGCTTGTGGTTCTTTTTTCCAGGTAAAGTGATTATTTTAATTACTCCCCTGCTCCTTCTATTTCTGGATCCAAGCCTTATCTGTTCTAAAGCAATGCTATTCTAATGTTAAACCATCTTCCTGTCTCACTCCACAGGTGGCTACATTTAAGGGAAATCCGATGTAATGTTTGAAAACCACACACAGAAAGGGCTTTGGGACAGTGAGGGATGAGAAGGGTGATTCATGTGCTTTTCTCGGGACACACAGTAATAATAAGACCTGCTTTAATCTCGGGCACCACAGATTAATTTGTCAAAAATCTCCATAATAAAACAAGCCTTTGCTCCAGGCAGAGTTATTATCATTGCTACATTAGTTTGACTTTATATTGAAAACCGCGGTGCTCAGTGCAACTGACTCTTGTACCTTCTACTCATAATTCTCAGCTGCCTCTGATAATATTTTATTCCCATTATCTGAATAAAGTCTTGCACACAATGTTAAAGAGCTGTACTGAGAAATTAGGTGCATTGTTGATGGCAATTCCATATATTTTTTTGTTATGGTGTGATGAACAGGTAGACATGATTTAGGGAGAAAATAGCATTGCAGGCCACATTGGCCCACCTGTTGGGTTAGTTAAGATTGGCTTGTGGGATGGAGGTTCCCCACCCTTGCTATGGATAGACCATGAGCTGTAACCAAAGTTTGTTCTTTATTTACTTCCTGTGCTTGTTTGGAGGAGACAAAACATGAACCTGGATTCAGATGACTTGCTAAGCAAAATCATGGTTTAGCCCTGAATAGCAGAATCCACACAAAGCCGTATTTTGGTTTAGTGTCACATGCAAACAGAGCCAGGGTTATCTTTTGCAGCTACATTACTCTTGTTACCCCTGGAGGTGGATCCCTGCAAACATGGCTAACAGTGTAATGAACATGTGCAGATGGCTGCCCATACAACCAAAAAATGTGTGTGTGTTCATTCTGACCAGATAAGTTACCGTTTCAATCACTTAACACAGGTGTTACAACATTACGGGAACTGTGAAGCAGGTAAGATAGGTAATGGCTTCACAGAGCTCACTGGTACAACCAATGCTTGCAAGCCAAAGGTTCCAGGTTCAATCTGGTGCCTTCCATGTAGGGCTGGAAAAGACTCTTCCTCAAATTCTGGACAGCATCTGCCAGTCAGAGTTGACAATATTGAGTTAGGTGGAACAATGGACTGACAGTTTCTTACTTCCAGGACTTCTGCTGCTTTGGAGGTTGGATGCCGTCATAAATGATAGAGTGGAGTAATTTCTATCAAATATTCATTAGCTGTACAATTTATTTGGATTCATGAATAAACCACTCCTGTAATGTTTCAGTTTTAGTTACTTGTTTTTGCATTGGCTTTAAATGAAATGTTTTATTAGTTGTGCTAAAGTCTGTAATAAACCGTCAGTAATATTTATTTTGAACTCTTTTCAATGTAAATAATGTAGGTATCTTGCACCAAGTCAATAAATACATGCATAGCAACATAGAAGGGCAGCTGTACTGACTATTTTAGAGCAAGGCAGCTTACACCGAAAATGTTGAATTAGATAAATAATGTAATAAAAACAGCATCGGATAAAATTATGTACAGCAATACCATAAGTCCTTGAAAGAAATTATACTTCTTTTTAATTTGGGCAGGTATTCATGGACTGGGATTAGATTGACCCAAGAGGTTTTTCTATATTATTTGCATTTTCCCTATAGAATGTATTTTACCTGCTTAAGTGCTTAGGAAATTGTGGGAAATAAATGCTGATATATGTCACAGCTGTTTTACCACTCTGTTATTCTTTTACAGGAATTACAGAGAATTTGGGTACTTCAATAAATGAGCCAGCAGAGGGCAGATTTACATCTACTGTTGAATTGAGCATGCACTGAGCATTCTGGCTTTTAAGAAAGTAGAATTATTACTGCTCAACATTAAACAATGCCCATCTGAAGGTTACATGTATTATTGTGTGTTTCTCAACTGAAATATTTGCTTATAATTGCCAAATAAGTATAGTGCAGCTGCTTGTTTCTTTGTTTAAATGATAATTTCCCATCTTTTTAACACATAGGAACATATTTCCACAAAATATGACCCTACATTTTTTGGAGTTAATTTGCCTAATTCTGCCCTCCCCATCTTAATATATTCAGTTCTGTAGTATCCAATGAATTGCCCTGTGGTATAGATTAATGAAATTGCTCTAATATTTTTAATAGTTCTTCAAACACAGTAGTACATTTTAACTTACCTGATTAAAATTTGCCTTTAAAGAGACTTAACTTTGTATTGTTTGAAACAAAAGAGTCTTGCGAACAAATTGATGATAGTGTTCAATTTTTTCAGCAATTGCCTTTAAACTTTGCAATCTTCTCCCAGTTCTGTCATGACTGTTATTTTCACTGAGGACCCCTCAGAATACCCAGATCAACCGTTTGAAAATTGTTGGAGTGTGGGAAAATTCTACAGTTGTAACACTCAAGATACAAATCAACCCAACTTAAGAAAATTAAAGTGGGGGAAGGGAAACAATTAAGCTGTACAATTAGATTCTGGATGTCCATTGTGATAACCTGAAAAGTTAAACAAAACCACATTCTACCTTGGATCAAAAAGGTGTCTTAGTGTGTGAAATGTTTTAGAAGGGGCTTGGAGAACTGGAAACAGATATTGTACTAAGAAAGGTACAAGGCTAAGAAAGCCTTGTATATTTTCTGTCAAGCACACACAGTTTATTCAGAAAGATATCTCCTTGACAGGCTATCTGCATACGATGGTTCCCAAGAAATATACAAGCTGGCAAGGATACCGCATGACATTTGAGAAGCGTAAAGCACAAAAGAACAACAAACAACAGAAGCTTGAAAGTGATCTAGAGAAAAATATTCAAAACCTGTCTGACTGCAGCAGGCTACTCTTAAGTACCAGCCTTGATACCAGATGCTAGAAAGGTAAAGGGCCATTCATAACATGCCAGAGCTGCTAAATAAACCCTTAGTAATGAGGCTTGTGGAGAGGGTCCAATACACAACACAATACTCTGAAGTGCTCCAGTGAGAAAAAGGCTTGAAATAAGGCTGAATGATCTTGAGAACAAGAGCGACAGAATGTCTCCAATGAGCCAAAAAAGTATAGTTTCCCTTTCAGGCGTAGTGCAATAGAGCAGCTCCAAGAATGGAAAACAAAATGGACAGTGGGGGAGGAGGGAAAGAGGAAAAAATTCTCTGTTATCTTCAAAATGAAACCAGTGATTTGTAAGCTTTGTGTCCACCCATCCTGCAAGCAGCTCAAAAGCCTTGAATCAAATAGCTGTGGCACACTATTGTTTTAAATCCGGGTGGGGGAACATGCAACCCTCCATACGTTGCTGGACCAGTAACCCCAGGCAGCCAAGCCAGGGGTGATGGGAGTTGTAGTCCAGCAACATTTGAAGGGCCACAGTTTCCCCAGTGCTATTTTATATTTATAATCATGGTTTGCTCTTACAACCTTCCCCCCCAAAAGCTTTTAGTGTATAAGAAGTAAAGTTTGCAGGCAATTCTAACAAACAACTGAATGAAATAATTTAATTCCTAGTTTCAGTGTGACTTGGAAATAATCATGTTGCAATGATACAAGGGAAATTTTAGGTTGCTTTTATTCTAGTTTTTACACTTGTTTTTGATGTTGTTTTGAGTTCACCTTTCTGGGGGAAAAGAGACTCATAATTAACATCATTCCCATATAGACCAGATTTTTAGAGTCTGGTCAATTTGTGCTGTAATCTTGTACCCACTTACCTGCAAGCAGTGCTTTTTGTCTGGGGGTATGCAGGGGTACGCATACCCCTAAATTTTTTGTGAATGTAATGGGACAAGAAACTATTTAAAATTAAATAAAGTAGTTTCTTCTCTCGTCAGTTCCTTTGCTAGTCCTGATGGCGGCCTCATTTCCTGTCACAGAGTTTCCTGAGTCTTGGACAGAAGCAAGTGTTTAATGTGTGAAGTAGGAGTGGGAATCTAGCACGGTGATTGGTCAGTTTCGTTGTTACCACCTCCGATGCGGCTTCATTTCCTTTCCCGGAAAGGAATCGGGAAGATGTTAGTGCATACAACCTCATGCCAATGTGGAAGTAACTGTGAGCTGTCAGCTGTGTAATATGATGCATGTTCTTTGTACTGTATTTATTTTTCCTGATTTGAACTATAAAATGGTGATTTTCTTGAGTCAAAATGAGAGTACCCCTAAAGATTTTTTTTTAGAAAAAAAGCACTGCCTGCAAGTAAGCCTCATTGAATTCTGTGGGACTTATACCTAAGTCACCAGCAGCACCAGTTGGCCCTCAGTGTTTTCCTGATATTATTTCCTTGGGTGCTCTGGTATACAGGAAGCTTATGCAGGGACTACATTCTGGGGATAGTGCATAAAGCCAAAATTGCATACAGTGGTACCTCGGGTTACAGATGCTTCAGGTTACAGACGCTTCAGGTTACAGACTCCGCTAACCCAGAAATAGTACCTCGGGTTAAGAATTTTGCTTCAGGATGAGAACAGAAATTGTGCTCCGGCAGCGCAGCAGCAGCGGGAGGCCCCATTAGCTAAAGTGGTGCTTCAGGTTAAGAACGGACCTCCTGAACGAATTAAGTTCTTAACCCGAGGTACCACTGTGTAGTCAGAATAAGCGATTGGAACATCCCTACGTGACCGTCCTTACCTTCTGGAGCATGGCAGAGAGATTTTAAGCATCACCCAGCTCTCTGCCTTGCTTACCCTCCTGTGAGATTGTAGCCCCAATGTCTCCCTGTTTCTTCCTGCTTCTTACTTTATTTTATGCTTTTTATTGAAAATATAAGACATTTGTTTCTTTCCTCATATAAGAAGCTTTCATTCTTTGCAAAACGATTCTAATATTGCCAGGCATCAAAAGAGCAAGAAGACCAACTAGTCTGAAGCCCTGACAGTTTGCTAATTATTCCTGCACCCCCAATTAGTGAAAAGAAGACACATTTCTGTCTTTTTACACCCATCATGGGCCTCTAGCTTCACCTTATTAGGTTAGTAAAGTGTGACAAGAGCTCTCTGGCCTTCAGTAGAAGACGGGCGGCTGGCATCAAAGCCAGGAGAACAATAATTTTATTAGACTCAGACATTCTTCATGTAGCAAAATAATACTGGCAGGGAATAAGATCTTGTGAGAACCCAGTAAGCAAGGGAGAGAGCTTAAAAACTCTTTTTGCGCAGGATTTTGCGTGTGTTTAATTTGTGCAATTTCAACTGGTGAGCCGTCCATCAAGTAAAGTTAAGAATCACACAACTTAAATGTGCATAAGTTGTGAGTTACCTGTACCTTCTCCCTTGATCTGGCCTTGCCCTGAGGTGTGGTGAATTCTGTCTGCGTCTTGGAATCTACTTTGCCCCACCATTGCAAATACTACTCCTGTTGATGGGCAGAGGTGTTCCTTTACTGTAGACTGCTTTCCCCCCTCTTTCCTTTGCTGTTGGCTTTTAACAAACCTGTTCTTTTACTGCTTCTTTCAAGGCATGTCAGCAGTTCTTTGGCCCTTCTCACCAGGGAAGTGGTTGTGGCTTTCGCTGATTGTTCTTTGTTAAAAAAAGAAAGAAAAGGCAGTTCTCAAATCTGTCAGCTAGTTCCACTTTCTCTCCATTTACATATAATGATATTTTTCAGAGGGTAATGTGTTAGCCAGTTGCAGCAAATGCAATGGGTCTTGTGGCATCTGAAAGACTAAGAAATTACAGCAAAAGCTTTCAGGGGCTACAGTCCTTTTCAACAGATGCACCATGTGTTATCCTGAATTCCAGCTGTTGTATGCATATGTAAGCAGAGGGTGGGATGTCAGAGGGTAATTAAATGCAGAAAGTACAGAAAATGATAATTAAGAACAGTGGCTGTTCACAAAAAAAGTTGTTGGTGGATAACACAGACATTCCAGCAATAGCACACCAATTAACACATGTAGTGTGATAAAAACAGCAACAGCGACAACACTTTATCCTAATTTAAACCACAGGAGACAAAGCCAAGTCTCTCTACCTGATACCTACCGCAGTGGGATGCATGTTTGCCTTGAGTTGCCAGGCCCATGTAAGCGGTGGCTGACTCCATTTTGAAACCTTTTACAATGACTTGAAATAAAGTTGTCTCTGACCCAGAATTCCATTTTTGCCAGCCAGCACACAAAAGCATTTGCCTACAGAGACTGGTGTGTTTCTACTTTCAAGGTCCTTTTGCCTGTTTTAGAGGTATTTTCTTCCTCTTTTATTTAAACGACACATGAATTCTGATTTCCTGTAAAGTAAAATTAATGTTATTTTTAAAAAATTATAACGCAGAACCTTCATTTTGGAAATTCTCTACCTACTCTTGTATGAAAACTCACGCTACTGAGTAGGGTGGCCCGATAACATTGGGTTTATTATGTCAGAAGGGAATGTAAGGCATCTCTGTGGCCCTGAAAATACCTGCAGTGTACTAAAGTGCAAAAACAAACCAACCCACAACATTTTCTATGGTTACCAGATGTCCCCGGGGACAGTCCCTGGATTTACAAACCTGCCCCCAGACAAAATCCGTCCCCGGAATGTCCCTGGATTTCATTTAATCTCCCCGGATTTATATTTTAAGTGTTGTAGATTTATTAGTAGGGAATGAATGTTGCATGATTGGTTCACCGGCACAAGACACATTATATCGAGACTTCCGGCAAGGCAAAATGGTGGGCTCCACAGCAGCGAGCAGCTCCTGAAGCCAGCCAGAGCCAACTGTGCTACCAAGCTGGCTCCGGGCTGCTGAGACTGCCGCACCACTGCCACTGCCAACGGGGAACTGGGGACGCCCGGCGCGTCAACTGGGGGAACCGCTGACCCCCCCTCCCCCTGTGACCCAAATTGAGCCAGGAGTGAGAACATTCAGCCACCTGGCTGACTGCCCGGTGGTGCTCCGGGGCCGGGAAAACCCCGGAGCCAACGTAGGGAGAAGGAGGAGAGGAGAAGGAGAAGGAGGAGAGAGAAAGAGGAAGGAGAAAAAAGAGGGGAGCCCCGACCTTACCGCCACCACCGCCGCCACTGAGCAGGAGAGGTACAAGGTACAAGAGCACTGTGAGGGCAAGGATACGTGGTCAAGTCCAGGACCTACGCAAGCTTCCTCCATGGTGGCTAGCACTCCAAGAGAGCAGACCAGGGCCCAGAGGAAGGCCGCGCAACAGAGGAATCACAGAAGAGAAGATATTACTTATTTTTTAAATAAAAACATAACTTTTAAAAAATTACTTTTTTTTCTCTTTTCAAAAAAAAAAAGTGTCCCCGGATTCTTTGGGGAAAAAATCTGGTAACCTTACCTTACATGCAGGTAAGGGATCAGCTGCAGCAAGGTGCAGAAACCGGGGATAAAATCTTGCTCACTTCCTCTTTCCATGAGCAAGCATGACAAAAAATGAGGACATTTTCTTATTATCCTATATTGATTCCTGTTTCACATTTCATACTGTACATTTCCAAAAAGAGAGCAAAATACAGTATCCTCCTTTCTTTTATGAACTAACATAGCTCTGTAAATTTGTTAATTTTCCTAGTAAGAGATGGGTGGGGGAGGTTTTTAATCCTGGTTTCCACGTTTCAGGAACTTCAGTGTGGTGTAGTGGTTAAGAGCGGTAGTCTCGTAACCTGGGGAACCGGGTTCGCGTCTCCGCTCCTCCACATGCAGCTGCTGGGTGACCTTGGGCCAGTCACACTTCTTTGAAGTCTCTCAGCCCCACTCACCTCACAGAGTGTTTGTTGTGGGGAAGGAAGGGAAAGGAGAATGTTAGCCGCTTTGAGACTCCTTAAAGGGGAGTGAAAGGCGGGATATCAAATCCAAACTCTTCTTCTTCTTCTTCTTCTTCTTCTTCTTCTTCTTCTTCAGTAAAGCACATATAAAATACATAACAACTACACTACAGTCTTTCTGGCATCAGGTTATAAAATTGTTACTGGCCCAGAGAGTGTATGACCTCTGTTCTACTTCAATAGTTTTGTGTTTTTGTTGCCTCTCAATCTTATTCTTGCTTGAAAAATATCATGTTGCTTTGTTATATTGTATTTTAAAGTTTGATTGGGCACTGCACTGGAATCCCCTGGACAAGGGGTGTCCTAATTTTTTCTTTATAGTAAAAATTAATTAAATTAAATGGCTTAAGCCATGGAAAGCTTTAAAAAAACTAACAGTAAGAGGAACAATTCCCATCGTTGAGTAAGGTTGCTAGGTAACGGTGACATGTCCTCCTTTGTGACATGGCCTCTTGCAGGATTACTTGCCAGAGGTCTTTGGTTAGAGCAGGTCTTTGAAGGGAGTTAGATATTGTGCATGTGGTAGTTTAGGAGTTATAGCATTAGTTGAAGAGTAATTTTATTTGTTAGAGAGTTGTTGCATTACTGAGAAAGGTAAAGTGATACAAAAAATCATAACATCTTTTAAACTGTAAATAGAATTTCTTAGTGACTTCTATTTTCTGGTTCCGTCACAATTCATGAAGGTTCAGAATGAGATGAGAATCTCCTGTAATGGCTCTATTCATCCCCCCCCAAAAAAAACATCCTCAGGACCAGTTTAAACGCTTCAAATGATCCATGTTTAGGCAAGATCCTTTGGCAAGCTGTTCTCAGTGTGTCCAACTCCTTGCTACATTCTCCACAAGATGCCTATGACCAAATTCATGTCAAGCCCATAGGTATCAGGTGCCCCAAGTTGAAAGCAGCGATATAGAGCATGAAGACATTACAACCTCACTTTCTCCCAACTCTGTCCTAAACTGAAAAGCATCAGAACGAGGTGTGTGTCATGGCAGGGCTTCTGCCACTTGAAGCAGCGTCCTCACTTGCCTCATGACTGGGCCTGATCTGTCTGCAGTCTCCCTTCCCCCTGCTGAAATTAGGGCTCCATCTGCACTATATGTTTAAAGTGGTATCATACAGGGTGTCCTCATCCAATCACCACCCCATGATTCCACCCCCTCCATTTAATCGGGATTCAAGGTTTATGCGGTTGGCAAGGGCGTAGGAAGGGGGGGGCGGTGGGGGCGGATCGCTGTCGGGGGAATGGAGGGAGCTGCGTCGCTTTGCCAGCAGCATTCCCCCCTCCCTTTCATTTTGACAGGGAGGCTTGGGAGTCACGGGCGGGCCATGCGCCAAATGTCACTCTCCCTCAGCGAAGAAACCCGGGGAGTCACGGGCGGGCGGTGCGCTGAATGTCCACCATGGGTGGCTCGTTCCACCCCCGGCTGCAGGGCGCATGCATCGCTCTGTGCACCCGAATGGCCCCACCCCCTCGGGAGCGCGCCCTGCCCCCCTGGGCAGCGCGGGCGTATGCTCCGCCACTGGCAGGAAGCAGACCCTTCCCACAGAAGCACTAAATCTGGATTAAACAGGTATACAATATGCTCTGCCCCTGAACTTCAGCCCTTCCCCAAGCAAAAGCCAACCATTAACAGTAAGAGACCACTGATCAGAATCAAAAATCAAAAGCAGTTGTTGCTCTGCCACCAAAGGCATCGTGCAGCAACCATGTGATGAAAGGTTAGCAGCAACAGGGCCAATAGGCCTTTCTGAGTGGCATTCTATTACACTTATGGATGCCAATATATTTTTTTAAGTATGTGGCAATAAATAATTATGCTTTTCTTGGCACATTACGCTGGTATTTTTTCAAAGTGCAGAGTACACCCTGCTTGTTGTCAGCCATATTAAATAATTTTTTCAAAGTCACAGAAAAGGAACGGTGTCTTTGCCCCTTCTGTCTCTTTGTCTCTCAAGATGTCAAGCTCATATGTTGCTCTTATAAACTCTGTGCTAGGAAGGTTTTAATGGCTGACAGTTTGAATAATACGCTATCACTTCTCAACACGCTCTGATTAAACTTGGGCAAACAAGGCATTGCCTAGGAAAATCTACAAATCACCCTTGATGATTCATTTGGCCAAGCTGAATCACTTAAACTGATTGCACCAATTGTGCTGTCAGAAAAAAAATTCAATTAAAGAAACAAAATAGCAGCCACAGCATCAAGAACAACAACAAATTGATTACACTCCCAACGTTTTGATATGTTGCTGTCTGCTGAAGGCTGAAAAATAGACAGGTGAAATGCAGTCCTCTGGGATCGAAGTTGCTCTCTGGCATAATTGGCATCAGAAAACTAAAGCGGATAAGTGCACAGCATGTGTAAAACAATTGTGTCCTCATGGTGGCATCATTTATTGCCATTCTAGAAAGGTATCCGGTGTTGGTTTAGGGTATTTTGCTAAAACACTATACGTACAAAATAAAAAATGGTGGTATAGTGGCTTGCAGTCACAAATGCAAAGAAGGATTTGTATTCCCATGTGTCCTGGGAATTTGTCTGTGTAGGAGTTATCATCCAGGTTCAAAAGAAATTATGCAGGCATGCAACAGTGCCTCCATTTAATTCAGAGACAGTACAGTTTGTGCTTTGCATGCAGAAAGCCTCAGGTTCAATCCCCCGTATCTTCAGGTAAATCTTAGATTGCAGGATTAGGAACGAATCTCTGGTTGCTTCCAGATAACCTATTTCTGAGCAGTCATCCCAATTTGTTTGCTGGGGCCGTTATATGACATCACTTCAAGTACTTGTTGTTCTAATTGTTTAAACTGTTTAGAATTGCTTTTCACTGCTTTTTAACTTGTGTGCTTTTAAATTTGGGGTTTTTGTTGTTGCTGTTTAAATTCCATAATTCCTTATGTCCCTTAAGATGTGCCTGGGAAGAGAGGAAATGGGAAGAGTCCAGAAATCATCACCTCATCCCAGCCCCCAAAATTGGTCTGTTTGCTGCTTCCTGGGTGAGCCTCAGCCACCCAGACAGACGACACAAGTTGTGAGAGTAGATATTTTCAAACTGAGCATTGAAAGCCAGTAATAGTGAGATGGTTTCTAAGGCACTGGAACTGCCCACCTAGCCATTGCCCTCCTACCTGACACCCAATTTGATGTTACATTATTTTTGCTAGCCAGCTTGCGTTTCTTGGTTGGAAAAGGGAGCTGATTTGGATCCAATACTATGGAAGAGGGGGGTAAGGCAGCAGACCTCTCCCTACTACTGCACCACAGCCTCAGTCCAAACTGAGAGTGGGGAAAGGGAGAAAAGTGGGAAGTACTAACCACAGATCTCCTAAGCAACTTCTACTTTGGTCCTTTGTGTAAGACTTGCTTCACTGGATCATTGTGAAAATCCATCAGATAAATGTATGCTGTTACTCAATATACAGTAAGTGGAACCGCGTGTCATAAGAATGGGACTGCTGCTTACCTCTTGACCAGACTTCCCAGAACTCCCATATCCATCATCTCATTCTCCACTTACCCTTCCTTCAGGCTCTGCTTTCTTAGCTCATGACACTGCACTCTTCCTTCCATCCCCTTTCCATTTCTACCAGGGGCAGCGCACCCTGTTTCGTTGCCTGATGTGAAATGGTAAGGTGCTATCCTGCCCCAGCCAAAACTTCCCTTATCTAGGTCATCCGCCACTGCCCATGAAGCAGCAACCACACTGGCAGGTTCTGGTGAAATCTCAAGCTCTCTAGTGAGGGTGGGAGGTGAACTTGGTTTGAGCACAGATCAATACGGAAAACAACAGCAAGAGAATCAAGAAGAAAACTACAGAAAGTAGGTAACAGCAAAAACAATTTATTATTTATATACCGCCCACCTGACTGGGTTACCTCTCTCTGGAGATCATCATGTGGGGAAGCATGATTTGCTTTTGAAGTGCTTAGGCTGTGTGTCTTCACCTATGCTCAGCCAGTATAACCACACAAATAAATTATACATTTATTAATGTAACTGAAGCCAAATACTACATAACGCCATAAGCCTCCAGTGACTTTCTTCCAAAGGAACCAATTCAGGTATTAAGTGCTACGCTCCAGAAATGCCTCACTGTTTGGAGTAGGGCAAACATTGCATTATTGTTTCCTAGAAAACACTAGGAATTTCTATGCATGAAATGCAGGGGCCAGGCTAGATATTTTGTGACCAGTCGTCAAGACAAGTTAGTTATCGGGTAGCGAGCTCTATAAAATCACAAGTAAACCTATAAAGTGTATCTAGGTGAGCATATGATCACCTACATGTCTCATAAAGTGTAGTAGACTTGAGTGGAGTAGGGCATTCATTTAAATCATGCTGATTTCCAGCCACATGGAATTTGTGGAGTTGGAAGTGACCACGAGGATCATCTTGTCCAACCCCCTGCAATGCAGGAATATTTTGCCCAATGTGGGACTTGAACCCACAACCCTGAGACTGTGGTAGTCTCAAGCTGTACCAACTGTCATAGGAAGTGGTGTAAACCTGTCTAGGCCTAGTTAGTCTGTTAATAATTAACGGATTCTGCATTGTCCACAATCCCTATTGAGCTGGCACATTATTCTTTAAATATGTTGGAAATGCAGGGTACCATTTGAAGTTCCAAGGCTGGAAGATGGATTGGAGAATATTTTTTCTCTTAGAAGATATGGCATGTCCTAAGAGGTAGCAAAATTTATAAAGAAATAAAGGTAGGGACTGAAGTTGTAGGTTATCTACAAAAAACAACACATCATCCGTATACAAATCTATTTTCTGCTCAGTCCTTTTGAATTACAGTCCCTTTACAGAACTTTTTCTGTTGCAGTATAAATGCCAAAGGCATCCTCATGAATGCCAACTCATTGTTTAGTGCTATTTTTGTTCTATTGGTTATGTTGTGTACCCCAACGTACAATGCCAGTGAAGGAAAAAGTATTTGAAAACACAAAGTTTTTAAAACACGAAGTACCTTTTCATGAGGTAGCCAGCTTCCTTGCCCGTCTATCATATCTAGCAAAAGCAGAATAAAACTGTGTGTCCCATTTCTTGTCCTCCTGCAGAACATCAGAAATAAGTTTCTGCTATTGTTATAGCCCAGTTGATAGCCATGGAAGGATACAAACTAAAATTAGGCGTATTCAATTACTCTCAAACCTTCATTGGCATATAGACAAAATTCCCAAATGTTCGGTACAATAAAACCACTCAGCAATATCTGCATCTAACAATTAAAATACTGTTGTATAACATTCACGAATCCTCATTGCTTGTTGCAATGTTACTATCTCCATCTTATCTTAGGCTTATTCATGAAACAGGGTTTGTTATTCTGAAACCGCATTTTCCATTTTTGGCAGAGAAACACCAAGCAAATGATCCCTGCCAGTATGCTTTGCACTCTTCTGAAGAGTTTGGTCCCTCTTGAGAGACCGGTATTATGCAAAGCACTGGGAAATTCAGGAAACATGAAAGAAGTACTCCAGCCTTTTTGTTTCCTTCTGTGAACACACAAAAATCCCAGCATACTGCCTCAGTGATCCTCTCTCTCCAGCATATCTACTGAAACAGGGCTGGTCTGCCCATAAAGCGAGGCAAGACAAGGCAGTGGCCTCAGGGTGGCAGGCGCCAGACAGCACATATCCAGCCTCCGCAGCAGTCTGAGCCGCTGGCGAGGGAGGCAAGGGGAGGGAGAAAGACGGTCCGCAATGAGGGCAGACCTGAGGGCTGTGGTGTCCTGTTTGCAAAGGAGGAGGCGACTGCCAGAGCCTCTTGCCTCTCTTCAGTGGGCGACAGCAGCACCTTCCACCCCCCTTCCTCTCTGCCAGCCCAGGGATGGGGCGCATGAGGGGAAGGAGGCCCTGCCGCTACCCCAGTCATGAAGGCTCGGCCCAGGCATGGCTTGACAAATGAGGGAGTCTGTTATGTACTGAGTTGAATAGGATCCAAAATGCAGCAGTCTGATTGGTCCTAGAACAATAGGATTCAGAATCCAGCAGTCTAATTAGTCCACAGGAGCAACCCAATCCAGCTCCAGGTTGAAGTGAATCCGCAACCTGATTTGCCTACAGGAGAATCCCGGAATAAGCCAATCACGTGGGGCCCATTGTGTAAATATTGTATATAAAGCAGACATTCTGGGGGAACCTCCATTCCTCCTCACCACGATGAGCTGAATAAGAGCATGAAATCCACTCTCCGAGTATATTTCAGAGCCTGTCATGAGGGCTCCTGGTTGCTCCCCCTCGTACCGTTTCAAAAAATCTGCACCCGGGGCCACAGCCCTCTTGCCCTCCCCACGCTATGCCCCTGCCTTCTCCACTGTGCACCTACTGTGGTGGGAATATGCGTGGCAGCAGGTGCGCAGTGGGTGCACAGTTGAGGAGGGGGGCCATTTTCTGATTTGCCTCTAGCGGCCAAATGTCCCAAGCCAGCCCTGTACTGAAAGTTCCTTTATGGTTTTGAGCAGAAGTCAAGCCACTCTCTCCATAAGGTGACTGAACTCTTAAGTAGTGCAGTGCTAAGCTGAAATATTAATTTGTGCGTGGGGTGGAGGCGGTGATGACATTTGCTAGAAAGTAGAGTGCCTCTTCTTGTAAGTACCAGCCCATATGCCAGGGAAAGAGGTGACTAAGAAAACTTGAGGTGGAAGGTCATGTGACACCAGCTTTGTCTAGAGATCAAAGTGGAGCAACAAAACAAAACAAAACCCTGCTACAGTGCTTTTCTCTGGGGGGACACAGGGATATGCATACCCCTAAACATTTTGTAAATCTGAGTTTGGCCTCATTGAGGAGTAGTATTTCATATGAGTAGGAAAATTAGAGTACCCCTAAACATTTTTTTTTTAAGAAAAAAAAAGCACTCCCCTGCTGTATACTAAAGGGCCTATTAGCATAGTACCCTTAGCATAGTAGGATAAAATTGTTCTTCTACGTTCCTCATGTCATATCATCATCAGGGCTTTTTTCCAGCCGGAACTCAGTTCTGGCACTTTTCAGGTGGGCTCCATTACCATTATAAGAGAACAAGTGAAGTGTTCATGGTGAGTTCCAGCACCTCTTTTTCTACAAAAATAACAGTGATCGCCTCCACCAATTGTTAGGTGTTTTTTTTTTTAAAAAAAAAAGACTCAAGGCAACTTACAGCAGATATACAAAATATAAAACAAAACAGTAAAACCTGCAAGAAGTTATCCACATAATGGAAATACCAGCCTGCCCTATAATTTTAACAGCACCCTATAATATTAACACATCAGTCCCTTGGTGACTTAAGAAATTCTTTTGATCCAAACTGATGTTCTGGGATCCTTAATTTCGATGGAATATGAATACACAGTGCTTTTTTTCTTTTTAAAAAAATGTTTAGGGGTTGTGGTGTTCGTACAGAGTCCCCGATCGTCTCACGGACTATTGACCCATACACCACTAATCTGCTGCCACCAACCAGGTCCTTCCCTGGTCCTCCTCAGTCACGTTCTTAAGTTAACAAAGAAGAGTGTAGTTTATTGCAAACACCAATAAACTTTAAATGCATTCAAAATGTTGTTACTCTTTACTTTCTTAGTCTTATTTTATCCTGCCTCTAACTCTTCTACCTCCCCTCACACAAGAACCAACTGCACTAATTGTCTCTCTATTTCCAACTGTCTGCCAACTGCTTTCCCAACTGCCTTTCCCAACCAACTACCCAACTACCCACAACCCAAACCTCGGGCTAAGCCCTTTTATAAACAGGTAAGCTCCGCCTCTGGCTTTTCTATTAGTCTACCTATTAACTCTTTCTCTCCCCCTGTACAGACATTTTCAAAGGAATGGGCAAACGCCACAGGGCTACTCTCATTTTCCTACTCATATTGAAATACTGCCCCTCAATGAGGTCAAACTTAGATTCACAAAATGTTTTGGGGTATGCGTACCTCTGTGTACCCTCCAGAAAATAAAACACTGTGAATATGGTTCTTAGAAGCCTTTATAGTGGTTTGAATGCTGGGCCACTTGGATTAGAAAAATGCATGTTCACTCATCCTCTGGCTGGCTCTTAGTATAGCCTACCTCACAGGGCAGCTGTTAGGTTAAAATGGAGGGAGAAATACATACATGGCCTTGAGCTCATTGGAAGAAAGTTGTGATATATATGTAATAAAATTATTATTTTTTTTAAAAACCATCAAAAGCAAAATCTACAAATCATCATCATTATTAAGAATAATAATTTTATTTTTGTGCTGCCCTTCCTTTCATTTCAGAGACCAGGGCAATGTATAACACCATTAAAAAAATTCAGTCATTTCAAAAACCATTTACATTAAAAACATTATTTTTTAAAAAAACCACCCCACTTTCCCTCCTGGTGAAAAAGAAAGATAATTAACTTGACGCCATTATAATTCCATCCCTCATAACACCTCATTAAAATGCAAACACTTACGTTAATGTTCCACAGACACAAGGCAGAATGCAAACCTCGTGCTTTTTTCCTCTGAGAGACTGAACAGAAAACTCCTACATGTACAAAGAGGCATACGGTAAATTAAAAGAAGCTAAGAACAAACAAGACAGACACTGCTTTTTGGAAACTTTTCCGTTTTTACTGAATTCAGCCTACATAGAGAGACAGACAGGGTAGTATTTCGCTCTCCCATTTTCACAGCAGCCGCCTTTGCAGTGTTTGTGTTCTTTTTACATATCTGCATGTTGAGAAGGAATTGGAGCCTGTAATTTAGACAGTACAGCAGCCACCAGAGCAGATTCCAAACAGCAGTGCTAGATTATTCAATAGGCAAACGAAGCATGTGTTTAGGGCACCAGCAAAGCAGGGGCACTTTTGGGGGGGGAGGTCTGTTTAAAGAATTTAACATTTGATTATTATTTTTCTTTAAGCATCAAAGTAGCTATCATGTTAAAATCAGAACTTTGTTAGGCTTTCTTACCATCCATAACACACTCCTCTTCTTTCTTTCTGTTATTTATTATATATTACATATGGGGGCCACCATAATCTTTTCAGTGCTTAGGGCCTCTAAAGGTCTTAATGCAGTTCTGTGAAGCAGAGTTTGTAATAGAACACATGAGCTACTGGCAGGAGGAATGTATGTGATGTCGATAAATAGAAGAGGAGTGCCCAAAGAGGGGCAGCTTAGTTAGTGCTTTCCCGGCTTAGGGAAGGAAATAGGAGAGGTCTAGGACCTTGCCAGAGCCTCACCCCTCCTTCCCAAAGTTGGGTGCCTCCTTATCCGTCTTCGGAAAGGCAGTGTGAAGACTGAGGGAGGGGGTGCCCAAATTCGCCACTGCCCCAAAGTTAAAAACTCACTTGCCATTTCTTCTCAAAAAGAGAGAGGGGTTTGGAAAAATGAACCCTACTGTGGCAATCTCATGATGTTCCCGATAAACTTGAAACCTAGGTTCTTACTTTCACAACAGGAGCTCCAAGATTGACAGTGCAGGGAACAGGAGCAATAGGCAGGAGCTGACACTTGTCTAAAAGCAATTTAAAAGATGTAATTGTTAGGATATTTCCGTTCCACCTTAAAAGGGAGCAGGATGTTTGTGTCACAGCCTGCGTATTTCCTGTTCACAGGATGTTTCTGTTGTGTCTATGCTTTCGTTTCTCTCTCTGTGCCTGAGACACCAAAGCAGGCAGTCATGTTTTCTTTGTTCTGACCAACGCTGAATAAAACTGTAAATAATGCTCTCCTGCGTGCATCTTTCGCTGTGCATTATCTGCTGATAGAGCGTGCACCAGCTCTGGAATGTGGCAAGCTATTTCTGGAGCTCGTGTCGCTAATTGGATGATACTGCGTGTCTACGGGAGGTCGATGGATCGCAACGGAGACGACGTGGGGTCGTGATGGACTCTGTCTCCCTGGCAGTATCCCAACACAGGTAATAAACGCTGAGGCTTCGGCAAGTGAAAGATCACCTACATAGGCAGATTGTACATTCACTCACCCCTATGGAGCTAGGTCTCCATGTTAGAAGCATAAAACAAAGCAGGCCATGCCAGATGGGCAATATTCTCTTCCATCATCCCTGATGGTGATACTAGCTGCATCATGAGAGTCCAACCACACAGGGAGATCTATCTGTCCTTCTTTTTGGTCAATTAAGAACTTCTTTAGAGACCCTTCTCCTGCAGGTAGCTAGCTATTGGAGAGAGGCATCTTTCTGCGGCAGTGCCCAAACTGTGTTGGCCCCTCCGCAGGCAAGTTCACCTTCCACCTTCCTTATTATTTGTTTGGTGCCAGTCGGCCCTGTTCTCCCAAGCTTTTAATAGCAGATGGTGTCTTCTGTAACAACAACTCATCTTTTCAGCTTGAGTTGGGTGCTATTTTTATTTAGTGGCTGATCATTGCCTTTCAATCGTCTGCTTTAATATTGTTTTTACAATCTTTATCGTATTGTAATATCATCTGTTTTGCGGCTTATGGGAAAGTTGGGTTATAAATCCCTTAAATAAAATAAACAATAAAATAAATAAACTGAGCAGGCATGTAAAGATAAAACTGAAGGCCAAGAGAACAAAGAAGTCAAGGTTTAGAGAAGAGGTAGGCAACATTATGTCTTCCAGTTGTTGTTGGACTCCAAATCCCATCAGCTCCACCCAGCATGGCGGGTGGTCAGGGATGAAAGGAGTTGGAGTTTGACGGGCACCAGGTTTGCTTTCTCTGACGTAGAGGAATCCAATATTCTGCAGAGCAAAATCTGGCAAGCATTTCTGGTGACATGGCAGGACCAAGGATTGCCTAACCTGGAGCCAGATGACATGGCAGTGGAACAAGTCCCCTAACTAACCAAACCTTAGCTAAAATCCCACTGAAAGGAGATCTCCACTGAGATCTAATATTTCCTTCCATTTTCAGTTGGACAAAGATTGTTCCGTTGTTTTAGGCTTTCAAAACCAAAGCATGAGCAGGGTTCCAAATTATAATATTTCAAGGACTCACAAAGAAGGAATGAATCTGTGTGGTAAAAGACTTTTTTAAGCCTGTTTTTTAGAACACAAACTGATCAAAGCTTCATGGACTATATAACAGATAAACACACCCACCCTTCTGTAGGTGGTGTCAAGGACAATAATTGTCAGTTCTAGAGTTGTATCATAGATAAGAACTACCTAACAATTAATCTAAGCGTGGGCATGGCTAATAATACTTTTTTGTTCCTGTGAATACTTCTTTGCTTTTAGCAACATTACAGAACTTGCTTGCCATGCGACCAGATGTTCCACTTCTGAAAGAGGGAAAATAACTATATGGTGCAATCTACACACATATAAAAAGTGTTCTGAAAATGCTTTTTTTTAAAAGCGTTTTTAAAAATACATTAAATTTTCCATAAGGCTCACCATTGCCATCTAGTGTCACATTGTATATTGCACCTAAAACACCCTTAAAACGATTTGTTTACAGCTGTACCTTGGGTTACAAACACCTCAGGTTATAAACACTTTGGGTTACAAACTCCGCTAACCTGGAAGTAGTACCTTGGGTTAATAACTTTGCCCCAGGATGAGAACAGAAATTGCGCGGTGATGGCACGGGAGCAGCGGGAGGCCCCGTTAGCTAAAGTGGTACCTCAGGTTAAGAACCGTTTCAGGTTAAGAACGGATCTCCAGAACGAATTAAGTTCATAACCTGAGATACCACTGTATAGCCAAGTCCTTTCATTCCAAAAGAACAAACAGAAAAAATAGTGTACCAAACAACTTCTTCTTAAAAAACTAAACAAAAAAAAAAAAACAACCCTTGAAAACCAGACAAACTTGAAATGCTCAATTATTTCAACTACATTTTTTTTTTTTTTAGAGGGAGTGCTTTCTCTGAGCTCCCCTGCCAATGTTTCAGTTGTAAATTGCCTGGATATATCAAAACAATATTTGATTTGCTGTCACATAAAGTAGGTTTTGCCAAGTAAGGTTTACCAAACGTACGAAAATTATATGCATGGTGCCATATGACTAGCTCAGGATGAACCTAGCGTATGGTGTTTTTTTAAATAAAAAACAACAACCTGTGTGGTTTGCTTGCATATTAATTGTAATTACTGGAAAAATGCAGATTGGGGACTAATTTACATGTTTAGAATATTATTAGTATAATTTATTTATATCCTGCCTTTTTCCTTGAAAAGGTCTAAAGGCAGCTTACCGATAAAATAGAAACAGCAAAAACATAGTAGGGGGATCATTAAAACAATTGAGCATTAATAGAATTAAAGCTATCTAATAAAACATACAGATAATTACAATGAAAACATCACAGCATGAGCACATTAGTTCCCAAAAGCCTGTTGGAATGAGAAAGTCTTCACCTGGCAGCAGGACAATAAGGAGGGAGCCAGTCTAACTTCTCTAGGAATAAAAAGCACATGATTCAGCACTTCTGGCACTTTGCCACTTCACTGATAGGGGGTTGTATTTTAAATGTTCGGCCCTAACTCCCTCCATACAGAAAGCTAGCATCTTTTGAGGGAAAGCTAGACTAAACTACTTCTGTCTGACCAGAATGTTGTGACATGGAGAGAATAATACAGTGGAACCTCTGGTTACGAACATAATTCGTTCTGGAGGTCCGTTCTTAACCTGAAACTGTTCTTAACCTGAGGTACCACTTTAGCTAATGCGGCCTGCTGCTGCCGCCGTGCCGCCCCCACACAATTTCTGTTCTCATCCTGAGGTAAAGTTCTTAACCCGAGATACTACTTCCGGGTTAGAGGAGTCTGTAACCTGAAGTGTCTGTAACCCGAGGTGTCTGTAACCCGAGGTACCATTGTAATCCTACTTTCTCACAGAAGTATGTGAACCTCTGCACCACCACTGCAACAGGAAAGAGGAACGTTTGTACCAATAACTGTGAATCACTTTTGCACCAGGATCCACCTGCCTAGACCTGGAAAAATCTAAGCATGATGGGTAAAGTGGCCAAGATCTCCAGGTTTGCCCATGCATAGGAGCTGCCTTTGCAATAGAGGTATGTCAAGCTGCAATGGGCAGAAGAGGAGTTATGAAGCGTGAGCTGCAGGAAATGCAATAACTTTAAACTTAGGACATCTTTCACAAGTAATTTTACCACTGACCCAGAATGAACATGCTGAGCATTTTAATCACATATCTTCACTGTTCACAATTACTGGGCCATTATTTATATTTTCCAGCTTCTGAAAAGGTCAAGTTCAAGGACCCCTGGATAGTTAAGTCCAGTCAAAGGCGACTGTGGAGTGCGACGCTCATCTCACTTCAGGCTGAGGGAGCCGGCATTTGTCCACAGACAGCTTTCCGGGTCATGTGGCCAGCATGACTAAGCCGCTTCTGGTGCAACAGAACACCATGACGGAAGCCAGAGCACACGGAAACGCTGTTCATCTTCCCACTGCAGTGGTACCTACGTATTTATCTACTTGCACTGGTGTGCTTTCGAACTGCTAGGTTGGCAGAAGCTGGGACAGTGGTCCCACTCATCCCAGTAATGCCTTCATGTTTCCGAATTGATTCTGGAGGTGTATTTCTGGGTGCAGTAAGCCAGCCATATGAATGCATTTATCCCCCACTAATATATTCATTAAACTCTGTCATTCAACTGGCTGAGCGAGTTTTCCAAAGCACTACAAAAAGGTATGGTTATTGAAAACAGATCTCTCAGAAAAAAGAGGTGCTTTGCATTGCTTTTCTTTTTTTAATGCAACACTAAACAGGCCCCCCTCCATGGTAACTAGTAAGAGCTGCCCTGCTACATCAGACCAGAGGGCTATCTAGTTCAGCATCCTGTGTTTCACAGTAGTCAAACTGGTATTTACAGAAAGCCCACAAGCAGGTCACGAGGACAATAGCACTCTCCCATTGTTGTTCCCTAGCAACTGGTATTCAAGAGAGATCTAGGAGGTAGCATATAGCCATCAAGACTGGTAGCTGTTGAGAGTTTTTATCTTCCATGAATTTGTCTAGTCTCATTTTAGCCCACCTAAGCTGCTGGCCATCACTATATCTTACAGCAGCAAATTCCATCATTTAAGTATGTGTGCATATGTGTGTTTGTGTGGAAAAGTACTTCCTTTTGCTGTCCTTATCTCCTTAACCATTCTATTGATGACCTTATGGCATACCAAGCAGCTTATATCAATCTCAACATTTCCAAAGCATGAACCACACACCTAAGTGCCTACACCTTGCTAATATAATGAAGTATGCTGAGTGTCAGTTACGGTCTTCAAATAAAAACATCTTGAAGGTCCCAGGCCACAGAGAAGTTAGGCTGGCCTCAACTAGAGCCAGGGCTTTTTTGGCTGTGGCTCCGATCTGGTGGAACACTCTGTCACAAGAGACCAGGGCCCTGCGGGACTTGACATCTTTCCGCAGGGCCTGCAACACAGAGCTGTTCCACCAGGCCTTTGGCCAGGGCACAGCCTGACTCCCTCCCTCGGCAATCTTCGCGGAGCTCTGGCCCAATGGTTGCCAGTGGCTTGAATTAATAAATTTTATAATGAATGATTTTAGAGTGTTGTTTATGCTGTACTTTTGTACTGTTTTATTGTTGTTAGCCGCCCTGAGCCCGGCTTCGGCTGGGGAGGGCGGGATATAAATAAAAATTATTATTATTATTATTATTATTATTAAGTACTTTGCAAGGCTCGATAACGTATTGGCAAATAAAATGCCAGCAGAGGCGTATATGAGCTTAGTTGCCAAACTCTTCATTGGGTCATGATGTTAAACTACAACAGCTTTCAATAACCTGGTGCCCCCCAGAAAGTTTGGAATACAATTGCCGTCAGACCAAGCCAGGATTGAGAACACATGGATAGCACCCAGCTGACAAAGGCTGAACTACACCAACTTAGAATAAAGAATTTCAAACAGCAAAGAGAGAAATGACCTGCCTTCCGTACCACCAACTAGTTTTAGGTGCACAAAACTTTATTAAGAGCAGTTTCAGATCAGGAAATTAGCCTAGAACCTAGTAAGAGAAGTATGCATTTCTAAAGGGAACTTCATTTGCTTTTAATGAAGAATTTAGTATACATAATTTTTCGTTTAGTTGCTTTCTAACTGCAACTCAGAATAAGCCTTATGCTTACTATTTTGCATACACTGTGCAGAAATGCAGAAGTCGGGCTCTCCCCTACATCTCTTCATCATCATGGAGAAACACAAGTTCCGCTTTGGCATGAGGGACAAAGCATAGACAGATGATGTATGAGTCACTTCTGCATCATCCCTTCCTCCTGCTTCTGTGCCAGATGCAGAGAGATTGGCACTGGAGCATAACAGCAGCGACTCCCATATCCTTCCACTTCAGTTTCTACACAGTGCAGTGTTCTTCAGCCTTGGGTTGTAAGACTGTAACTTCCATCATCCTTGCCTATTGACTAAATTGGCTGGGGATAAGGGGAGGTGAAGTTTACAACAGCTGGGATCCAAAGTTGAAGAGTATTGCTGTAGTGGAAAATACAGTCCAGTGTGCATTAAGTTATATGTATTTTTAACATGGATTATGTGCAAAGAAGAATTTGTTGGGAACAGTTTTAATCTCTCAGTAACATAATCTATAGATGGCTGCAAGTGGCTCTTAATACTGTATCAGCAAAAACTTGTCAGCTTCCTGTAGCCTGGTTCTAACTCCACAGGTCCTGTACTTCCCTTTTATCCAGTCCCAGATGGCTCTTTATGACTTCTAGTGCTTGAACTTGCACAACATCTGTGGAGAATCTGTGGTCCAGCAGATACGATTGGGCTCTTAACTCCTTTAAACCCCAGCCAACATGGCCAACAGTTAAGAGCTGATGGGAGTTGTAGTCCAGCAAGATATGGAGGGCCACAGATTCCCCGTTCTCGGTGCAAATGCTTGGTGCAGTGTTGTTACATGTACCTTTGCTATGCCTACTCAATAGAGCTCAGCAGACAATAGAGTCTATTTTTAGATCAATACCCCTTTAAAAAGAAGAACAATTTGCTCAAAAGCCACAATGTACTAACCTCAGAACAATAGCCCTTGCCAACTGCAGTAATTCAAAGTAATTGTCGCAGCACAAAGTACAGGACACAAAATGTGGAAAATGCAAAATATCGTCTGCTTCACAGAGAATTCAAGATTTGTAAGGTTTCCTGTAGAATTACTGTAAATTGGGGAAACAGCAATTTCTCCCCTAAAAATGGCTACATGCGTTATTCATATATTCTACTATCTGCTCAATTTTTATCTGTAATATTGGTTTAATAAATTATACAAGGTTACAGGGTAAATTCCAGGATCAAAGTACCCAAAGCTGTTAAGTTAAAGGCCACTTTCATTTATGTACCATATAAACAACATCAAAGTCCTACAGTCTCTTATGTGATGTTTACTTGCAAGTTATGCTCCTTGCATTCTTTCTTGTCCCAGTACTTTTCCCTTTTCAAGTTGGAAGCAACACTGAAGCTTTTAACCACTTGGGCTGTAGGTAGCCAGCTATTCCCTGACCACTGGCTTTCTTAACTACTTCCTTTGGGGTTGGATAGAATAGCACGAATTAGCAGTAGTAGGTAATATTTGGGAAAGTTGAGAGATGCAAATGGTTAAAAAGGACTCAAGACTGGAAGCAGCAGGAAATCAGAACAAGTGTTTATATCATGAGCTCACAAGTTACCAAGAGAAAGGAGATGGAGAGTCCTGAACTTAGAAACATGCACCAGCTATTTACAGCCAGCATGGAGCAAGCCTGATGTTCTGATAATGCCTGCACCATTGCTTTGCCATTTAACTTTTGGTTAAACATGCTGCATCACTTAAGATAAGCTTTGAAATAACTCGGTTGTCAGAGTTAAAAGTCTGTAATTTATAACCAAATCTCTTGTTAAACATTGACCTAGTGTTCGCCTCAGTTTCAATATTGTCCTTAGCTGCAGAGGAAAGCAATTAGGGCTCAAAGACCAAGGGAAAGTCTAGGTGCATATGGTATCTACGTTATACAAGAATGCAGTATTTTAGACTCTGGACTTCTGTGCCATGTAAGCAGTACAGGAAAGAACTTTTACTTATCATTTCCATGCTGTTAGGTACTTGGCTGAATTTCCAAGTCATGAGTCTTTTCTTAAATTAGTTATCATGGAATGCCTGTGGGTTGTTGTTTTTGAAAACAACACCACCACACATTGAGTTACATGTGTTGCCAGGTTGGTGCAGTAAACTTTTACCTCACCTAGTTACGGGTACTTTGCCTCCTAAGAGCTGCTGCCATTGTGATTTCTGTGAATAAGAAAGTCATGAAAAACATTGCTAGCATTGTCAGTATGTGATAGGATGAATTTACCCATCCCCTATTTGAGTATCATTCTTCCAAAAGTTAGCACTGAGTTCCTATTTCTATTTGAACATATCTAACTTGCGTATGTGGATGCAGTATTGTGCGCTTCCTGATTGTAACACTGCAACAACCAAGCAACGCCTCCTAAATTTTGGGTAGGCTTCACCATGACATTGCTACATTCTCTTTCCAAGTGTAGCTTTATTAGCACCAAAGAGCATGCACTGCAGAGACTCCCCTCCATCGATGGAACTTCACAAGTTAAAACTAGTTAATTTTCCATCTAACCAAAGGCTTGGTCAAGTGCTGTGACTGGAGGTTGAAATTATTCCGAAATTCAGAGAGCTATTAATGGCTGGCAAATAGAACAGTGTATATAATTCTATTAGCTACAACATTTAAACTGCGGTTAACACATGCCATTTCTCACCCACTTTCTTTGAAACCTGAATAGATCAGAGATTCGCTATTCCTAATATCTTACAGATACCATTTGTCCCATGCTTTGAAATTGGGTAAAATGCAAAAAATAAAAATAAAAATGTAACTGGTCCTGTGGTTGTATATTCGTGTTCTGTCTGTGCCTTAGGAAGACTTGCACAAAAGGTTAAACTGTCTTTATCAAATACTCCAAGCTCCTGAATAAAGTTTGTATTTAGCTTAACCTTTACACTTTATCTACCATATACTTTACTTTGACTTAGTTGATGGAATCACACTGCAGGGCAAGGGGGCAAAACTAAACATTATCAATAGGTTATCAACTAGATTGTGCTCAGTATGGAAAATATGCATTGAGTGCATTTAAGTTTCCTTTTATCCTAAAGACTAGTTCGCTTTTATTGGGTGTTTTTAAACATTTGCTGAAAGACCAGCTACTTTCTAAGGTAAACATCATTGTCAAACCTGATTCATTTTGCCATTAAAACAGCCTATGTAATTTATAATTCAGAATCTACCCACAAAGCCTAGCTCCACCATGGCTGATTCACCTAAAGCAGCTTACAAAATCCAGTTCTCTAGTTGTTAATGCCCATCCCATCCTCTTTTATTGTATTTTACACCCTCAATTGCTGGCAGTTACAGGTAGATGAAGTTAACCGGTTGCAAGCACCTTCTTTTGGATCCTCCAAGGCTTTTCCACTGTCCAAGAGCAAAGAGCAACTAGCTGGGAGGGAGCTGTAAAGCAATGACATTTGGATCGAGTCATGCATGTGATTATCTCATATTAACATCAAATGAAGACAGAAGCCTGCTCCTTATTTTATGCAAGCTTCACCTGCATCAAGCAATAGTGTGGTGTGAATGTAGAGAATAAATAAAATGGGGATAGGAAAAAGTTTCCAGGATCTTACTACCATGCTTGAACAATAGCTACAGAGACTTCATGAATTTGTCCTTTTAAAGTGCAATCATATGCACACTTTTGTTCTTTTTATGCCGTTTACTTTGTATTGATGTTTCATTGGCTTTAGAAATATGTATTGATACCTGTTAATATGTTGTACACTGACTCCTGACCACGGGAAGGCCATTATAGAAATATCTAAACTGGAGAAATATTGACAAAGTGAATGTAAGGAAGCATAGTGTCAGTGTAATTAAACATAATGTTTAACCCTAAAAGCTATGTAGTATGGTTATGTTTTGTCATTGTGTCACACGTGAATGTATGTAAAAATCTAATTAAATAATCAGAAATAAAATCCCTTCCACAATAAACTTCTGCTTGAGGAAATGTCCACTGTCTGCAGCTCTCCCCACCCCCTGCCCTGTGATAGGCTGCACAAGGATGGAGGTAACCAGGATGTGTCTGCTGGTGTCTTGATCTTGCTTGTAGTTAGCATTAGTATGTAAGGCATGCAAATGAAGAAGTACTGCAAAATTCCGTATATAAAAAAGTCCTTTATTAACCTGAATATATAAAAAAGACAAGTTGTCTACCATAATAGGAGTTCTTGCTTCATGTGGAAAGAAAACTTTTTACAAAGTGAAAAAATAAATACCTTTTGGAGTAAGGTTTATACGCTAATGTGCCATAAAAAAGTAGAGCTTTAATATTTTGACAAAATGTCTGTGCAAAGAAACAAATGCATACACACATTACTGCTACATTAAGGCAATATGAAAAGTATATTCAGAAAGTCTCAGTAAAGTGACTTTTCTAGCTTTCTTTTTAGCTAGTATTGCACCCAAACATGGTCATCTAGTTTTCAATATTTTGGAGCATTCACTAGCTGACCAAAGTCCAAAATGCCCAGGGACAGGGTTTGTGGTAGAAGGTAAGACGGTTTTAAGAAAGAATAATTTAACACAGCTGCATTTTAGAAAACCATATTAATATTATACTGTTTGAGAATACATTTCTCCCAACACAAGGCAGATAAACAGAAACAAGTACAAGAGAAACAACTGACTCTTGCAAGAGAAAAATGTTTCACAGATGTTCAAAGTTACTTTTTTTAATGTAAGTATTTCAGCATTTTCTTCTCAGGAGGTGCCCAACAGGCTGCCAAATTTACTCAAATCTTTATAGTAAATTTTGCAAGTTACCTATTTTTGATGAAACAAATACAACTATTTGCTTAAAGCTTTGCAATCTTAGGTTCTTAAATACAAAGATTTAAAAATAGTTTCTTCAGTGAGACTAAAAGCAGAAACTAAGTTTCTGTGAAATAACAGATGTAGATATTAAAAAACTAGTTTTCCTAAAAGATAAATGGAGTGATCATGCTAAATAAAGTAACTTTAAAAACAATATTTATAATTGCAAAAACAGGCAGTGTTGCCCTTGCTGGATACTACGGAGTAACTTTTCATCTTTCCTCCTCTCAGATTTTTTTTGTATATTGCCATTTTATAAATAAATGTTGCTTCATGTGACATGAGGTTGTCTACAAGTCATTCACAGTATACCCATAAAACAAATTCTCTAAACAGAGATCGTTCCCTATTCTCCCCTCCCTCCCCCCATAGTTTTGTTGCAGTCGTTTTGACTATAATTGCTGGCAGATGCTGAAGTGACAGCTCACCTTCACCATCAATGGAGTCGGAGAAAACATTAGTGCAGTATTTTGGAAGTACAAGATAGTTTAAAAGCTTGTATAGTGTACATCTTCCAGTGATAACATGGAGGTCAGATTACGGTCAGATTAAGCAGGCTGGTGTGGGTAGGCAAATACACATGCTGGACGTGCTCTACTCGAGATCTGCAAACTGGACATGACTAGAAGGAAAAAACAAAAGTTGGAACATTTATTCACTGTTGTTAACAACTTTATGGCTAATATAAGGGTTTATCAGTTCACATAGCCTGAAGGTTCTAACACTGTTTTTCTGCTGATATATATTTAAGTTTTAAAAATACTTGTCACAAAAGCAGGCCTTAGCAGATTTATACGAATGTGTTCATAACTAGAACATATATGCTCCAGAATCTAAAGTAGAAATCATATGATCTCCATGTAAGTAGTACTGTTTAATTTCAAGATGCCACAAAATGTTGACAAATGTGAAGTTCCAAAGAATTTCAAGCTTATGCCTAATATTTTCAGCAATTTCACCAAAATCTGTGTTACTTACCTGGTAGGTCAAATTAGGCATTTGACAGGGTATTTTAACTACTACTAAGGAATTATCTCCATCTTCTCTCAACAGTATGCCAAAGAGTCTAAGGCTATACACAGCTATTAAATGCTATGAACCGATGTTCCCTTCTATGTCTGTTTTGTCAACCGGTTTGAGAATTTGTTTTAAGTATGGAGAACAGCAAAATACTTGGAAACGTAGTGACTCAGTTGTCACATCACATTATAGCATAGCTTAAAGCCAAGTAAGGCTTAACAGAAATGAACTGCATTCTGGTGCACTACTGCTGTGACACCATGCTACGAATATGACAAGCCAGAGAATGGCTTGCTGTGAGGTCCAAACTTGGGCTTGCCAGTGTTTGTTTTTGGCTTACCACTTACGGTTTATTTGGCCAAACAAGCCAGAAGCCCAAGTTTGGAAATCACAAGTCAAGCTCTGGCTTGTTCCTTTGCAACTGGGCCGGACCCTGCGATCACCGTATGAGGCCCTTCTTCATGTGCCCTCACCACGAGGTACAGAGGGTGGCAACATGAGAATGGGCCTTTTCTTTTGCATTTGGATTTGTTTTTCTAAGGTCCTATACTCTGGCTTAATGAGGGAATGAACAGGAAGGTGATGGATGGAAAGCGAAAAACTGTATTAGAGGCAAGGAATGGAAGATCTCGCAGGGTGGGAAGCTGGAAGAAAAAGTTCCCAGGTGAGAGATGGGAGGGTCCGCCCACTTTTATGTGACACAAGGGTTAAGATTTATCTCTGAAAGAGGACTTGGTATTTTCTTCTTTTCTTTGGATTAATTTTTTTATTGTATCATATGCTGAAAAGTTTCAATATTTTTTTTTTAAAGGAGGGAGAGAGAGAGAATTGTCCTTTTCTGCAGTGGCTCTGTTTGTGGAATGCTCTCCCAGCACCTTCACTACATATCTTTAGGCATCAGGCAAAAATGTTCCTCTTCTCCCAGGCCTTTGGCTCATTAAACAATCTATGACTTTTTAAAAAGTGGGTGGGTGGGTGCACGCACAGGGGAAGGCTATTGCTTTGTTTGCTTTCACTATGTGTTTTTGTGTTTTTATACTCTAATCTACCCTGTGATACTGAGATGAAAGGCGGTATATAAATCTGATAAAAATAATGCAGCAGCAGCAAGGGAGGAGAAACATGATTAGAGTATTATGTATCAGCCCACTGCTCACTCACATTAAGCCACAGTTGTTTTATACTATGCTTTCATGTAATGTAAAAATCAGACCAATAATTTAATATGCGATTCAATGTTGTTGTAATTAACTTAATAATTACCTGTAATTGTGCAGCACATGACTCACAGCACACGGTGTGACCACATGGACAAAATGTTGAATTTATTTCTTCTTCACAGCATACCATACATAGTAGGGATTCTTTAAGCTTCCGTAACTTTTCTTGAAGAGCTTTCATCTGCTGGCAGTTGAGACCTTCACAGCTATCACAGTTCATACTGCTCTCTGAAGACTTAAGGGGAGAACTGGGCGGGCTCTGGTCGCTTCTCGAAACAAGATCCACAATGCCAGCATTGTAAAGGGCACGCCTTGCATGATCATAAGCTTCCTTAGATGTCCGCTTAATATCAAACACATACTTTTTGCCGAGATTAATATTCTCATTCAGGAACAAGGATGCTAAATGGCCCTTTAAGTCTCGACTGTACTGCATCATAACAGCACTAGTAACAGTGTCACACCTATCAGAGTGGGGGGGAAAACAAGGTATAACTCAGTCAAACTGAACACAAAGGTTAAATAACAGGCTCTGTTTATTCAAATAATTCTAATACTGTAATTGCAATGAGAACATGGAAGACTATTCTAAAAACAAAACGGCATTCTTAATTTGAATATTTCCATTCCCTAAAAGAGAATAGTTTGAAATGGGTTGTTACAAGTTTGATAAACCAGAGTTGCATGAGAAATTTATTTAATGGTATGTTTAGGAAGTGTTAACTTTATCTTGTGTTCATACAAGAGGTTTCTTCAAGCACTTCTTCCCACTTCAGATATAAAAGAATATTCCTAACCAACAAAATTAAATCCGCTCAGGAGGCAGCAGAATAAAATGAAACCTTTTATTTCACAAATATTAAAGTTTACGCCATTGTTATATCAACTAAAAAGAGAAACTTAAGCACTTATGCAGGAAATATTTGATGCATTTGAAGCTGGATTTGTTTTCTAGAAATACAAACCTGTAAAATGCATGTGTTTCTGTTATCGCTCTGTACAGTCCACTAGCTGCTCTGGTGCTGACCATCTTGAAAAGGTGAACTATGCTATTGCCAGATTCCTTTGTGACAGTCAAGTACACATTCTTTCCAGACTGCGTTGCCATCTGAACAACTGGGTATGCAATCCTATAAGGAAGGCAAGTATGTTAAAGAACAAGTCCTGTACTGAGAGCCTAAAAGGACTCTGAGGAACAACTACAGCCAGGTATAGTTTGGCAGGGTACATTTAAGATTAATACTAAGCTAGAACAATATAGCTCTTTACATTTATTTATTTAATAATATATAACCTACATAACAAGTGTTTCCAAAACGTAAAGCTAGATTATGAAGAGAACGTAAATAGTAAAAATATAAATACGCAAGTATAAAAAGGTCTTTAAAACATTAAATTACAAGATCCTGTGTAGTATAAAATGTAAAATGGTTTGTTACTCTTCAGAGAAAGCCCACTTAAAAAGTTAAGTTTTCAACAGTCATCTGAAAGCAAAAATGCTAGCTGCTGTTTCCACAAAGCTGGAGTCACAACACTAAAGGTCTGGTTTCTAGTTGATGTCAGGCAGACCTCTGGAGCATAACGAATCCTTAACAATGCCCATTTGGAGGAATGCAATTGTTAGGTAATGATATATGCGTCAAGGCAATCTCTTAAGTAATCTGGTTCCACATCATGCACTACCGGAAAGAAACAAAGCCACCTACAACTATTTCGACAGCTTAATGTATAGCGCACGGGGGTGGAGGATCTCCAGCCCATGGACATAATTAGGCATGGCAGCCCTTGCCATTCGGCCCTTGAGATGCCCATCTGCCCATATATGACATGAGTTAAGAGCAGGTAAAGTCAGTGCCTGGATGAACGGGGCTTTGTATGCACTATTAATCTGCTGCTTGTAAAGACCCAAATGGCTGAGGATCACCTGACTGCTGGGCACTTGCGAAGCACTTCCCAGGGGACTTTGCAAGCTCTGTGCTCAGCACTTCCCAAGCACAGGGCTTGTAAAGCCCCTCATGTAGTGCTTCCAGTGGCAGAGGTTTGGAGGTGTGGGGTTGGCGAAGGGGAAGTCCTATTGGAGAAGTGCACCCATGTGAAGTTGAGCGTGAATCATAGAGAACAACAGGTAACAATGGTTGAATCACAACAGATGTGTATCCCACAACTCTTCTGAACCTTTTAATGGAATTTAGTAGGCATTTATTACCTGTTGATGGGAGTGAAGTCATCTTTACACATGGCAATACCCTCAGGACCAATTCCAATAAAAAGTTTCTGCCCTTCGCTGTCTCTAACAGAATGCCATTCCACCCCATAGTTCTCCAGTGTTGACACAATCTGTAAAACTTGATACTCTGCTGAAGCTTGGGTGAGGCCTTCAAGTTCCTTATGCTTTGCAGTAATACTGTAGGTAACAAAAAGTTGAGAATAGGTTAATCATTCAGACATGCATAAGCAAGGTACAGTGTTTAAAGACATATTCAATCAACTTCATGAACATTTTGTAACTTTTAATGATTTACAAGATTTAAATACTGGCTTTTATCAATAAGATCTCAAATGTTATAAACTGTATAGATTTATTTTTAATGATACATTGTTAAGTATATTTTTGTCCTTATTTAAATGTAACTAAGTATGGTATTACGTAATATTCAGAATTAAGGTTTTACATGGCAACACATTAAACAGTTGTTGGCAAGATTAGGTGCCTTTTGAGAAAAACAAGATTACAAAATTTGTTGAACTATGAATGTGGCTTCATGCTTTAAAAAACTCACACACTAATTGAGGAACAATCTCACCACACTTAAACAATTCTAAATCTTTACTCAGTTCAATAGGAGATGTAAACATTTTCAAATTCTTCCACTGAGACCTGCTTTTTTAAAAAATATTTTATTTAATCAGTCTAAGAATCAGGAAAATATATTATGGTAATACACAGGTAACATATAGCTTCAAAATTAAAATCCTTAAATATTATGAGTACTACAGAAAATGAAGTCTTAGATATGGCTGTGTTAGCATAAATCCTGCAAATAAAAATGTGTGGTTTGCAACTGCAGTGGTTTTGCCAATGATATGCATCTGAACAATTATTTCAGCCATGGTAATGTTCCTAGGAAACAAACCCTCTTACCTGTCCAAAACAGTAGTGGTAAGCTCCTTTGCACAGAACTCTTCATAATGATATTTGGCAGTATTTTGATTATAATCACCAAACTTCAACTGGGCAAGTAGTGCACTAAGTTCAATTGCATGTTCAGAAGAACACTGAAGATTACCAGCCAGAAGATCCTCCTCTATATGCAAGAAAAACATGTGCCTAAAAGGAAATTAATTTAAAAAAGTATTAAGTCATATTTAGTAAAATATGTGACAGAAATAGGTCTGCTCCTTCTTTTAAAATTCACAAGATATTGTTCTGATTTCCCTATCTGTATGAATTGGAAAATAAATGACAGAATACCTCAGTGATATAGAATAAATTGGAAGTCTGATTCATCTTGAAACATTGAAATAGAAAGACAGTATTAAAGATGAAGTTTTAGTCGAAGTGAGTGAACAGAACAGCATCTATTCTAAGTTTATTTCCAGGAAGGAACAGGAGTTTAGTCAGGGGAAAAGTCCTTTACATGTGACTTCACATATTACTGAAGGATGATGGCAACTTACAATAAGGCACAATAAAACCCACCATGAATTGTTGAGGATACCTCCTCTGAAGATCAATGATTTTAAAAGCATAGCAAACTGAAGGCTTTAACGTAAAGAAAGGCAGAGATCTGAACTGCCCCACCATCACAGCTGCATTGCCAGTTCAACACATACCGAACACACGTAAGCTGGCAGAGGTTGGCTTGTCCGTACTGAGTGTTTCTCAGATATTAAGGAGGTCCCTTCTGCACTATACACTTAAAGCAGTATCGTACCACTTCCCCAAAGCAATATCATGGCCTCCCCAAATAATCCTGTAAACTGTAGTGAGACTAGTTAGGAGATCCCTATTCCCTTCCGAGCGATAAAATTCCCAGAGTGGTTTAACTGGCAATTCCTTTTCCCAGGAGACTGTGCTATGAAAGGGGTATTAGTCTCCTAACATCTCTCAAAACTCTTAACAAACTTTAGTTTCCAGGATTCACTGGGGGAAGCCATGACTGTTTAAAGTGATATACAATGAATTGTATAAAGTGATATACAGAGGCAGAAACTTCCCAGCACTACTTTAAATGTATAGTGTAAATGGGGCTGAGGGGAATAGTAAATCTGTCATGAGCAGTGTTAGAAACAGATATAAAAGCTAGGAACTAAATGGCACCTTAAACCTAGGTTGTGGGTGCCACCATGGAGTGTGTAGGTGAGCTTTTTTTTGTAACAAGAATGCAAAGCTGAAAATGAACGAACTGCAGCTAAAATCTTATGTTCAATTTTACATGGTCTAGTCCTCATCTGAAAACTGCAAAAAACAAAGCCATACTTCCCCTGCCCACCCCCCTAATATTCTTATGAGGGTCTCTTCTCCAGTCTTCAGAGAATGGCTGGAAGTGGGGAGGCAGAAAAAAGGTCCCCCTTTTCTTCCAGCAGTGGCAGTTTTAATCTGAAATCTTAGGCTTAGTACTGCGCCCAGAACCCAGACACTGCTTGCATTAATGAAATTCCCTTTCACAAAACATCTTAAAATAATGGGTTGTTTAGCTATGAGTCTATAATATTCTGTTAAGTATCTGGTGATAGACGATTAGTTGTCTCACATATCAAATTAGAAATATTGTTGTGCCTACTAATATATAAGTATTGTGAATCAGATCTTGCCCTCCTTCTAGCTCAGAAGTGGAAAGACGGTGGTGAGGACTTCCTCTTGGAATGATCTGTTGCAAAATTAAAATCTTTTTTATAATTTCTTTTAAAATCATAACTGAATATTCTGGCCAATATTGGTTATAACTCATGGGACTGCAAGTATGACAATCGCACACCAATCTGCGAGGGAGTTATAGTACAAGATAGGTGCCAGCTTCTGTGCAAATAACTCTTGTCAATGATGCTAGGTTTTTATTAGTTAGCCAGTAAAATAGAAAACCTATTTTTAAGTTTAAAATACATGGATCAGAATCTGAAAGAGCCTTCTTTCCCCCTTGAACCTCCCCCTGAACCTTACCCCAGAGACCAGCAGCACCTTTCGAGCAGAATGGAATGGGGTGACAGGATTGCCAACTGCTCCCCCCCCCCTGCACATTTAGTAGTGCACTGAGGCAGTAAGCCAGTGTTTGAGCAGAATGCCTCAGCTTTATGGGGGGAAACCGAAGCCGATGGCACCTTGTACGCCTCCTTCTGGCAACCCCTACAGCCAAGCTGGTGCCACAGGTTTTGCTCTGCTTTCCTTTGGACCACATCAGCGAGGCCAAGGGAGGGGTCCTGTCGTCTGCACAGCCCAGGATCCTCCATACACACTGCCCAGGCTTGCACCCTGGGAAGGTCACTTTGGTGCTAACACAGCTGTTTGAAGGCACACTCCATTGTCTCTTAAGACACATGGATGCCAACAACAATGTGCAAGAATCTGAGCAGGTGGAGGATACTGTGGTTTATAACACAATACCTTTTATTTACTTCCTAATTGTAAAGAAAACAACAACCTCAAAGAAGTTTACAAAAAGATAAAACAATAAAACTGCCAATAAAAAGAATCAGCCTCAACATTTTAAGACTTTCAAAGAGCTAAACTAACAATAGGCTAAAAACAGATTAAAACTCACAAACGTTTTCTAAACATTAGGGCAAACTTGTCTAAACAAAAATGTTTTAGCAGGCACCAAAAGGAGTACATCAATAGGCAGGGAGTTCCAAAGCGACATCAATAGGCAGGGAGTTCCAAAGTGTAGGTGTTTCCACTAAAATATTTGAGTTCCTATAAATGTGGAATGGGTACTATATGGCACCCACCTATAACAGTGTCATTTCTATCAATATGGTTGAGTGGGCATATATGTGGTAAGGCAATCTCACAGGTATCTAGCGATGTAAATTGTGCTAAATTGTGTTTAACATTGTGTTTTAATTATTACAACCCACTCTGGGACCTTAGGGTGAAAAGCGGGTAATAAACTATTATTACTGTCATATTGTACAATGGCAGAAGAGGCAAGATTCCCAAGCCTTGTTCATCATTGTTGATTGATAAGGGAGGGGAAAACTTGTTCAGCTATGCTTCATGTAGTTATATGGATTCAACACTTTTTTCAGCAACCACCACAAGATTTAATTGCACTTGGGCAAAACAGAACACTTACCTAGACAAAATATATTTAGACTGCGAAGTACAAGTGTGAACTGTACTGTACATGCAAATTCAATAAGCCAGTTTTAATGCAGCAAACTGTTTGAAACAAATTTAAATAGCTCACTAGAATGGCCAGAATTCTGATTTTATCTCTTCGGAGATCAAACTGAACTTTAGTTCCTAACTAAAAAGCTAATACACTAGATGTTAGAAAGTAAAATGGAATTAATGGTTTTGTCATGTCCTTAATTATAGTAGCTGTTTAATTTCTGACCACTCACTACAAAATACAAGTTACTTTATTCCAGTATTCTAAATGTATTACTACTGAACTTTAACAAGAAGTTTTAAAGGATAAAATTTAATATAAGAAGTTTCACATATTTACTCAACGTCAACAATGCTTACTATTCCAAAAGTAGACAAAAGTTTAGACTTGTTACTTCTTCACAAAAAGCCTCAACCACAAAAGCAGAACTTTCTTCCCTGAAGCAACCATTTCAGACCAATCAGGAGTCTAATTTCCCCAGAAACTCGGCTTTCTTCCAATGCAGCAGTCACCGATTCCATAGAACAGCCTGGCAGCTATTAACAAGGGTTACTTTCAGTCAATGACCTACAGTTACATTGTTGTTGCTTCTCTAGAGCAGCCGCCACACATCCTTCACTGCAGCCTTCACTGTTAGCGAGTAAAACACAGCCACACCCAGAATAAGTTTTGAGACTCAACTTTCTCATTGCAACTCATTTCTGAACCTTGGATTTCTCAATTACTATCCTGTTTTTACCTAAAAACAAACTAACAGGCAGCTCCATGAAGCTTCCCTGAATTCCCTGGAATAAATCCAAACTCAAAACAATTCCCAATTATATAGATGGCTTCACAACACCCTGGCACAATTCCTTTTAAAAGTTAAAGTAATTACAGGAGCATCTTAATTAAAGTTTTTTTGTTTCTTCTCACCATCCCCCACTTTTTACAATATTCAGATACCAGGAACTATGTATCCTGAAGCATTTCAACTTAGCACATGGACTTGGAATAAAGGTGTTCATATTTAAGACCATGAAATTTCAGCTGACACACTGTTTGGGCTTCTTTTCCTGGTTATAAATTACTATAGTAGAATATGGGCAAATGTAATAACAATGATTTGCTACTGTGGAAATCTAGGTTTGAAGAATCATTCAACCTATTAATTAAGTAAAACAGCAGAACAGCAACCACTGTTTCACACTTAATGTCATGTTCTCAAGCCTATTAAAAGCAGTTTCACGGGTCAAGTCAAATCAAAACAGACCATTACGTCTTCAAAATCCAATCTAATTCAAATTTATGTGGAGAGTGCTCTAGGGTTGAACTCTTGAAATTTATAATAGCCAGCTCTCACATATCTCTTACACATATACAAAACTTCCATTTACAAATACATATTCACACAATGGTTGATACTTCAAAAGAATAACCTAATCTCAGTACACTGTTTTCTACACAAACAATATGCAAATACAAGGGAACTGATCCTGTCAGTGCTCTCAAACTGATGCCTATTCTTTTTCAATGGCACAGACTAAGTGAGGATGAGACGTCAACATTGAATCTCTTAAGCCTGGAGGACGATGACAAAGAGAATGGGTTCCCCCCTACACTGGTACTCTCATTCTTTGGAATTTGCCAACATTCATAGCCTTTCAAAGCAGTTCAGAAAATTGTTGCTATATTAACATATGACAGGATGGAACTCCTGGTCTTCACTTTGCAAGTCTAGCACAAAAAATGTGTGAGTGTTAAGGTTTTAAAGTCCCAGACAGCTGTAAGCCAGATTTTGCACAGTAACTATAGCAGTATGAAAAATATCCCCAAGTTATAATGCACAGCATTGTTTTCTTAAAAGTAAAATATTAACCAAAGTAATTCATGTAAGAAATATTGTTCCATCACATGCAATGAAAGCTTTTGAAAACATAATACACAACACAGGAGGTCTGTGCACTTAAAAAAGAAAAAAGAAGATGCAGCCTGAATATTAAAAAGCTGTACAGATTATTTCAGAACTATTTTAGTCAATAAAATATTAGCAGCCCTGCCATCCCATGAACCTAGCAGCATCCAGATTCGCAAGTTGCCTGCCTAACAAATAGTTAACTCATTGTTACAATAGAATAACATTATGTACAAAGCATGAGAACAGCATAAATGCATTCATGGAAGAGTTGTGATTATCTGCAACCATCTATAGCAGGCTACAGTTTGGAAGTGAGCATTTTTCTACAATAAAATGTATTTTTAAAAAATCTCACCATGCTACTGAAACATTTCATCTTAAGAATTATATGGCTGGGTGAAATTTTACCATGAAGCCTACCTAAATAAGCCCCATAGAAAATAAAGGTGGAGTCTTCCAAGTGCATTTTAAAAGTGTAATTACACGATTTTTGTCAGTGTTTGAATTCAAGTGTAAGCTTAAGATAGCTACATATTTCCTAAAGGGAGAAACCAGCTGTTTTCTCTTTGTGGTTTGAAGCAGCGCCTAAACTTGTTTGAAACATTACTGTAATATGATATCAGAGCTCTGTAAACTGAAACACTGGGTGGAACAGTTTCCTGCTATGAACATTTTAAAACGACCTGCAATAACACTGCTATGAGGTTACTATCGGGCAAACACTTTGTGTTACTTCCACTTGTAGAAAGGCTCCTGTAATTACAAGAGGTACTACCCAGTATGTTTTATTCCCCATAACAAATACTATTTTACAATAAGACCTTAGCTTCAGATTCAGTTCTACAGACACATTCAAGTCACATTCTAAACTTCTACTGGAGAGTTGCATATATTGAAAATAAAGTATGAACAGGTCTCACTGGGAGTTCTTTCTTACCTTGTCTGTTCTTGCAATATGAGATGGGGCTCCACAAAGAATTTGACACGTAGTTTCAGTCTGTAAGGAGGCAGACCATCCATCTGCTGGGATATTCTATTTCGCAAATTCAGCCACAAATTCTCTCCTTTACTGCCTGTGAACTGGAGTCCGAAGTAATCAACTTCTATAATGCCCAGTCGTCTACAAACCTATGATTAAAAATTGGAGCATCATAAAAGTTAGTACAAGAATCATCATGAAGTAGTGTGGCAAGACGTTGTTTAACAAACTTCAGAAGTCCACAAAACAATATGCCACTTGATACTGGTGGAGCTGATAAACAAGCATATACTACAAAATGACAAGCTAAATCAGATTGCTCTTAGAGTGCCAGAACCAACACCTCATACCTAAAGCTTGTAGAAAGAATGATCCTTCTGTGCAAGAATATTCACCATGTTGTAAACACCAAATCCAAAGACTTGGGTCTCCTGCCAAAAACATGTACAGTTGGGTGAACGTTCAGGGTTAAATGAGCATAAACAATGGGCGCAGCTGGGCCACTGCATAAAACCCTGAACTTCTCCATGCACAGGTTGAAAGCAGACGGTTCAATCAATCCCACGCTCACATGTGCCATGTACATTTACACCACGTGGTGCCAACGAAAACTAGAGCCTTGCAGGGTTCAGTTGCCTGCCGCAACAAATATAACGATTAGTCCACATGCCTTGCCAAGCACAGTATTCCCCATGCAGGGGCGATACATTTAGGGGGGGCAGTCAAGTCACCTGCCATCGCCCCTGCAAAGTGCCACGTGGCTAATGCTAGAAAAAGGGGGGGGGATTTCAGGATGTGGGATGCGAGGGGGGGGGGCCAGCAGCTCAGTAAGCAACGCGTGGGAGGAAGCCAGAGCAGCAGCGTCGCTGCAGGCTCCGCAGCTCCGAGGCCGTCGCATCCCTCTCCCCTTGCCTGCATCCCCCCATCCCGATCCCCAGCTGCTCTGTGTCCAGTCCCACCGAGCACGAGAAAAGGCGGCGGCTCTCGTTCGGAGAATCTCGAGGCGAAGCAGAGAGCGCGCGAGAGCAGCCCCGTCGCGGCTCGTGGGTCGCGAGCTCCTTCAACGACCATTCATGAACCAACGGCGGGTTGCGGGAAGGGGGGGGGAGAGAGCGAGAGAGAGCAAACGCGCGCGGCTCTTCACCTGGTCGAGGCAGTCTTCGCCGTTGGCCTTGGCCTCTACCTCCACCTCCATCACCACCGCGTCCGGCCTGGTCACATAGCACAGCATGGCCGCTGCCTTGTCGCGAAGACGCGCACCGAAGAGCCCCGGCTGCCTCGCGGCTGCCCACCACCACCCGCCAGCCCGCGCCCTCCCCCTGCGCTCAAACCTTTTCGTGCTTTGAGGCGAGCGGCAGTTGGCGCTCCTATATCTCTCCTCGGCGCGCTCCCCTCCCTCCTCAGACCCCGCCCTCCGAACGAAAGCGAACCAATGCGCGCACGCTGCTCTATTTACATGCAGCCGTCCGAGCCAACCGAAGCGGCGGGGGAGGGGGGGTGGCGGTTTGTTATTGCCAATATAGCCTCATAGAGGTTGGCAGAGGGAATTTGAGGTTTCCGATTGCATATCGTAGGAGCTCCATGTGCGGGGCAAGAAGGGTGGAATCGAATAGGAATCGGTGAAAAAAGTGAAAGGGAAACAGGCACGGTTTATGTGCCATAGACGATGCCCGATGAGATAAAGCTTAGTTTTAAAGCACCCAGGAAGCAAGTCTTTAGTTCAAGGTCATCATATGTAGCCACCACTTCCATTATATATGTCCTTTCCCAATTTCTGTTAACAGGCACATACTAGGAAGGCTTATCCTGTTAGTGCTAGGCACTGACTGGAAATGACCATCTGAATAATATTTACCTGAATATTTACCACAATGGTTACTTACCTGATTTCTTATTTTAACTTCGTTATTTGGTTTTCATTGTAAGAATTTATTTACAGTTCTTGTGAACTGCACTGATTTTTAATGAATTAGCAGTATAGATATTCTATAAATAAATTAAAGGGCAAATCTGAAGAAAAGTATTTTTAAGGCTGAAATCCTATCCATACTTGTGTAAGAGGAAGTCCCACTGAACTACTTTTGAGTAGACATACATAGTTAATAAAGTAACTGTTAATAAAGTAACAGCAATTATTATACTGAATGTGATCTAAAATATGGCATGTAATAAACCATATATATTTATCAGATAAATAGGACCATCCTTAATATGAATAGTAACTGCAACACCATCATGCTGTAAAACACTTTATAATAAGAACAACTAGCATACAGCTTTTACTGTTTGACATTTTATTATGTTTTTATATGTGCTGGAAGCTGCCCAGGTTGGCTGGGGAAACCCAGCCAGATGGGCAGGGTATAAATAAAATTATTTATTTATTTACATGGGAGTAGCTGTGTGGTACTCCTATAATGCACACACCCCATTAAGATAGGAAGCATACTTAGCTCAATTTTTCTTTGAATATACTTTGATGAAATCTAAGTGGTGGGTTGCATCACTCTGTCTACTGAAAAAAACTAAATGAAGGTTTCCAATCAGGGTTGTAAGAGAGAGATCTTTGTTAGATCTTTGGAACTGCAAGTAAGCTTGGCTATACTGTGCACATTTGTTGCTTAAGAAAACACTAAATGGAAAATGCAGATAAACTGTCCAACGTTATGTTTTACCAACAGTTCTGTTAATCCAGGAGAGGCAAAATAAAGAGTGGTATATTGGTAATTTAGTACTTAATATTGCAATGTGGTATATACTGCTATCTACTACTAATGCCTTTCTGCTTTTTCTGCATAAGACAAACATGCTAGTCTCTCTGCAATGCAAAAGAAGAGAAGACATAAAACTGTTGTCAGAAAACACTAGGATAACATTTTACTCTCCAAGGACATTGGCCACTTGGGAGACTCCAGCATATGGTTGCTGCATGACAACCAACAGTGATGCTTGATTCTATGTATTTTTGTCTGAATAGAGACAATTGTTTCCCACCCCACTGCAGGTATTAACTTAGCAATGCTAGCAGGATTTTTATCATTTGTTAGGGTTGCCATACATCTGGAATTTCCTGGACATTCAGCCCTCGTAAACAGCATCTGGGTGGAAATCACTTAAATCTCCAGGAATCTCCGGATGTATGTCAGCCCATGTAGGTAGTGTAGAATTTGGGTTCATTTCATTTAAGAAAGCTCAACAACTTTGCCCAAAAAACAAACAAAAAATAAACCCAAAACTTTTGTATCTGGATTTTCACTTTTTGAAATATGGCAACCCTAATTTATTACCCCTGTAATAACTTTTCATAAAAGTTACTGCTTATTTTGCACACATTTCAGCTCTGATTTGAATGGTCACAGGCTATACTTTTGCATTTTCTTGCCCTTCACCTATTACAATATTTATTTATATAAAAAATATACAACCACTGTATCATAAAAATATATCACAGCATGCATACACACACATACATACACCTTTACCTGTCAATGATTATACTTTATGCATCTGATCAAGTGGACTCTAGCTTATATATTTGCCACATTTTTCCTTGTTGCTTTTGATGTACTACCCCTCTGGAAGTTTATTTCAAAATACTGTACTACAGCAAAAAAAGAGCTTCCGTCTCTGCCTATTTTCATTTTCTCCTGCAATCTTATATGCAATTCCATCCTCTCATCCTGCATATGATAGATTCTGCAGATTGTGGGGAACCTTTTTTTATTATCTTGGTTACTGTGGGGGACTGTGTTATATTATCCTCAGTCATTGTTGCTTGCAACCGCCACCTAGTGGTGCCAATTACAAAAAACAACAACTAAGGTCATCTTAAAACAAGAGTCTCCCACTCCGCCCTGTGGCAACCTGCAGTTCGTTCAACTGGGACAGAGCTTTCCAAACTTTTCATGCTGGTGACACACTTTTTAGACATGCATCATTTGGCAACACAGTAATTCAGTTTTACTAGCAAAATGGAGGGTAAACTAACCCCTTCCCAGCCCCGGGAGGAGTGTAGGGAGTATTTGCGTGACACACCTACACACTGCAGGCAACACAGTAATATGTTGCAACACACAGTTTGGAAAGCTCTGAACTAGGTATATGAAACAATCCTAAGACCTTGCAGGGAGAGGGCAGAGTGTCTGACACTGTTGGGTAAGCTTGTATTGGATGCTGTTGACAAGCAGTAACTTTCTTGGCCTGAAAACGGCCTAGTTTCAATTCCAGCATAAGCAGAAGCTCACTACCCTTCCTACTGAAGGCTCCTTCTCCAGAGCTAGAATATGCAGTTCAAAATAATTTTGAAGTCACTTTTACATTTATTCTAATACAATGCTGTGTTCACTGGCAGAGGAATGGGGGTGCGGAGGAAGCGGACCGTCCCCGGCATCACTATTCTGGTAGGGTGCAGTCACGGCGCCCCCGACACTCGCCACGCACCCCCCCATGCACTGGGTGCCACGGCCCCAGAACGCATGCCACTCCCTTGCGGGCAGCGTACCAAACCCCCGGGATGCACGACACGCCCCCGTGGCACCAGCCATGCCCCTGCCTGCTCTCAGCCCCCAGTAGTGGAGCATGCACTGGGGGGGGGGATTGGCTCTCCATACTGTGCACCCAATCCCTCAATTTATATGCGACTGTGGAAGAAACACAATTAAAGATATAGGTTTGCTGCTACTAGCACAGGATGCATTTCTAAGGTGCAATCTCCAAGCATAAAGCAGGGCTTCTTAATGTCTAGCAACAAACATTATGGCCAAGTCTACCTGGAAACCCTTTTTCTTGTGGGGGCACTCCCACCATTACTTAGTGCAGCGGTCAGCAAACTGAGGTCTGCGGGCTGGATCAGGCCCAATTGCCTTCAGGATCTGGCCTGCGGACTGTCTGTGGATCAACATGGGGATTATGTTCGTTTGGGCTGCGCCATATTTTTTCCTGTGCCATTCCATTTCCCCCACCTCTCCCTCACACATACTGCGGCGGCGCCTCCTCCCTCCCTCCTCCTGGCTTCTCCCCGCCCTGCCTAGAGAAGGAAGGAGGCTGGGTTGAGCGCCATTTTAAGCAGCCCCTCTCCGGAGCCAGCCCTTTCATGCTGCTCATCTTCCCACCACCGCTGCCGCCCTGGCGCTCCTGTGGGCCAGAGAGCAGAGCAGACGAGCTCGCTATGCCTACCCACAAGAAGCAGAAGCAGTGGTGGTGGTGGTGGTGGCAGCCCCTGGGAAGGTAAGCACAGCAGTTGGGGATGGGGTGGGGGGAGGACTACGTGCCCCCCTCGCCTCTTCTTCCAGCTCCCCCCCCAGTGCCGCTTCTCCAGCCCGCCACAAGGTCTGAGGGACAGTGGACCGGCCCACGACTAAAAAATTTTGCCGACCCCTGACTTAGTGTCTCATAAATCACATGCAGAGTTGCAGGGCCTTTTTTCAGCCGGAACTCACTGGAACTCAGTTCCGGCACATCTCACATGGGTGCCATGGCCGTTATAAGAGAATAAGGGAGGCGTTCATGGCGAGTTGTGGCACCTCTTTTTCCAGAAAAATAGCACTGCAGAGTTGTTTCATGGTCACCACAGAGGACCCACCAATTATTTAGAAGGTTCAAAGAAAATATAATGCAGCGGGCATTTGCCAGTTTCTGAGCCCACCATCCCTGCCTCATAATGTTACAGCTCTACAGAATCTCTTAGAGCAGATAGCAATCAACTCTATAGGATTTTGCCAACCAGACAGGGCCCTTTTAACGGGAGCACTGAGTACGGTTGTCACAGGTCTTTTACACCGAAGGCCTCAAATATGAAGAGCCCACAGCTTTGTTGCTAACTCTCAGAAACACGAGACACAGAGGAATGTCCAGGTTCCCTCAGTGCTTCTCTCAGCAGCTGGGCTTAGCCTCTGCTTCCCCTCACAAAGATCATCCGCCCCACCTGTCCTGTAAGGAGGAACAGCAGGACCAGACGCTCTGAGGCAATGGTATCAACAGCACCCTTGTGAGACCTACCTGCCATGATGGCAGCGGATGATTACAGCTAGCCCCCAAAGGCCAAGGCCTCACACTGTAAAACCAGCAACTTATCGGCTGCATTTACAGCCATTTCCAGGACATCTGGGTCACTAGGGTATTCTTGAAAGGCTGCCAAGACCTGCTTTTTGAACTGTGAGCTGCTCATTTCCATCCAAGCTGGTCATTGAAAAATCAAGTTTGATGCCTGAGCTTTCCTCTACTTTCCCTGTTCCTTTTCCTGTTGTGTCATCTCAGATTTTAAGTCCAAGGGCAGATTGTGTGTGTGTGTGTGTAAAAAGTTTTCCCAGCTGACAATAGGTATAAGATGCTTTGAATGAACAACCCTTCCCTGGATTCAAGTAACTTGAGCCCCATAAAACCAAATGGGGAAAATCACGAAACAAGCTCCATAATAGGTGCTTTTGGCACCACAAGATGAGCGACAAGAAGAAGTGATGGCAGGCAGTAGGAAGAGCAAAAGCCCAGTCCAACCATGTAGTCAGACTTGGCTGCATACCCCACGAGGCTCTCTGTACCCCTCAGTGCCAGGCTCCTGACTGACCAGCAGATACAGAAAAAAGAAGAGTGGGAACAGTTCAAAATGGACACAGCCAACAAAGAGACCAACAGATGGGCTAAGAGGAGATACAAAGATAGTAAATGAATGGCGGTGCCGGTGCCTCTGTGGAACCAAGGTAGGAAATGGAGGTAGGGAGAAAAATGGAGGCCCCAGAGGTGTAATCCTGAGAGGGAAAGTGTGTATGTGCGTATGTAGCATTACTTTTATTTAGAGATGAATTGGGGGAATTAATTGGCTTGTAATTTTTATTTAGAGATGAATTGGGGGGAATTAATTGTCTTGTCTTCGGTAAAATAGGTGTGTTTGAGCAGCAAATGGGGTTCAAATGAGTGGCCTTGTGTTTGGAGGTTCATATACCACATCTCTTGCCTTTGATCAAGGTTCTTGGGCAATATATTTATTGCTTAGCCTCACCAGTTTGCATTTTGTATAATGGATGCTTTGCTGCAATATTAAATACTGTGATTGTTCGCCACTCCCCCCCCCCCCCCGAGACAGCCATTTTGTGACTGGCTGGGTCTCCACCATGGCAGCCATTTTGTGACAGCTACCACCCAGCATTTTCTCAAAATGGGCCCCTGCAAAATCCCGTCTGTAATATTGATGTAGTTTTTAATTATTTTAAAGGCATGTATACAATAGAACTACCTTCTCAGCCTGTGAGTACGTAACACTCTCTGCTCATGTGTGACGTTAAGAGAGATGGTTGTCTAATGCTTTCTATATAAAAATACCCATTCTAAATTGACTTATTTCAGATAAAATATGTTTAACATAGGATATGGGAACCCTAAGACAAGTGAATTAAAATTTGTTTGTATTTGACTTTTTAGAGACATAACATCTTTATACTGCTTCTGACATCAATATATATGGACTAAATGAGCATTTTCCTCGCTCCCATCCTTCAGTTATGCAAATATTTTTTTAAATGACATTGACATGTGGTACGGTAGGCGGTGGTCAAATGCCTCAGGCCTTAAAAATGCACTTAGAGTAGAAAAGTCAAACGTTTGTATATATTCCTCCTTAGTCTTGCACTTTAGTAATAACCAAGTCAAACTATTTGACTGTGCTCAGAACACGTTAGTCCCTTTTTAGAGGGGCTTTCCACAAACACCAAATGAGTGAAATGACGAATCCATTTCTAAAATAGGACATGAAAGCTTGGGTAAACCGGTTTTTGTCAGTGATGTACTAAGCAGGCCTCTTTTGCAACCTATAAATCAGGAAATTGTCTTTAAAAATGCCTTGAAGCCATCAATACGTTCCAACTTCCTTTATTTGCACATATTTGCATTTGAGCTTATGTTACGGTTAATCATTTCAAAAGGTGTATTATTACACTTTCCCTGTAAGCTATTTTTATAAAGAAGGTTGAGGATTTAATGCATGCATTTGAATCCTGGTGTGTTTTAATAAACCACAAGGCATTACATATATTTTGCTAAACTCATTATATTGATAACAGTGCTTGGTGACAATGAGAAACACAAAAGGAAAGTCTGTTCAGTAAACTGCTGAATTTAGGCTATACAGTGGTACCTCGGGTTACATACACTTCAGGTTACAGACTCCGCTAACCCAGAAATATTACCTCGGGTTAAGAACTTTGCTTCAGGATGAGAACAGAAATTGTGCTCCGGTGGCACGGCGGCAGCGGAGGCTCCATTAGCTAAAGTGGTGGTTCAGGTTAAGAACAGTTTTAGGTTAAGAACGGACCTCCGGAACGAATTAAGTACTTAACCCGAGGTACCACTGTACGTCTATTTACACATTTTCAGGGGTAAGCCCACTGAACACAGCAGAAAATACATTTGAGTAAAAATATTCAGATATAGCAAGTTATGAAGGACTTAACACTTTTCCTTTTTCAAAATTGTTTTGTTTTCTTCTGGTTTATTGGCATACATAGCCCATGCATCTGCATAAAGGGAAAGAGGTAGAGGTGATCTATCATTATCATTATCATTATCATTATTAATTTATTTATGCTCTGACATTTTCCTTGATGGGGCTCAAGTCTACAGATAAAAACAGGAATCACTAAAAACACAGAAAATAAATCTTAGGATAATTTTCTGGTCGTATTGAACATTTTCTGGTGTCATAAAGAATTATCTAATTTAGCACATTTAATTTTACCTGTTAATTAATTAATTAATTAATTAATTAATTCCACTTATGAATAATGTCCCATAAAGTATCTCAAAGTTATTTCACAATAAAACCATCAGCAATAAAATAAATACACCATTTCATTTATAAGAACAATTAAAACCACTTTCATTATGTAAAAACCTTTTCAGGTCTAGTGCAGATAAAGACTAGGGTAAAGATCTCAATTGAAAAGCTTATTTTTGAAGAAAGGTCTTCAATTAGGTCTTGAAAGAACAACAAAGATGGTGCCTGTCTGATATGTACTGGGAAGGAATTTGAAGTAGGAATTAGGTGCCACCATGCCAAAGGCTCAGTTCCTAAGTACAGCATGGATGTCCTGATGAGGCAGTATCTGAAGGAGGCCCTCTACTTCACAGCATAGTGGTTGGTTTGGTAGAATAAACCTAAACACATGGAAACTGCCAAGCTTGCCATTATATTTGCATTTGGCATCCATTCATTGTTACTTATGAACTTAGGAAACAGACTTTTTTTCCCCTGTGGAAAAAATAAAGCACTGGAAAAATGTCCACCCCACCTCACTGGCCTCCTCCCACCATGCTTTTATGAAGCCATAATGCCTTTCAGCAGACAGAAGGGCTGGATTAATGCTGGTAACTCCAATATTGTTTCCAGTTCCTGGTTTGCTTCCACCACCTGCTTCAGTATACAACAACTATGGGCTGACGCCCCTTCTAACTTCACTCACCAACTGCCACACACCACCTCTTATTCCTCTGAAAGGCCCTTGCTCCTTGCCGAAGTCCCCCTCCCCTCCCCTGAGTCCCTCCCCCTCAATAATAAATAATAATAATTTATTATGTATACCCCGCCCATTTGGCTGGGTTTCCCCAGCCACTCCGGGCGGCTTCCAAGAAAACACTAAAATACAATAACCTATTAAACATTAAAAGCTTCCCTAAACAGGGCTGCCTTCAGATGTCTTCTAAAAGTTTGGTAGTTATTTTTCTCTTTGACATCTGGTGGGAGGGCGTTCCACAGGGCGGGAGCCACTACTGAGAAGGCCCTCTGCCTGGTTCCCTGTAACTTTGCTACTTGCACTGAGGGAACTGCCAGAAGGCCCTCAGTGTTGGACCTCAGTGTCCGGGCAGAACAATGGAGGTGGAGACGCTCCTTCAGGTATACCGGGCCGAGGCCGTTTAGGGCTTTAAAGATCAGCACCAACACTTTGAATTGTGCTCAGAAACGTACTGGGAGCCAGTGTAGGTCTTTCAAGACCGGTGTTATATGGTCTCGGCAGCCGCTCCCAGTCACCAGTCTAGCTGCCGCATTCTGGATTAGTTGTAGTTTCCGGGTCACCTTCAAAGGTAGCCCCACATAGAGAGCATTGCAGTAGTCCAAGTGAGAGATAACTAGAGCATGCACCACTCTGGTGATCTCCATAGCTCATCTACACTATTGTTGAACCCACGGCACCACCAGAAGCCCACCTTACTCATCAGCTATGCCCCTGTCTGTGCTGCTGTGCACAAGTGGGCCAGCCTCTCTCTCAACCCACCCACCATGACAACCGCAGTGGCTTCTTGGCTTCTTCAACACCCTCCACCAGAACCCAACCTGCTCACCCACTCTGCCACTTCACCACCTCTCTTGTTCATCTGCTCTGCCCCCGCCACCCTTCTTGCTTGCCCTACTGGCACAAGCCCCAGTTGCTCACCCCACTGTCCCACTTGCTCAACCTACATGCCTGTCTGATGCTTCACTCAACCTGGACCATGCACAGTCCATCGTCAGCATAACAGTGGACTAGTGCAAATATATTATAGAGCAAAATATTGCAGAGGTACTGTAGTATCATTTCATGCCCCTGAAGACTGCTGGGTACTGGGGCCATACCAGAACTGTTGGAGGTCAGAGGCAATTGTATTTCATCCTGCAGGGAGCTTTACTGCTACTGAAGGCAAATGAGCATAATGGTCACAAATCCAATACATTCAGGATTTGCACTGTCCATAAGAAAACCAGTTGCAGCAGACTTAATTTATATTTACAATAACTTATAATAAGTCTAAACCTTAACACTAAGCATACTTACAGAACAAGAACAAGGTATAAATGGGACATCAGCATAAGCACAAAAAGTAACAAAGTAAATAAATAATGCCCTTAACAATGCATAAATCACAGATCACAAAGGCATAATTATTCCAAGGGTGAAAAATTGTGCCAGGGAACATTTATTTCCTATGCACACCTGACACTTTAGTCACATGCCCAAGTGACATCATCCTGGGCTACTTTGGCTTTGTCACATGTGTTCAAACCCATGCAAGGCAGGCAAACTGCAAAATAAACTTTTGAGTGTCTGAAAGTAAATTTGCCTGTTTTAAGTTATTAAAATTTAAGTATTAAAATTAATCCCACATCGATTCAACTACAGTGGGATCTTGGTTTACAAACTTAATCCATTCCGGAAGGCCGTTCTTAAACCGAAACCATTCTTCAACCAAGGCATGCTTTCTCTAATGAGGCCTCCTGCCGCTGGTGCCCTTCCACCATTCGGATTCCGTTCTTAGATCGACGTAAAGTTCACAAACTGGGACACTACTTCCAGTTTTGAGGAGTTTGTAAACCAAATAGTTCATAAACAGGGCTGTTTTTAAACCGAGGTACCACTGTAATGGGGACGCGGGTGGCGCAGTGGGTTAAACCACAGAGCCTAGGACTTGCCGATCAGAAGGTCGGCGGTTCGAATCCTCGTGACGGGGTGAGCTCCCGTTGCTCGGTCCCTGCTCCTGCCCACCTAGCAGTTCGAAAGCATGTCAAAGTGCAAGTAGAAAATAGGTACCGCTCTGGCGGGAAGGTAAACGGCGTTTCCATGTGCTGCTCTGGTTTGCCAGAAGCGGCTTAGTCATGCTGGCCACATGACCTGGAAGCTGTACGCCGGCTCCCTCGGCCAATAAAGCGAGATGAGCGCCGCAACCCCAGAGTCGGCCACGACTGGACCTAATGGTCAGGGTACCTTTACCTTTACCTAAGGTTTGCCATCACTGGGAACTATGAAGCCATGGGTGGCTATAAAGTACTCTTCCCCATCTGATGCCCTCCGGGTGTTTTGGATTTCAAGGCTGGAGTTGGTAGGAGTTGTGGTCCACCTAGAGGACATCAGGCTGAGAAAGCCTGTTTTAGACTTCAGAAATGAGCGCTGCAACCCCAGAGTCGGTCACGACTGGACCTAATGGTCAGGGGTCCCTTTACCTTTACCTTTTTACCACTGTAATATGTGTAACAGTTTGCCTTTCTTATGTAATGACACAGACAGGATATTGACCATTGTTCTCTCTAACTACATTACAGAGAAGCTCTAAGTTACCCCCAGTTACAATGCTTGCTGTTTCCTTTTGTGACTTCTTTGCATTTTCCCCACCCCATATTTTGCAATGCTCAAAATGTATCATTTATTAGATAAGCAGGACATTTATAACAGCCTGGTTTGTTTTTATAGGATACACATCTGTAGTATGCTTAGCACAGCCTTCCTGTTCTCTCCCGCTTATTGTTGCTGTAAGTTTGGTATTATAAAACATTTGACAGCAAAAGATTATACAAGAGGGAAATTTATATTGGAATTCACTTCAGTTGGCTTGATACATATTAATCACAAATTGTAGCAGCTTGTAGCCTTTGAATACACCACACTTTACTCTGTTTTCAAATGAATGCCTCTCACATGTGGTAATAAGGTTAGCTTGACATTTCCTCATCCAGGAAGGTGACTGCTGCCTGCAAGTGATGTAGAAACCATAAAGTAGAAGGGCACCATTCTACAAAACCTTCAAATGCATAATACAGAAGCTGAGCCGCATGTTCACAGCCAGGTTCTCCCAACTACTGTTGGAGGCAGCATACCTCTGAATAGTAGTTGCTGGGAGTCAAACAGGTAGAGAGAGTACTGTCACGCTTTGGTCCAGCTTGAAGGTTTCCCATGGGCATCTCATTGGCCACTGTGACTAGATGGGCCCTTGGCCTGATCCAGCAGGGCTCTTCTTGCACTTAAAACACTGAGCAACTCAGAATATTTCATTCAGGCAACCTCCAGCAATATTTTTTATTATTGGTAGGAGTGTTGGTTTTTTTATTGACACCACCCCATATTGACATTTGATACCAAATGGATGAGTGGGCAGAAGAATCTTGAAGGTTGCTATTGGCTCTTGAAAACTACCACCAGCCTTCTTTTTTCAGGAGTGGAAGAAGCTGTACTAAGTGGCTATTGACCTGCCTGAGGGAAGAAGTGGGGAGGGAATGAGACTTGGCTTGAGGTCTTCTTGCATTTTAACAATAGCACTGATTGAAAGGTGCTGCATAGCAGCAGAAAGGCAAGAGATGCTATTACTGGAGACCTGTGCGCTTAGCACTTGTGACCTGTCCCAGAAAGAAATTCATAGAATCATAGAATCATAGAGTTGGAAGAGACCACAAGGGCCATCGAGTCCAACCCCCTGCCAAGCAGGAAACACCATCAGAGCACTCCTGACATATGGTTGTCAAGCCTCTGCTTAAAGACCTCCAAAGAAGGAGACTCCACCACGCTCCTTGGCAGCAAATTCCACTGTCGAACAGCTCTTACTGTCAGGAACTTCTTCCTAATGTTTAGGTGGAATCTTCTTTCTTGTAGTTTGTTATTCTACATATCCCAATATACTGAATGGTCAATACATGAAATTTATTTTCAGATGAGTATGAATACATGCCTTACTAATTTGCATTATTTGCAACTACAGCAAAGATCTCAATGTTTTTATTTTTTGTTTTTTAAATAAACTTGGTGGGCTGTAAAGGTGATTTATTAATTGGAATAAAGTAGAGATGAACCTGCAGAAGTTATTATTAAGGATTTATTTTAGCTATCCTCTGTACATTAGATGAAAATTGGGAAGATGTATCTCATATATTATGCCTATACAGCTGCTGTTATTTAGTATTGTATGCAACAGCCTTTGGCTACATCTACAAGCAGTACATATTTATTCTATCATCAAAACCTGTGGGAGTGGAAAAAGACCTCTTCCGCTCCTGCAAGAAAGAGGAAGAACCTGAGCCACTAGGGTGATGACTCCATTTGTTATTTTCTGATACAGAAATGAATGGAACTTGTTCAGTTTTGTAGCAAGCTGTTTTCAGAGACATAATTGGAATGGGGGGGGGGGGACTGCTTCCACTGCTGACATTGGGGTTACTGGTGTCGGGTACCAGTTTTCTCCAAAATGTAACACCGCAGCCTCAGCTTCCTGTTAAGTTATTAAGTGGCTTCCAAGTAAATGAGCTCAGACTGTGGCACAGCTGAGCCAGTATTAGGCAAGTGGATTTGGCCCCCTCAGATGCATTCCTAGATGCAAGTCTTTTTCTTTTCCCTAGATCTCAAAAAAGGGGGAAATTGGGCTCCATGGGCTTTAAATGGTGGTGCAGTTCAGGTACAGTGGTACCTTGGATTACAGATGCTTCAGGTTACATACGCTTCAGGTTACAGACCCGGCTAACCCAGATATAGTACCTCGGGTTAAGAACTTTGCTTCAGGATGAGAACAGAAATCACGCGGCGGTGCGGCAGCAGTGGGAGACCGCATTAGCTAAAGTGGTACCTCAGGTTAAGAACAGTTTCAGGTTAAGAACAGACCTCCAGAACGAATTAAGTTCTTAACCCGAGGTACCACTGTAATGGGAAACCTGATACTGTCTCAGTATGTCTTGGGCATTGTGTTAATGGACACAATGCAAAATGGGGTTTTGCAGAAGGTTGTGTTGGCTTGAAAAGGCCAAGGTAGTCTGAGTCTACCCACTACTTTTCCAAGGTACCTGCTCTGTTTCTTCTATTTTTTCCTCATGCTATTCTTCCTCACTGCTTATGGTTACCATCCAAGCTAGAGGTGTTCTGCAGCCTGCAGTCCTAGGAGTAGGTTTTGGACATTCGAGATTGGAGATTCAAGAGTTGGTAACGTGCTATGTTCAGCTGTTTGTTATTAAAGGTTGTTTGAAGAATTCAGAACAAACATTTGTTTACACATTTTCTTGAGAACAATTCATTTTTGCCAAACGTGGTTTTTCTGTCTCTTTAATATTTTTAAATTTTTAAATAATTTTTTAAAAAAAATATTTAGCAGTAAGGTCCATTGCAGCAAATAACATGCTGATATTTTTTGAAGTAAGCATTTGGTAAGTTCACTCCTGCCAACATATTTTTTTAGTAAGAGCCTTATTATTTCAGCTTGAAGAAGAGTCTTTAGAGTTCAGTTTAATTTTTGTGTGCTATGAGCTGCAAAATCTGATCCAGCTATAGCATATTTTCCATAACTAGGAGATTGCTATTCTCTCTCCCCCAGCCCCAAGAAATCTGCCAGCCACAGATCTAGGGCCTACTCAAGAAATCAAAGCAAATTTAACTCCTGGACCTAGGATCACTCTCACTCTGCGCCAGATTGACTGAAAGATCAGAGGTTAGAGATTGAGAATAGGCTTTAGCCTATCTCTTGTGCTTGACCCTAACCCTTTATTTCAGGGGTGGGAAACTGGATTCATCTGGTGGTCTGGATTCTGACATCCCCCAACCACTGCAGCCCACTTTGACAGGGGGGTGGAGCTTGCCTCCTGCCAATCACCTGATGTTTTCAAGTCAGGTAAAGTGCTTTTCTTTGCAGACCAGTTTGATTAACAAAGAAAAGAGTTATTTTGCCTGCATGGTATGAAATCAAACCACATGAGCAAAGTAAGTAGTGCTTGATTTCATACTGCATAGGCAAATGAAGCATTTCCCTGCAGAGCTTGCTGTATCAATCAGGTGATTGGCATTGACATGAAGACCTGCTTTAGGCAGGGTTCAGCTGCATTACAAAGTTTCTATTCAGGAACTCCGTAGTGCAGTCTGTCCAAGCAGGATTTGCTGATACTGTAGCACTAATCAGGTTATTGGCACTTAACAGCAATCCTTGTTTGCCAAGGAACAATTGGTAGTGCAGTTTACGACTTACACTTGTTTCTTTACAACCGTCTTCATCTGCTCTACACATGACAGCAGATAGGCGCTTTGGAGAAAACAGCCTTGCTGGCCAGAGGTTTCCCACTGTTGCTTTATCTGGACTACTAATACCCTTGTGAGCTGCATGATGGAATATTGGGTCTAGACCCTGTCTATACAGTATTCTCCTTACCAAGAAGTTGCTAGAAGGTTTCTGTACAGAGAAATCCTTTCCTTGCTTCATCATGCCAGTCATTTCCTCCAGTAGACCAGTGTCAGACTACATAGTAGCCAATAAGCTGTGCTTTTAGTTTTTATTGTATCTGTCTTACTGCACTTTCATATTTTTTTAATGATATTGTGGTATATAAGTATTTGTATGTCAGCTAGGTCATTCTCAGATTACCTATCTGTTCTAACAGCTGCTGTGGAAAGGCATTAGCAGACCCCTGGAGCCAATATATCAGGGATCAGCAAACTTTTTCAGCAGGGGGCCGGTCCACTGTCCCTCAGACCTTGTGGGGGGCCAGATTATATTTTGGAAGGGGAAAAAATGACACAAGAGCACGATGAGCCCTGGTGGCTGCTTATCTGTGTCTTGCGAGCGGCAGGGGCTGGCGGTGGCGGAGGCGGAACGATGAGCAGCGCATGAAAGGGCTCCGGAGAGGGGCTGCTTAAAATAGCAGCCGCTCGAGCACTGCTGCTGCTGGCACAAACTAAGCCCAGCCCCCTTCTTCCTCTAGGCAGGGCAGGGAGAAGCCAGGAGGAGGGAGGGAAAAGGCACTGGTGCCATGTGAGAGAGAGGGAGGGAGAAGGAAAGAATGCGGGTGCTGGCGATCCACACAGCGATTCCCGGACCGTCCGTGGGCTGGATCCAGAAGGCAATTGGGCCTGATTTGGCCTGCGGGCCTTAGTTTGCCGACTCATGCAATATAGGAATCTTCTGCCTAGTTGAAGTGGCAGTCACAATATCCAGTTGGAAAAGAGGCATGAAGAGAATATTGTATGCCTGTGACTGCACTTCTTTCATCGAGCCAATGTAGGTTGCCTCCTCTTATTAGCCACTCTTGTTTGAACTCTTCTCTGTCATAGTCTGCTGACCTAACATAGCTACAGGAGGAAAAATTGGATCTTATTCTGGCTCATGTATTATAAATATGATTGTTGTGTACATTTCAAGTGTAGTATGTCACTCACCTGCAGGTGATAGTGATGTCTAAGCCTGAAATAAATTGGCTTGAGTTTTAGATTTTTAAGAGAGTGGGGGATGACAGAAAATGAATATTCTCCCCTGTAACAGATGTCAGCTACACACAGGTCAGATGGTGCCAGCCTAGTAAGTTAACCGAAAATGAAAAGCAAAGATACACTCTATCACAGAATAAAATTAACATTACCCTGCATTTCTGAATGGATGAGATGTTCCATTAGGGATTTCAAATTCATAATGTGATTCCACTACACTCCCTTAGGACTGACAAGAATGTAAAGAACCATGTACAGTCTCTCCATGCATAATTTTAGGTCACAAATCTTAAGCATCTGGTGCAGTCAAGGAAAGAAAAAAGCTCCACTAAAAACCCACTTTACCCCCCCCCACACACACATTGCTGGAAATATGATATGAATGAAGTGGCTTTGATCTTGGTAACACAGTAGCCCTCCCCACTTTTTACTAGCACTAAGGGCTGCATGGTTACAGAAGGGCTGCAGGGCCAAGGGCTGCTTTTGTGCCTACCCATGAAGTTGCCTCTTAGCCACCCACCCATAGCAGAATAACTTCAGAAGTGTGGAGCCTTAACTCTCTGTCTAGGGTCTGATTTAGATCCCTGATCTTCCAGTGTTCTAAGTCTTATAGGGAACGTGGGGGGGGGGGTCTTTACTTACTTCTCTATAATGGCAAAGCCCATCTCCCTGCTCCAGTGGTTCTCCTAAACCCCTGCCACCGCTACCATTCATTTTTTTACTTCCTCTGATCCTTTAACTTCCCAATAACCTACAGTGGTGCCTCGCAAGATGAAATTAATTCGTTCCGCGAGTTTTTTTGTCTAGCAAATTTTTCGTCTTGCGAAGCACGAAATCCCATAGGAATGCATTGAAATTCAATTAATGCGTTCCTATGGTCAAAAAACGTCCAAACAAAGCCAAATTTGGTACAACAAGAGTTTATTAAGTGCTCTTTAAAGTCACACATACTGTAAAGAGCATTTCAAAAATTGAAGGAACAATTAATTAAGTTTCTAAACATGACAGAAAAACATTTTAAAATCAACAAAGTGTACAGTACATTTTCTAAGACTCTGGGGGACCACTCGAAGAAGGTTCCTCTTCCACTCTTTGCTTCTTGCTGAAGAACCTGTCCATGGTCTGCTGCTTCATCCGCCTTTTCAGCACCTCCCTGAAAGGCGACATGACCGTCGTATCAAAAGTGTTCGCAAGGTCATGTGCCACGTGCTTGTTAGGGTGGTGCCCTAACATCCTTCCACTTCATGCAAATGTCCCTCAGTTCTTTGGAGGACAGCCGTTCCTCAGTTGCTTCCTCCTCTTCCAGCGAGGTCTGCTCCTGCGCAGCCTCTGCCTGCAGTTCGACCAGCTCCTGGGTGGTCAGCTCATGGTCGTGCTCCTCCACCAGCTCGCAGACGTCCTCCTCTGTGACCTCCAGGCCCATGGTCCTCCCCAAGGCAACAATGTCCTGCACCACTGTTGACTCTGGTGCATCAGAGTCACTTGGTGCCACACAGTCCGGCCACAGGCTGCGCCAAGCGCAATTCAAATTTCTCTGGCTGATCCCGTTCCAGGCCGTGGTGATCATCTTCAAGCAGGTGACGATGTCGAAGTGGTCCTTCCAGAATTCCCGCAGGGTGATGGTGGTGCAATCAGTCACCTCGAAGCATCGCCTGAAAAGCTCCTTGGTGTAGAGTTTTTTGAAATTGGCGATGACCTGCTGATCCATCGGCTGGAGCAGTGGCGTGGTGTTAGGCGGCAGGAACATGATGCTGATGAAGCTGAACTCCTCCAACAAGTCCTCCTCAAGGCCTTTAGGATGAGCAGGAGCATTGTCCATCAGAAGCAAAGCCTTCAGCGGCAGGTCGTTGTCCAGCAGGTACTGTTTGACAGCAGGGCCAAAAGCAAGATTGACCCAGTCCACAAACAGCACACGTGTGACCCAAGCCTTACTGTTGGATCGCCACATGACACTCAGCTGCTCCTTGTCGACCTTGTGTTTCTTGAAGGCCCGTGGGTTCTCCGAGTGGTACACCAGCAGGGGCTTGATCTTCAGGTCGCCGCTTGCGTTGGCACAGAAGAGCAGGGTCAGACGGTCCTTCATGGGCTTGTGGCCAGGCAACTTGGCCTCCTCCTGTGTGATGAAAGTCCTTTTGGGCATCCTCTTCCAAAACAGCCCGGTCTCGTCGCAGTTGAAGACCTGCTGTGGAACGTAGCCCTCCGTCTTCACAGCCTCCAGGAACTCCGCTGCAAAGTCTTCAGCCGCAGGAACATCAGAACTGGCAGCCTCTCCATGCCTGACCACGCTGTGGATTCCAGATCTTGCCTTGAACCGGTCAAACCAACCTCTGCTTGCCTTGAAGACTTCTGGCTCGCCTGAGGTTCCTGGCTGTTCCCGGACGAGGTTTGCGTGCAAGGCCTTGGCCTTCTCACAAATGACGGCCTCAGTCGCTGTGTCCCCTGCACGCTGCTTCTATTCTAACCAGATGAGCAGCAACTTCTCGACCTCCTCCAGAACAGCTGGGCGGTTCTTCACGATCCTGGTGACTCCCTTGGCTGCATCAGTCGCAAGGATCTTCTCCCTCATCTTCAGGATGGTCCCGATGGTCGATGGGTTCCTGCCGTACTCCCTGGTGAGGTCTGTCACACGCATTCCACCGTCGTGCTTCCGGATGATCTCCTTCTTCATTTCCAGCGTCACCTTCTCCTTCTTCCTCTCGCCGGCCTCTGCAGCAGCAGTCTTCTTGGGTCCCATGGCAGCACAGCTCCTACCTTCGTAAACTCAGAAAAAAAATAATCAGTGCTTCACACCCAAAAAATTCAAAAGCACCCAGCCACCCACCACACAGAAATTCAAACCCAGAACCAAGTCCTTGAATTCCAAACACCCAACCCAAAATCCAACCCCCCCAAAAAAAGTTTTAAAAGTTTAACTTACAAAATGGCTGCAAATCACCAAAGTCTTCAAAATCCTCAAATGGCTGCAAAAGAAGTTTTGGAAAAGCTTTAAAAATCACCAAAGTCTTCAAAAACCTCAACTGTCACAACTGCCCAATGGTCACAGAAAATCATAAAAATGCAGAAAAAAACCACACAAGCTCCCAGATTCCTGCAAACCCCTCCCCAACTGTTCCCCCAGCCACCCACCACACAGAAATTCAAACCCAGATTTTTTTTAAAAAAAACCAACATGGCCCAATGGTCACAGAAAATCATAAAAATGCAGAAAAAACCACACAAGCTCCCAGATTCCTGCAAACCCCTCCCCAACTGTTCCCCCAGCCACCCACCACACAGAAATTCAAACCCAGATTTTTTTTAAAAAAAAACACAACATGGCCCAATGGTCACAGAAAATCATAAAAATGCAGAAAAAAACCACACAAGCTCCCAGATTCCTGCAAACCCCTCCCCAACTGTTCCCCCAGCCACCCACCACACAGAAATTCAAACCCAGATTTTTTAAAAAAAACAACAACATGGCCCAATGGTCACAGAAAATCATAAAAATGCAGAAAAAAACCACACAAGCTCCCAGATTCCTGCAAACCCCTCCCCAACTGTTCCCCCAGCCACCCACCACACAGAAATTCAAACCCAGATTTTTTTTAAAAAAAACCAACATGGCCCAATGGTCACAGAAAATCATAAAAATGCAGAAAAAACCACACAAGCTCCCAGATTCCTGCAAACCCCTCCCCAACTGTTCCCCCAGCCACCCACCACACAGAAGTTCAAACCCAGATTTATTTTTTTAAAAAAACAACATGGCCCAATGGTCACAGAAAATCATAAAAATGCAGAAAAAAACCACACAAGCTCCCAGATTCTTGCAAACCCCTCCCCAACTGTTCCCCCAGCCACCCACCACACAGAAATTCAAACCCAGAATTTTTTTAAAAAAAACCCAACATGGCCCAATGGTCACAGAAAATCATAAAAATTCAAAAAAAAAACCACACAAGCTTCCAGATTCTTGCAAACCTCTCCCCAACACCAAGTCCTTGAATTCCAAACACCCCAACCCAAAATCCAAAAACCCCCAAAAAAGTTTTAAAAGTTTAACTTACCAAATGGCTGCAAAGAAGTTTTGGAAAAGCTTCAAAAATCAGCAAAGTCCTCAAAAACCTCAAAAAAGGCTACCACACCACGTGCTATGTGTTGCTCCTCGAAGTCAAGTCGCAACTGCACCTCTTCAAGCAATGCACCCTGGGTATTAACGGTTTTACGAAAAAGGAAACAAACTTGCAAGACGTTTTTGTCTTGCGAAGCAAGCCCATAGGGAAATTCATCTTGCGAAGTGGCTCAAAAAACGGAAAACCCTTTCGTCTAGCGAGTTTTTCGTCTTGCGAGGCATTCGTCTTGTGGGGCACCACTGTAGTTACTGTGGGGTATAGGTGTGGTATAAAGCCAGTCAGATACAGATATTATATTTAACAAGGTATTCATATTTGTTTATTAAAATATTATTAAGTGCACAAGCTTATCTGCTTACCATAGTACCGTATTTTAAATGATCAAATGCCTTGTTAACTTGTTACTGTCAGTTTAAATTCTACCAGCTTCCATTCAGCTATTAATGTTGAACTAAGACATCTTTAAGGAAGCAGTTAGTTACCGTGTTAAAACACTTTAGCCAAATTTCCCTCTTATTTTTTCCATCGCAGATAAGTCTCACCATAACCTTGCGCCTACTTTCCCAAAGCCAGACGCCTCACTTGGCCAGCTTTGGGAAGACAGCACAAGGACTGGGGGTAGGGGTGGGGTGTTGTTGAATTATGGCCTGTCTCCCCCCCCCCCCAACACAACAAGGCAGTGTGTGGTCTGCAGGTTTTGTGTCAAAGTACTGTTGTAGCCCACTTGGTATGGGAAGTGTACTACGTGAAACACCTTGAACTTCACTTGTTAAAGTCCTATAGTATCTATTAACATTAAGAAGGTGATTGAAAGCACAGCCCTAACTGTTCATTCAGAAGACCAATTGATATCAGTGGGGCTCACTACATAGTAAATGTAATTAGGACTTATTTGATGCACAGAATAATAATCATGAACATTAAATTTTGACATTATTGCCTCCCCATTCTCCGTGGTGCATTAAAAGGACATATCTAATTTCTCTGGTATTGCTCTGTTAAAGAAAATACTAAGATACAGTGCTCCATATCACAGAAAGTGTAATGGGCCATGCATTGATGAAACATGACATAACATTACTCTAAGCAATAGGTCAGAAATAAAACATTCTTGAATCCGATATTCTGTCTATCTTAGCTGGAGTCAGTAGCTATCACCATCTGTGAAATGCTCACCACTTATAAAGAAGAGTCATTGAAAGCAGTGAGCATTTCACAGATGGTGAAAGTTAGGAGCCATTTGAGATGCTCCAGACTAGGAAGGCTATCTTACGTTACATTTAAGTCCATTGCTTGTCCTGAGAATTTTATCAGAGCTTTGCTGCCAAATCAAATCATTTATAGGCACAGTATGAACACAAGAAGAGGAGACTAGAATAGACATAAGGCAGTTGAATATATATTTTGGTATAACAGTCTTGTATGTAGACCTGAAAGCCCAAGAATTACAAAAGAACATAAGAACAGCTCTGCTGGATCAGGCCAGTGGCCCTGAAAGCCAGTGCATTTCCTCACCACTATACAGTATAGCTAAACAGTAAATCAGGCAGGGGTGCCAACTTGCCCTCAAGATTGTGGGTGCCCACTGCCACAATGTGGACGTGTGACATCCCACTCACATGCCTGCGGTAGGAAAGAGCTGCTCATCTTACTCTCTGCAACTAGTGAGGCACCCTGCCTCATCATCCGAGGCCCCCCCAGAAAAGGGTAATTTGCTCGCTGGCTGTGGAGGCTGGAGCTGAACTTATTTGCTCTCAGAGGTAGTGCCGCTGCCACCTGACGGCTTTTCTCATGGATTTTGCGGGTGTCCGGCACCCACAGTTATATTATTGTTTGTGCCCAAGCACCCACAGCCCCTTGGAGTTGGCTCCTATGATGTCAGGAATGGAAAACTTGTAGTCCTCCAATTGTCATTGAATTCCAATTCCCTTCAGCCCCAGCCTGTGAAGCCATTGATGAGGATGATGGTCCAACAACTTCTGCAATGCCACAGGTTCCCATCCCTACAATTTTATTTTATTTTTAAAGCATCTTCTATAAACTTGCATGTGCTGTACAGTACCCACCTCCCCACTCCCAGAATTCATTTTAAACAACCAGGAATCATGTTGCCATTACAGAACAGAATTTAATTCTATAGAATTTAAGTGAAGGAATCCAATGGTATTTACTCATTATGTAAACAAACAATAACACAACTCTCTCGCTGCTCAGGCAACCAATAAGGTAAAAGTTACTTGTATATTATTTTGTGGGTACTAGTTTTGTGAAATGCTCAATATGGAGGCCAAATGGCTGAAATATTGGGAAATTTTGGAACAAGATGGAGATAGACTGAAATTACAGAGTTTTGAAAAATTAAAAAATAAAGTGCGAGACTGGCTTCATTATTATCAGATAATGGAGGCATATAATTTGGACAAGAAAATTGGCTTCCAGGTGGAAAAATCAAAATTGGAAACAGAACTGTTAGAACCCAAAACTAAGAATTTGTCAAGAATGTATAACTTGCTGTTGAAATGGAATACTCAGGATGAAACAGTGAAATCTGCTATGATTAAATGGGCACAAGATGTTGGACATAACATAATGATGGCTGACTGGGAACAGTTATGGACCACAGGTATGAAGTTTATGGCATGCAATGCCTTAAGAGAGAATATTATGAAAATGATATACAGGTGGTACATGACCCCAGTCAAGCTTGCAAAAATCTATCATTTGCCTGATAATAAATGTTGGAAATGTAAAGAAACTGAAGGTACATTCTTTCACCTTTGGTGGACGTGCCCAAGGATTAAGGCTTTCTGGGAGATGATATATAATGAATTGAAAAAGGTATTTAAATATACCTTCTTGAAGAAACCAGAGGCCTTTCTCCTGGGCATAGTCGGCCAATTGGTGCCAAAGAAGGATAGAACTTTTTTTATGTATGCAACAACAGCAGCAAGAATACTCATTGCGAAGTATTGGAAGACACAAGACCTACCCACTCTGGAAGAATGGCAGATGAAGGTGAAGGACTATATGGAACTGGTGGAAATGACTGGCAGAATCCGAGACCAGGGAGAAGAGTCGGTGGAAGAAGATTGGAAGAAATTTAAAGACTATCTACAGAAATATTGTAAAATTAATGAATGTTAGAATGTCCGGGAAACAAGCTAATGAAAAATAAGTAATGGAAAGATTGAGTTGTTTTTAACCATTTTTATTTTGTATTTTCTTCTTTTTTATTTTTATTTTGTAATATTTTGAAAATCTTAATAAATATCTTATAAAAAAAATAGTTTTGTGAAATGCTGTCTCATTTACTAACCCATTATAAGCAGAATAAATGAAGCAGGGAAGCTTTTTAAATGCAGTGGTACCTCGGGTTAAGTACTTAATTCGTTCTGGGGCCTCCCGCTGCTGCTGCGCCGCTGAAGCATGATTTGTGTTCTCATCCTAAAGCAAAGTTCTTAACCTGATGTCAGGGAACTGACATCGGAGCTAGAGGCGGAGGGGAGGCTCTCAAATGAAGCTGGAGAAGGGCCCAGCAGGGAGAGAGGCAGCTCAGCAGATGGGGAAGCAAATCAGCGCAACACCAGAGATAAAGAGGGGCAGATGGGGGAATCGGCGAGAGGGCTCCAGGACTCTTCACCGGACACCAGCGGGGAGAGCACGGGTCCTCCGCTACCCACGCCCTCCCTGCGCAGAAGGCTTCCGCGCAGGGAGAGTAGGAGGAGACTTGGCGTCAAACAACTTTTATGTTGGAAAAGGTTTAAGAAACGCCCACTGACGGATTCTGCTAGCGACTGAGGCAGCCACGAAGTGAAGGGCTGTCCAGACAGAAAGGTTTAACAAGGCAACATAGCCAGGAGAGGCGGCAACTTACGCATGAGCAACCCATACTCATTACACCTGAGGTACTATTTCTGGGTTAGCGGAGTCTGTAACCTGAAGCGTCTGTAACCCGAGGTACCACTGTATAGCTCTACGTTCCACTTGACTATTTTAGGCATTGTACAGCTAACAGACAAGCTAAAAGAACTGCTCCTGTGGATGTTGCAATTTTTAAAGCTGGGTAACAAATAATGGAAATGTCCTAAGCAGAAACCTAGAGCCCAGAAAAGCTTCCACAAGGCTTCTCTCAACACATCAAATACTGCACTTATACCCACAAGCAAATTTGAAGCAGTGGAGCAGACAGAAAACTGCACCTACCTGTAAAAGAATTATAATACGTCTGGAATACTTCTTGCAGAATACTTTATTGGTCATGGCATTTCAGTGGTTTTCCATACATTTGAGACACAGGAGGACAAAAGCATAGCATTGCTAAGAATATAGTTCCTGATTTTCTTGACACTCACTGTAACTCTTAGTACAATTTGATATTTTCCAGAAAGCCACCTAACTGCTTTCAATTTGCATATTTAATAATCAATATTATGTAAAGTTGATCATTATGTGGTAGACTTATTGAAGGGGTACATCATAGGTCAATAGTTTGATGGAAATTGCTAATGAGATTTTTTTTGGGGGGGGTGTTGTGCAGCAGTTTTCTTATTGAAATCCTCCCCTCTTTCAAGCGGCACCTGTTGATTACCCATGTAATAAGATCCTCTGTTCAGTACACTTCCCTCTGTTGGTGGGAAATGGCAAAACCACAGAACTAGCTGTGCTCTACAAACATCAGAGTTCCCCTCAGAAACCATGCTTTCCAGATCAGTGGTGGATCCCTACAACCTAAATAAATATGGATAAAAAATAACCTTGCTCTGTTGTTTATTGAGCTGCTTCAATTTGGCAGAGGTTGGGAGGGAAGACAATGGATTCTGGATATTAACATGTAGATAATACTGAGTTCTAGAGAACACAAGTAAGTACAAAAATAGCTTGAATATTCCTGGGTGAAATATCTGTGGCATTTGCAGGAGGGCTGAATGTTAGGATCAAACTAGATGTGACACTAAACAAATAATTAGTAACAACATCTCTGTGTTCAAAGCATAGCAGTACAGACTCCTCAATTTCATCTTGACTGTTGTGCACAGGGAGGTTTAAGTTTTTTCCCTCATGACACAGTCCGAACAAAAAATCCTCCTCCTCTACACAACTACTGGCCCCATAAATGGGATTTTTCTCAGGCACACCGGGGGGGGGGGGGGAGGTGAAGCCTTCCTTACCAGTACACTTCAGTCATGACAAAAATAACCTCCCTCCATCATCTATTAATTTTTTAACAACACACAAACATAGTTGGGCTCTGGGACTAGTTGATACACAAGAGAAGACCTGTGGGAAGTGCTGTGCTGTTTCCAGGCACACTCCTGGTTTACTATCAAAGGGAGATGTTTGTGATGGGTAGAAATGGTGTTCATGTGTTTGTAACATTTGCAGGGATGTTGTAAGCAAGGCTGTGCCCATTCTTATGATGGCATTCTCACCTTTTCAAGATTCCTCCACCATGGAAACTGAGGCAACAGTGACCCAGGTTCTAGAGCTTGAGTTGAAGGTACATGACACAGCAATGTTGCTGAACCCAAGTAGATCAGGAGTGTGCCTGGATAAGATACCACTGTTTGGTACACTACCTGGCATTTTATGAAATAAAGGTGGGTTATGAATGAAGATAGATAATTAACTACCATCCACTGAGTGGCATCTTCATATAAGCCTGGCAAAGAGATTTGTAAGGCAATTATCTCATGTGTGAACCAGCCATTTAATAAATTCTAAATCCTGGATATTTATTTAATACTACCCTACATGGCAACTGCATTGCAAAACTGCTTTTACATAAGAGCTGCTCCACACAGTAAAGTTGGTGTATGAGCTCAGTGCACAGGTTAGCCACTGCCCTCCGCCACCATCGTCTGGTTTGTCTCCAGAGTGCTGCTACTTAGTCCTAACAGCAGTCTGACATCCCAGTGTTCGGATGAGCCAGATGGTGGGACTAATAAATGTAACAAACCAATACACATGAATGGCTGCACTTAATTGGGTCCTGAATAAACTTTCAATATCAGAATCCTATCTTGTATCTTGCTGATGAAACACCAGCAAAATCCCCAAGGAACTAATGAGAACTCCAGTTTGCAGAGTTGATGAAAACATGCTTCCCTAGAGAAAACAATGTTGATGACAATGTTGCTATTATGTTCTTGCAGAATTAGAAGTTTGCCCACCTATTATCCTTACTGTATAAGCAGCTGGAATTATCTGCTCCTTGTGTGAAAGCCCAATGTAATGCCATAGATATGTTTAGTTTCAGGAGATGTGCATAAAACCTGGAATTCGGATTGTGGGTTTCTCTACCTTTTAAAACTCTTTGGCAGCTAGCCAGACTCCAACAGGGCAGATAAAATCAGAGCACCAACCCTGTGGAATCCAGGGGACCATGACAATGGAGCATCATCAGAGTCCCAGAATAGGTCTAACCAATGGCGTTTCAAACCATAATAAATTGCTAATTTTGCAGTGAATTGAACACTCACCACTCATCTTACTTCTCACCACCATTCCAGAGAAAACATGAAAACCAGACAGAATTGGAATATAATTTGCTGTCAGAGCATCAGCTCAGTGCATTAGTGTATTCATTTCAGCGCATACACCACACTGATCCCTATCTTAAACTGGGATTAGGAGGACCAGCATGGCTGGCACAGTTAGTGCTGGCATCATGAGCAGGCAATGGACATCTGTCAAAGCCCATACCCCTACAGGGGCCCATTGTCAACCTCTTCAGCTGCCCGGCCTTGCTGCTTCTCTGCTTTGCTATTCTTTCCCCTCAAAGCAAGGGAGCAGTGAGAAGAGTGAGAAGATGGAGCAGCATCGTCTGCTTGCCTTGCCTTCTCCCCCTCTGGGCAACTGTGCTGATTGTGCCAAAGGACGAAGGACTATAGCTCACTGGTAGACAATCTGATTTGCATGCAGAAGGTCTAGGTTCTAGGAAAGACTCCATCTGAAACCCTGGAGAGCTGCTGCCAGTCAGTGTAGACAATGTTCTTAAAGAGAAAGGGAGGCAAACGGGCCTGTTCAGTGACAGGTCTCCCTGAAAGCATCTTGCCTAAGGGCCCTCCAAAATCTGGTGCGAGTTCTGGACACAGTCCAAGCAAGGAATTGCTGCAGGAGTTTTTATGTGAAAACTCATGCAGCCTTATACGGTACTTCAGGGTTGGGAAAAATACTTTCTGCACTTCTGCTTTGTCAGGGTCAGTTAATAGACATCCAACAATGAATGTAAAAGAGAAACCTTTTACTGGTTGCTACTACTTCAAGCTGCATGTATGAATGTTTCACATTCTCTCTTATACAGTATGCTAGTTTTCTGTGTGTAGTGACTTTTGGGCTAGATGGGGAGAAGTATTCTCACCTGCGGCCTGACGTCCAGGAAAAGCATTTTCACTTGATAAATACCGGTAGGTCATCAATTATACAAACTGTAAGTTATCATCTGGATGCAATCTGAAATACCACAAAACAGATTAGGAATTTCTGGAAACACCAAAGAAATGCACACACCCCACACCCACACTTGTAAAAATTACCATAAAATGTTCATTACATTGCATTACTGAAATAAACTTTGAGCTGTTTGCATATTGTTACATGAAAAGGAGTTTGCAAATGTTCCCGAAAAATTGCCTCCATATTTTGTGAGGAAAATAAACGTGTTTGGGCTGCATTCTGCAAATCTGACAAATTGCAATTGAATGGGTTTATTACTAAGTTGATTAAAATATTCCAAAACACAAAACATGCAGGAAGGGGAGAGAATACAAGCCTGGGCAAAATTCTCACAGATCCTCAGATTATCGGCCTTTGTGTGGATATATAGAAAATCTTCACACCTTTTGGCTGACAGCACATAGAACCACCCACATTAACCAGCCCTTCATTCCTGACAGAATAAAGATGACTCACCAATGCCTCTCATTGACTATTTGCATATCAAACAAGCTAGATAGAAAAAGTGAAATAAAAAGCTCCATGTGTCATTGGATTGCATTTTATAGTAATTTTTGTTTTTATTTCCTTCATCTTTTAATGCTGATAGTGCATTATTCTAAATTAATTTTATTAGTTTTACATTTATTAGTTTTATTATTTTTACAAAAGCAGCTTAAAGCAATGTACAGTAAATACATACATTAAAATCAGCATAAAACAAAACCAAGAAACAGCTAAAAGACAACCATAGTTTTAAAAAACAGGGTTAAAACAGTTCTCACCTGGGGTCTCCTGGTTTTCCTGGCGCACTCCAGATGTCAGGTGAAGGGTTTGAATCTCCAGGTGGGTGAAAGCACTTTTAAAAACATTTAAAAGTGCTCAAGGAGGAAGCTGATTTTCTCGATCCATTTCAATTGGGGTATGGTCCCGTTTTGGCACAAAAACAGCTTTGGTTACCCTGTATAATGATCTCTGTTGAGAGAGAGAAACAGGAATGTGCCACTATTAATTCTCATGGACCTCCCAGTGGCTTTTGATACCATCAACCATGGTATCCTTCTGGAGCAGCTGTCCAGGTTGTGGGTTGGCAGCACTGCTTTGCAATGGTTACAGTCCTATTTGGTTGGCTGCTTCCAGAAGGTGATGCTTGGGGAGTGCTATTTGGCCCCATGGAGTCTTCAATGTGGGGTTCCTCAGAGTTTGATTTTATCTCCTATGCTGTTTAACATCTACATGTGGTCATCCATTGTCAGGGACTGACTGGATGAAGAGGAGTGGTGGGAGGCACCAGTCGGGGAACTCCCAAGGGAAACCCCAGAGGGGGAAGTGCTCGTAGCTAGGGGATTGGTGGTGGAACACTGAGGAGAGGTCAGAGGGAGAATAGTGGGAGGAAGGGATGGATGCTGAAGGGGCAACAGGGTTTATTGAGCAGGAAGAACCACTGACAGGGAGCAGTTCAGACTCCAAGGCTGAAGTGGACGGGCCTCCCCTCCTGCTTGGTCTCCAAGAAGGCACTGAATAATGAGGAGGGCAGAACAGAGACCAGAGGTGCACAGACACAGTTTGAGACTGCTTGGGAAACATCCAGGAGAGGAAGAGTCTTAGAAAGGGTTGAAGGCAGGGACCTTTAGTCCTGGAAACTGCTCCATAGAGGCAGGACCTGCTGAGAAGTGTTGCTGTGTTGTCTGCTGTTTCCTTGAATAAAGAGTTAACTGACAAGAGTGTCTTGTGCCTTTCATACTGACCTGCATCTGACTCCAGCCCTGACATCCAGAGTTTTGGAATATGCTGTCAGCAATATGCAGATGGCACACAGCTCTCCTTCACTTTTACATCTCTAGGTGTGACAGTGGATGTACTGGACAGTTGTTTTGCCTTGGTAAGAACGGACTCGATGACAGCTAGTAAACTGAAGATCGATAACAATGAGGCACTGTTAGTGGGCAGTTCCCTAGACCGGATGAATGGATGGTTGCCTGCTTTTGATGGGGTTACACTCTCAAGCAGTTAGTACTTAGCTTGTGGGTACTTCTGGATCCATTGCTGTTGCTTGAGGCTCATGTGACCTCAGTGGTGCAGAGTGCCTTCCATCAGCTTTAAGCTGGTGGCCCAGCTGCACCCCATCTGGACAAGGATTGCCTAAGTTTTGTTGTCTATGTTCTTGTTGTCTCTAGTTTAGATTACTGCAACACATTAAATGTGAGGCTGCCTTTGAAGATGGTTCATCTGATGCCCTTCTTTGTGTGCTCCCTCCATGAGAGGTCTGGAGAGTGGCAGGCTGCCTTAGACCCTTAGTGATTATGTGCTGGCTGGCCTGATATCCAAATGCCTCACACCTGCTCCAGAAGCTGTTAACAGGATGGTGTGAGGCATGTTTACATCATGGGCCAGGTGAGATAGGCTAATAGAGCATAGATAATAAACCCTGCAGCTGCACTACTGCTGGCTGACACTCAGCCGTCAGCTGACCCAGAAGTGGGTCCTCCCTGCCAATACTTATCCCTGAAGCGCAGGCAGCAAGTCAAGTTAATAAAGCAAACCAAAAACTCTTGAGAGTCCTAAAGGGTTTAACCCTTTAGGATGTGCCAATAAGCAATGAAGAAGAATTGTACAAACCAAGTAACCCATCTCCTTGTAATACAAAATTCTTCCACAGTAGGTTTGTCCTACAGATGGCGCCAGATGAGAATTCCATGTGGGGAGCTCCTTTGGGAAGAAGGGCAGGATATAAATTTAATAAGTAAATAAATGCAGTGCATGCTCTGAAACACATGGTCCACCTCACAAAAAAGGTCATGCCTGCCCTTTCTGAAGTGGTAAAGAGCAGCCTCTAGTCCTTAAATGGCTCCATTAATTTCCCCTCCCCATGTCCTATGCCTGAAACTCCTTCCTAGAGCTTCCATGTGGAGCCAGTTTCCCATCTTCCTTCAAATCCCTTCCTAAATCCCTTCTTTTCAGCGAAGCCTAGTTCCTTAGCTACTTTCCCTACCAATTCCCTTTTGTTACCTTTCAGTCCTTGCCTCTCCCATTTCTCCTCTTTCATTTTGTTTTTCCTGCCCTTTCCTCTTTTCTCTCTCTCGCCTTCCCTGCCATCAAAATGTATCTTTGAAGCCTCTTGGGGCAGGAACCTGTCCTTGCTACTTACTGTTACTCTGTAAAGCGCAATGTACGTTGATAGTGCTGTATAAATAAATAATCATAATAGCCCATTACAGTAATTTAGCATCAGGGTTACATAAACAGCAGTTGTTGTGTCTGAACCTGAAAGAATCTGAATAAATTCTTAAAAGACATTGAATTAACAAAAAGCAAAATGTTGGGCATAAGCGTCAAACTACAAAAGACAATAGAGATCCATGATTAGATCTCTAGAGACAGTTGCATTTTTAGTTAAAAGTATACATAAGGGACCCTGATTTTTACTGGAGCATCAGCAGTGCTCCCCCCCTTAAACTTCTCCCAGTGTTTTAATGATCTAAATCACTCCCTCTCTGACTATTTGGCCTGTAGGGGACAATACTATACTACATCCTCCTCTCCCAATGCCATAATTGGAGCAGAGAGAAAGAGGGAGGGGCTGCTTTCAACTAGGAACAGAAAAAGAAGAGGAGTTTGGATTTGATATCCCACTTTATCACTACCTTAAGGAGTCTCAAAGCAGCTAACAATCTCCTTTCCCTTCCTCTCCCACAACAAACACTCTGTGAGGTGAGTGAGGCTGAGAGACTTCAGAGAAGTGTGACTAGCCCAAGGTCACCCAGCAGCCGCATGTGGAGGAGCAGAGAATTGAACCCGGTTCACCAGATTAGGAGTCTACTGCTCTTAACCACTACACCACACTGGCTCTCTTCAGAAACTTCAGAAAGTCTGAGATTGTACAACAGATCTCTTGTGTAGTTTAGCCATGAGATGCCAGAATCTCCACTCTCATTAAAAAAAATAGTTCCTTTCTCTACATTTAAGATAAGGGACTCAGAAGCAAGATTATCTCTTTCAAGGTTTAAGGGGCCCCTTGACAAAGTGGCCTCCTGAGTGGGCTTATCTGGCAAAGAAAAGCAATAATAAATAATAATAAAACCCAACAACTGCCAGGGAGCAATGCTATGTCAAGGGCACTATGGGAAATTAAATGGCTGCCAGCTGCTGTAACCACCAAGTGTAGGGCACCCAGGGCAGACATCAGCACTGATGGGCGCTGCAGGGGCCCAGGTATCTGTCCATGTTTGCCAGGGTGCTGCTAATGCCAGGACAGGCATGCACCCAGGAACTTGCTTCTTCCACAGTAAGTCATCATCAGGAGGAAAAGAGACTGTTCCTCTAAGGTTTAAATGTATGTTATTTCTGGTACCTAAATGCAACAGAATCCAGCCATGTGGTTTAATGCTCCTTGACAATACACCTTGCTATAGTTTTATCAGGAACTACCGTCTGATTTGATTTTCCCTCACCACATCATTTTAGGTGAATATGGGTGAACATGAATGAATCCATTTTTATATTTCATATACTCAGCAGGTAGTTGCAACTATTATTATTCTTCTTTTCAAATGTATTGGGCAAAATATTCATACTGAGTATGAATATACACTGAAGTGTCTGTAACCCAAGGTACAACCGTATTTATATTTTTGAGCTTCTCAGCAGATACTATATTTCCTCTTCTCATCAGTCTTCACAACAATATGAAGATAAAGGTAAGGTAAAGGGACCCCTGACCATTAGGTCCAGTCGTGGCTGACTCTGGGGTTGCAGCGCTCATCTCGCTTTACTGGCTGAGGGAGCCGGCATACAGCTTCCGGGTCATGTGGCCAGCATGACTAAGCCGCTTCTGGCGAACCAGAACAGCGCACGGAAACGCCGTTTACCTTCCCGCTGGAGCGGTGCTATTAAATCTACTTGCACTTTGACGTGCTTTCGAACTGCTAGGTTGGCAGGAGCAGGGACCGAGCAATGGGAGCTCACCCCATTGCAGGAATTCGAACCGCCGACCTTCTGATGGGCAAGTCCTAGGCTCTGTGGTTTAACCCACAACACCACCCGCATCCCATATGAAGATACTGACACATATTTCCATTTTCAGGTGGAGACACCTAAATTATTTTAAAACAAAACAAAATCTGACCAATACTAATTCCCAGAATTAATGCTTAAGTCAAAGTACAATATTGTTGTTGTTTAGTCGTTTAGTCGTGTCCGACTCCTCGTGACCCCATGGACTAGAGCACGCCAGGCACTCCTGTCTTCCACTGCCTCCCGCAGTTTGGTCAGACTCATGTTTGTAGCTTCGAGAACGCTGTCCAACCATCTCGTCCTCTGTCATCCCCTTCTCCTTGTGCCCTCCATCTTTCCCAACATCAGGGTCTTTTCCAGGGAGTCTTCTCTTCTCATGAGGTGGCCAAAGTATTGGAGCCTCAGCTTCACGATCTGTCCTTCCAGTGAGCACTCAGGGCTGATTTCCGTAAGAATGGATACGTTTGATTTTCTTGCAGTCCATGGGACTCTCAAGAGTCTCCTCCAGCACCATAATTCAAAAGCATCAATTTTTCAGCGATCAGCCTTCTTTATGGTCCAGCTCTCACTTCTATACATCACTACCGGGAAAACCATGGCTTTAACTATATGGACCTTTGTTGGTAAGGTGATGTCTCTGCTTTTTAAGATGCTGTCTAGGTTTGCCTTCACCTTTCTCCCAAGGAGCAGGCGTCTTTTAATTTCGTGACTGCTGTCACCATCTGCAGTGATCATGGAGTCCAAGAAAGTAAAATCTCTCACTGCCTCCATTTCTTCCCCTTCTATTTGCCAGGAGGTGATGGGCCCAGTGGCCAGGCATATTTTAATAATTGCATCACAGATGCATCCTACATTTCTAAAGGTTAAGTGATACAGAAAATTATATTATACATCTTTAAGTGTTTCTAGATTTTATCTGACAGTATCATTTTACCACTACTAATTCAAATTAAGTTATCTCTAGTATTGCTGCTCAAACATTATGCTGAGATTTGTCATTCCAGTACAGTATTATAACAAACTTATACTAGGGTTCTAATGCAAATATTTATTTGTGTGTTTGCTGCATCTTCACACAACAATTTATAGTATGTGATCTTATGCCTAAGTACCCTGCGGCAAAGCTATTTCCCATTTCTTGGTTGCTGGCACCTGCTTCTTTTCCCAGTATTTGGTAGCTAATATACAAACTGCCACCATTTTCTGTCATTTTGATGGTGACTATTTCTTTTATATATTTCAAAAGAAAAATTAAAGAATATACCGGTAAATTTTATTTTAAGTGGTTATTTGTTGAATTTTCTTCTGTAACGTTGCCCCAGAATTGAAGCACTTTAAATCCCTTTATCCCCCTTCACAGAAAATTTGACTTAGTAAGTAATATTGGATAGACCAGGGGTAGTTAACCTTTTTTTACCTATTGCCCACTAATCCATCTTTCTTGATAGTAAAATTTCCTTACCGCCCACCAGTGCTCGATGGAAGGAGGATTCAGCTTGTGCCGTAGAACCCCCTACCGCCCACCTAGAATCCTGAAATGCCCACTAGTGGGCGGTAGGGACCAGGTTGACAACCTCTGGGATAGACCATCAGAATCTGTAAACAATGTGACACCAGTGAATGGGAAAAACAAGAGTGGTGAACAACAGGTAATGAGACACAATTTCCTGAAAAGTGATTTTACTTGTCAAAGTCTGAGGTGTTTTGAGTAAAAGCTCTTCTTCAAAAGCAATTGAACATGCTAGGTAGATATTTTAAGAATTACTGCTATTTTCATCCAAGTGTTTGTTTTTCTGTTTTGTTAGTCATTCTGAATTACTCATTTGGAGGAGAGAAACTGGGTACTGGCAATATAGTTTTTTGTGCTTAAACAGCATGTCTTATTTTGCTTGTACCTGTTTTTAAAACATTCATCTCGACCTCTTTTCTCTTAATGCTCTCACAGCTAGGGTAATAATAGCCTTGTAATAATTTCACATCTGTTTATACGGATGCAGATGTCTCCTTCTTTTTCTGTACTCTGACATGGTGGTACACATTCAGTTTCTCTTGTTGTGGACTATACTGAGCTAATGGACCAATAATCTGACTCATCATAAGACAGCTTCCCATCTTTCTGTATAACTGGAGAGAGAAGGTGATGGAGAAGATGTATAATGTATGTCATTTATTTATTTTGCATACATGCATGTTTATGCACATGCACAAAAAGCAGCTTCTGTCTTTTTGAACAAAGAGTTCTCTAAGGATAGGACAATTAATTATAGCCTGACTAGGTTGTGTAAATATAGCTGGCTCATCTCTTGAAAAGTTAGCGGCTCCCTTCCTCCACTGAGCAGATCATCCTAACATATGGCTCAAGAAGAAGACAATCTTTCTTTGGCAGCTACAATCATCTGTCCGGACAGGCACCAGAAGGCAATCTGGTAATCTCAGTTGCGTGTCAGTGCAAAATACTACCAGAAAGTGAGGAGTGCCTTTCTATTCCCAGTTATCTCCAAGCAGATCAAGATTTTTGTTTATCTTTCATTGGTGCCTTTGATGAAAAGGCAGGCACTTTATTGCTGTCCATGATGCTGAGTTGTTTTGACAGGTTAGGGCTGAAAAGGGTCTTGGGTACTTACAAAGAGGGAAAAGGCTAAGTGTAAACTGGCAGAATGAATTGGCAGCAATAGTGCTGGCAGCTCCATTTAATCTGTGCTGCCCTTTGAATATTTGCTTTGCAGTTTACACTAACAGGTTTCAACCTCCAGTTCTGCCAAGTCAATCAAATAGTCTTAACAGCATAAAGTGTCAGCGTTTCTTTTTGTCCTCAAAACCTTGAAACCATTTGCAGTTATTTGGTTGACGTGTTTATTTAATCATTAGAGGCCTCTGTTTGCAAAGGCCCCCACAGAACCTGGCAAAGATTCCTCTGAAAGCAACACAAAGTTTCTTTGTGTTTCTCCAAACAGAAACAGGGATAGAAAAGCTATATCCCCTCAAGTATTTCCAGGAGTTTGCATTTAGAAGAAACTGGTCTGCAAAGTCTTTCTGGCAGCAACCTATCTGGCTGAAAAATACGCTTGTATTAACTCATTCATGCTGCCAGTTAACATTCACTGTTTTCTACAACACATCATTACTTATCAGCAGACATAAATAAAAGAAAAAGGAGATGAGCTCTTTCCCAGTAAAAATCTTGACCATAACACTGACACCATTTAAGACTGAAGAATCATGAGTGCAATGAGAATAGACATTCTTCACATGGTGACCTCCATGCAGGACTTAATTTCTGCTGCAGAATTTGGACTCTTGACAATTTCAGCTTTTTGGTTTTGGAAATGTAGAGTCCACATTACGAGGCTGCCCAGTATTCTTTTGGAACATCCAATTATGTCTCCTGTCTAATTCTTCTATTATGCCTTGCTGATCTCCTCTTCCCATTAAATCATTTGAGGCCAAATAAAAGAACTTCAAAGTCTGTAAACCCCAAATATTGCACTCAGAATAAAACTACAACTTTATCATCTTTTTTTTTTTTTTTTTTTTTTGCTTATAGTGTGGCAAATGCAATTCTAAGCAATTCTGAAATCACTGGGATTTATTTTCCAAGTAAATATCATTAAGACTGAGGTCAAAGCCGTTGTTTTAAAAAGTTACATTTAATTTCTGGATGTCACTAGTTTCCTGTGAGATCCAGCTTTTCCCATAAACCATTTCTTAGTTTTATAGTTTGTGTGTGTGTGTGTGTGAGAGAGAGAGAGCGCGATCATGAAATGGCTAAACATACGAAGCCTGAAATATTAAACTTGAAACCATGAAATAATCCATTTTTAAAGTTATTTCTTAGATGTGTTATATGGAAAAAAAGTGGTTTGGATCCAAACAGCCCCTAGCATGAGCAGAAGGAATGTCTACTAATGTCAAGAGTGTCTTTAATTTCCACAGATGTGCTCTCCCCCCTGCCCTCTCAACACACCCACACTGTCAGCCTATTGCCCACCATTACAAAAGGTCCTCTATGCCAGTGGTTTTCAACTAGTGTGCGATGGCACCCTGGGGTGCATTGAATGATGGCCAGGAGTGCTGTGGGCAACACTGGCCTCTGTCCCTCTTTCCTTCCCTCCCTCCTCTGATGCCCTCTCACATCTTTGCCCTCTCACATCACAACCAAAGGCTTGCACAGGTTTTTATTGCAGCATCCCTGGCTATAAGCTCCACAGGCAAATGGTGCCTCTGTGAAGCATCGCTCTTTGGGGTAGGGTGGGCAGCTAAGAGACCATGGATGACAGCAGCAGCTGCCCAGAGGACTCCCATGGAGAGGGTCTACAAGGAAGGGTAGTCAAAAATGGGTGAGTGTCTTCCAGCTCTGCAGGCAAGGGGTATCATAACTGGACTCCTGAGCCCCACAGGGGTGCTACAGAAAGAATGTAGTTGATTAAGGGAGTCATGGACTCAAAAAGGTTGAAACCCCCCCCCCCGGCTCTTTGCTATACAATGAGTCTAGCATTAATAGTGTTTTGTACTACATGGTTTTGTCTTATGCGAAATGTACATCTCAAATAAAAAGATTTCCTTTGTCTTTAGAAGTATAGCCTAGCTCACTCCTATAGCCTTGCAGTGGTTCGCAAAAGCAAAACAATACCTTCAAAACCTTCAGCAAAGCAGAACGATGTTCTCATGAAAATATATCTTAAACACTCACAACCCTATGATGACATAATTTTGAGTCTACAAAGCAGATAAAACTTGCAACACTTGGCAGCAGGTGGAAGTGTTGAGTTGCTGAGTTTCCTGTGGGATGGTGTTCCTGTTAAACTGTGAGACTGCCACTAGGAAAGCACATGTCACCTGGGGGTTGCAGGGTTCCCTCTTTCCCTTAGTCCAACCACAATCTCAGCAGCACTTGGAGTTGGTTGTAGCAAATGGTAATCTTTATTGCAGTCAGATGTAGTTGCAGGCTTTGTGGTTAGATTCACTCTTGGACAGAATACTTCCTTTTGCTCCCCTCTCATGGCTTTGAGTAGTAGTAGTAGTAGTAGTAGTAGTAGTAATAATAATAATAATAATAATAATAATAATAATAATAATTTATTTATACCCTGCCCATCTGGCTGGGTTTCCCCAGCCACTCTGGGCAGCTTCCAACAAAATATTAAAAATACATTAAAACATCAGTCATTAAAAACTTCCCTAAACAGGGCTGCCTTCAGATGTCTTCTAAAAGTCAGATAGTTGTTTGTTTCCTTGACATCTGATGGGAGGGTGTTCCACAGGGCGGGCGCCACAACCGAGAAGGCCCTCTTCAATGCCCTTGTAGGCCAGCCTTTGGCAACACAGTGCCCGCCAGATGTTTTGGATTATAACTCCTATCAGTCTCAGCCAGCACAGCTAAACTCAGTGCTTTCTATTTAGATACCGTATATATGCCTCACTTTTCCCCCAAATTCCAACCATGTAAAGTTAAAGTGTGGCTTAAATCTGTGACCTTACCAAAACTGGCTGTTACGATATCACTGCTGAAACAAAAATACGGTAAAACGGAACAGGTGTGAGTGCCTGCGGAATTTTAAGGGGGCGGCTTATATTCGGGTATTGTCTTTTTTGCTTTTTACCCCTTGAATTTTAAAGCTGTGGCTTATATTCAGGGGCTGCTTATATTTGGGCCAATACGGTACATTCTAAAAGAGTAGTGCACACTTCTGGTATTCACCAGAGGTGTTTATCTCCTTAAATCCTTTCCTTCATCTATGTTTATCTCCTTTAGGTCTGCATGCACATCATATGTTTAAAACACAGTGCTTCTCCCAAAGAATACTGGGAAATATAGTTTACCGCTCACTAGCACCCTTAACAAACTACAATTTCTGGGATGATTTAGGGGACGTCATGTGCTTGAAATGCGCTTGAAATATATGCGGTGTACACAGCCTAAGTCCCTACACAAAGCTGCTATTCTAGCAAAATCTGTCACTTGAAAGCTCTCTTAGCTGCAACCAGAACAGCACCTGTTACTCTGCACAGTGTGGCTCAGCTTTCTTGTGTAATATACCTCAGTGCTTGTGACATGTATAAGTGAAGATGAGAATTCCTACAATGGTAAATAAACAAAAGAAAAAGACCATTTCCTTTCAGCTGAGAAGCAAAAAGAAAAGGTGGAGATCATGCAGCTCCCATCCTCCAAACATTTTCATCTAAAAGTGCTCATGCTTTTCCCCCACAAAGACTTCAGTGCCAGCCTGATTGTGATAGGTAATCAGCATCTTCAAAGAGAACCCACAGCAGAGAGCCATACAGAGCAAAAGTGGAGTGTATTTGAGACAACAATAATATATTACTTTTTCTATTCCATTCCCATATATAAGGATAAGAAAACAAATCAGAGAGATGAAGAAATGTTTGCTACTCATACTTCATCCTCTCATGCATTTTTTTTTCTTAACAGGACTTTTCTGTGGGTTACTGTCATAAAGCTCAATAGATATTAAACTATCCTTATGGGAGACATATTTGGGACAGCTCTATTACTGTAATATATGGGATTCATAAGGAATGAAGAATGCATATGTATTTTAGGAGATCATAAATGGGGAGAGAAAACATATTGAATGTCTTCAGGTACAGGTGTTTTTTCTCCTAATATGAGGGTCGTTTAGCAAGCCTCTCTTTAGGAGCATAAACCCGACCAAATTCAAAACATACAAGGCTCTGTAATGCCTGTTATGTCCTATTATGGGCTTGCTTTTTTAAACTTGGATTCAGTATTCAAAGGTGTATTTCAATTCCAGGTTATACTTGCAAGTGAGAGTACTACTGCTTCCCTATTGTGGTCAAGATCTTACTACAGCATTGCAGCTGATGCTTTGTTCAATCTGGTTATTTTGGGGGCCGTGTTTCAGTGGAATATTTCTAACCGGCATCTCATCTCATATTAATACCAATAAAGGGGAATGCTATTAGTCTTGGATTTCTTATTCTATGCATTTTTCTTCACTTTCCACTGCAATATTGAAACTGAAAATCAATTTAGGCTTGACAGCAATGGATCACTGCAATTCCTGAACTTTTTACATTGCAATGCAATTTTTTGCTAGAGTCTGCAGTACTACTTCAGAGGGAACATTTAAAGTTTTGCATGATGTAGATGGGTGAGAATCTGAGTAATATCAGCAGCTACAAGTCTCCAGCCAGGAGCGTGAATATATTAGCAAAGCAGTTATGAGCATTGACAAAAGATGTGCCCAGTTTCTTAATCACAGGATTGTCTGTTAGTTTGCAGACTGGTAAGCAGCACCCCTTAGTAGGCTGCATTTTCACATGAAGACACTGGCCCAGTTCACATGTAATACTAAACCAAATCATGGCTTAGTGCAAACACACAGATCTGTGAGCTCCTGGAGAGAAGAACACAAGAAGTTCCCTTATATCAAGTCAGACCTCTGGTCCATCAAGCTCAGTTTTGCCTACACTGACTAGCAGTGACTCTCCAGGGTTTCAGACTGGTGTCTCTCCCAGCCCTACCTGGAGATGCTGGTTATTCAACCTGGACCTTCTGCAGGCAGTGTAGGTACTCTGCCAGTAAGCCAAGGTCCTTCCCCTTCCAATCTTACTACTGCTGTGCTGGGGTGGTAAATTGGATCCAGATGGTGGACCAGATCCTCCCACCCTCATGAGCCAACTGATAGGTGAGTGGGACTGCCCACCTGTCAGTGGCCTGATGTAATGATGAAGCTGGGTGACTGACACCTGTCAATATTCAAAGGAGGTTCCCTATCACTGACTTAGTGTGTCATCCAGACATGGGCTTGTGGTTTGTCTCGTTTCAAACACTGCAATCTGTGGCCTAGGTTTCTTCTATGGCTTAGGGCTCATTGTTTATTTGGAGGAGACACACTATAAGCCAGGGATAGGCAACCTAAGGCCCGGGGGCCGGATACGGCCCAGTCGCCTTCTCAATCCAGCCTGCGGATGGTTCGGGAATCAGCGTGTTTTTACATGAGTAGAATGTGTCCTTTTATTTAAAATGTATCTCTGGGTTATTTGTGGGGTTATTTGTTAAATCCCCCCCCCAAATATAGTCCAGCCCACCACATGGTCTGAGAGATGGTGGACCGGCCCATGGCTGAAAAAGGTTGCTGACCCCTGCTATAAGCCCATGTTTAGACAGCATATGAATCCAAGCCATGGCTTAGCTCACATCTGAGCAGCAGTAGCATAATCAGAGTAGGAACAAAGCAGCAGCAATATCTCAAGATATTTTTACTGAGCCACGGTTTGGTTTAGCATGGCATCCAAACTGGGTCAATAGCTTATGATTGTGTGTGTGTGTGTGTGTGTGTGCGCGCACACACACACACACACACACACACACACACACAAAAGAGCATGCTGTGGGAGCAAGAGTGGGATCTTGGATGTTAGCATTTCCGTTTGGTTGAATTCTTTTTTAGCTAATCAATTGTGATAGAGCAAGCTAGGAAATTAATCTAACCCTATATGAATTTTCATAACATGACAGGGTCCGGTTAATTTGACTGCTTGAAAGAAAACTGATTAGATTTACAGTTAATTTTAACTATGTAATGACTTCAGTATCCAGAACTCAGTATGCATTACAATTATTGAGAAACAAGTGAGAATGTTGCAGTGCATCTCTGGTACTTTTGAGTTACTTGAGCATGTTGCTTATAGCAGTGTTTCCCAACCGGGATCCATATGGCCCCATGGGAGCCCCCAGGATATTCCAAGGGGCCCACAGGTGAAAAATGCATAAATGGGACGCCACAGCATGAGGCTAGGGGGCCACAGAGGGAAGTGAGAAGTGTAGGGGGAAATCATGTGTGTGTGTTCTTTTAAAAAAATCATTATTACTTTTAAAAATCCTGATTGGCTGGCTATCTGCTTCGCCAATCACAAGCGGGTAAGGGGGCGGTCCACCAGGGTCTAGAGCTCCTTCTTGCCATGTGCATTTTCTTGGAGCCGTCCTGGTTTGTTTCTGGCAGGAGAGGGCAATTGCTGAAGCTCCCATTTTGACCAGTAGAGCCAAAACCCCCAGGTCAGGTAAGTGCGGTGGTGGGATAGCAATGGGTAGGGCTGGGCAAGCTGGAGCTGCTTGTTGCTGCCGCCAGTGCTGGACCCGGTAGCAGCCTGGGCCTGACTCTGCAAGATCTTTGAGGTTTCAGACTAAAGAAGAAATGTGTTAACAAGAGCAGAAACTCTTTTAGAGGGTTTTTTGAGAGTGGATAATATTTTTTGAGGGGGAAAGGATCCTCTAAACTCCTGGGTGCCAGATGCTCCCTATAATTCCTGGATTTAGTAAAAGTTAGAATTTAGTAAGGTTTAATTAAGCTGTACTAATCATGGGTAAACTAGGGTAAGTTTACAGTAATGAGCCAGGCCAGCCCAGGAATTTGACTTCCAGTGGAACAGTAGAAATAAAATGTTCTTCAGATCCAGCTAACATTTTTATGATTCTCCTCAGTAACGGGGAAGGATTTGAGAATGTGGTCACTTCTCATTGCATAGATGAGGGAACTGACATGCACTTCTCCATTCTCCTCCTGACGCTTTGTTGCTCTGTGGGAATGAGCAATTCTTGCCCTCTAATCTGGCCATTCTAAGCCTAATATTCTATTTAATATGTTTCTCACATTATCTTTCATCTGTTGACCAGGAAGAAAGCCACTTTGGTCCTCATGTATCACATCTCTCAAAATTCCTTTCAATCTGTTCATCAAAATCATTATTTAATAATGAGATTGGCCTATAGTTTTTTACCTGAAGTAACTCTGTATCTTGTTTTGGGATTAATGTTATATAAGCTTCCTTCCATGTCATCAGAATCTTCCCTTTATTTAAAATATTGTTCATAACATCCTTTTTAATAATATTTTTTATAATTCAATTTTTTATAATATTTCACAATAAGTCCTTCCAGTCCTGGCGCTTTGCCTGTTTTTAGTTTTTTTATCGCTGATTGTATTTCCATTGTCGTTTTTGGTGAATTCAGTTGGTCTTTTCTATCTTTCGGAATCTTCGGTAATTTATTCTGTTCTAAATAATTTTCTATTTTCTCTTTATTTTATTTTCCTGCTTTGTACAGTTCTTTATAAAATCTTAAGAAATTTCTCCTGATCTCCTTTGGATTTTCTATTATCTTATCTTCTATTTTTAACTTATTAATAGTATTTTGTCCTTGTTTCTTTTTTAATTGCCAAGCTAATAATTTCCCAGGCTTGTTAGCAAATTCTGCCTTAGCATTTTTATTTTCCATTCGGCTTCTTGATTAATTAACATTGAAAATTGGGTTTGTAGCATCTTGATATTTTGTTTTATTTGTATACTTCCTAGTTAATAATAATAATAATAATAATAATAATAATAATAATTTATTATTTATACCCCGCTCATCTGGCTGGGTCCCCCCAGCCACTCTGGGCGGCTTCCAACAAAACACTAAAATACAATAACCCATTAAACATTAAAAGCTTCCCTAAACAGGGCTGCCTTTAGATGTCTTCTAAAAGTTTGGTAGTTATTTTTCTTTTTGACATCTGGTGGGAGGGCGTTAAAAATACATTAAAACATCAGTCATTTAAAAACTTCCCTAAAAAGGGCTGCCTTAAGATGTCTTCTAAATGTCAGATTTTTTTTATTCCTTTGACATCTGATGGGAGGGCGTTCCACAGGGCGGGAGCTACTACTGAGAAAGCCCTCTGCCTGGTGCCCTGTAACTTTTCTACTTGCAGAGAGGGAACCGCCAGAAGGCCCTCGGCACTGGACCTCAGTGTCCAGGTCGAATGATGGTGGTAGAGATGCTCCTTCAGGTATACTGGGCCAAGGCCCTTTAGGGCTTTAAAGGTCAGCACCAACACTTTGAATTGTGCTTGGAAACGTACTGGGAGCCAGTGTAGGCCTTTCAAGACCGGTGTTATATGGTCTCGGCGGCCGCTCCCAGTCACCAGTCTAGCTGCCACATTCTGGATTAATTGTAGATTCTGGGTCACCTTCAAAGGTAGCCCCACACAGAGTGCATTGCAGTAGTCCAAGCGTGAGATTACCAGAGCATGCACCACTCTGGCGAGACAGTTCGCGGGCAGGTAGGGTCTCAGCCTGCGTACCAGATGGAGCTGATAAAACAGCTGCCCAGGACACAGAATTGACCTGCGCCTCCATGGACAGCTGTGAGTCCAGAATGACTCACAGGCTGCGCACTTGGTCCTTCAGGGGCACAGTTACCCCATTCAGGACCAGGGAGTCTTCCACACCTGCCTGCCTCCTGTCCCCCAAAAACAGTACTTCTGACTTGTCAGGATTCAACCTCAATCTGTTAGCTGCCATCCATCCTCCATCCGCCTCCAGACACTCACACAGGACCTTCACCGCCTTCACTGGTTCCGATTTGAAAGAGAGGTAGAGCTGGGTATCATCTGCATACTGATGAACACGCAGCCCAAACCCCCTGATGATCTCTCCCAGCGGCTGCATGTAGATGTTGAAAAGCATGGGGAGAGGACAGAACCCTGAGGCACCCCACAAGTGAGAGCCCAGGGGTCTAAACACTCATCCCCCCCCCCACTTTCTGAACACGGCCCAGGAGGAAGGAGCGGAACCACTGTATAACAGTGCCCCCAGCTCCCAGCCCCTCTAGACGGTCCAGAAGGATGTTATGGTCGATGGTGTCGAAAGCCGCTGAGAGATCCAGCAGAACTAGGAAACAGCTCTCACCTTTGTCCCTAGCCCGCTGGAGATCATCGACCAGTGCGACCAAGGCAGTTTCAGTCCCATGATGAGGCCTGAATCCCGACTGGAAGGGATCCAAACGGTCCACTTCTTCCAGGCGTGCCTGGAGTTGTTCAGCAACCACTCGCTCAATCACCTTGCCCAAGAATGGAAGATTTGAAACTGGGCGATAGTTGGCCATATTGGCAGCATCTAAAGATGGTTTTTTTAAGAAGCAGTTTGATAACCGCCTCTTTCAGCAGGTCTGGGAAGGCTCCCTTACAGAGAGAAGCATTCACCACCCCGCGAAGCCCATCACCCAGACCTTCCCGGCTAGCTTTTATAAGCCAAGATGGGCAAGGATCAAGGAGACAGGTGGTTGGTTTCACTCGTCCAAGCAGCCTGTCCACATCCTCGGAGGTAACAGGTAATTGATCCCACGCAACTTGACTAGACAGGACTCTAGCACTCTCCTGCCCTGGCCCTGCTCCCACGGTGGAGTCTACCTCTTCCCAAATCTGAGCGACTTTATCTGCAAAAAACTTTGCAAAATCATTGCAGGAGATCATGTGGCCCGTACTGGGCCCCGATGGAGCAGGTGGTTCTGCTAAATTGCAAACCACCTGAAAAAGTCTCCTGCTGCTGTTTTCTGCAGATGCAATAGAGGCGGTGAAGAAAGTCTTCTTCGCCGTCGCTACCGCCACTTGGTAGGCTCAACATTGAGCTCTAACCTGTGTCCGGTCAGCTTCAGAATGAGTTATCCGCCACCGGCGCTCTAGCCGTCTCAACGATTGTTTCATTGCCCTCAGATCTGTGGAAAACCACGGGGCTGTCCGGGCTCCATGTTTCTTTATTAATTGCTTTTCATTATCAATTATATGATTTAATATTTCCTCATTTTTCTTTTCTCTGGTAGCAAAGATTAATTCAATAAGTCTGCCATCTTCATTTTGAGATAGAGTTTAAATGTAGATTTTATGGCTACAACACTCAGCTTTCTGTTTGAAGATCCCCCATCTGTCTTCTCCACTCCCTGCTCTGTGTAATACCTTTTGTGTGTATATTTCTCCTGATGATGAGTTCCGGAAAGCTCAAAACCTTTCTTGCGATTTTGTGACATTTTTGTTGTCCCAAAAATATTGTTCAGTTGTGTACTTTTTTCTTAAGTACCAGCATATTTTCCATTCCTGTTCAGGGAGTGGTCAGAGGCTTTTCTGGAAATGAGATGTCTCTTCTCCCATTTTCTAGCTGGGGATGATGTAAGCAAGGATGATGTAAACAAGGAGACTGTCTGTGAAAGAGAGAATAGGCAGGCAACTGGAGAGGCAGACAGAGTCAGAGAGTAGAAAAAGCTAGCAGCAGCTGGGGGGGTTGGCTGTCTCCTTGAAGAAATTACTCAGGGAGCAGTAGACTTTTGGGACATCTGTCGGTGTGTTGAAGCTACACCTGCGGTCAACCTTTACATTTGTAAATAAAATGCAAATATTACAAATTGCTGTAAGTTTCCTGTGACCTCCTTCCAAAGGAAATCAAACCGAGGTAAGTGCTTGCATCCCTGGAAACAGCTCACTGCTCAGTGAACCAAGGTGCACATAATAGTTGTATTTGTGTGGTGGAAGGGGTCTCTAAGGCATGGCATCAACAGGTCCACTTTTAAAGAATCATTCCCAAGGTGCAGATAGACAATGAGGTAAGTTTATGCTCCACTGTGGTAAGCAATTACCAGGATTTGATGTAGTCTTAGGTTTATGGCATCACAGATTCACAGCAACTTATCTACCCTTCTTCATAAGTCTTTTGACAGGAAGGAGAGATTCTGAGTCCTTATAAGGCCTATGAGTAGCCTGAGTAAAACATGTCCCAGCCGAGCCGCAGTAGCTGTGCCTCTAAAAGATTTAGTCTGCTGACTTCATCCCCTGCCCTGCTCTTTTGTATTTTGCCTCATAGGTGTGTTGACTTTCCAGTCAAGAGTGTGATTTTGCTCTTGGAAGTACCTGTTTTGTATCTCTATTGTCGGGGACAGATGCCAAAGACTTCTTGGGGTCTCAGACCAACTCCTCTTCTCTGGCTTGGACTAATATTCACAGCAGGGGTGAGTCCAGGAGGTCACTTATAAATCTGCTTGTTGAATTTATTCTCTCTTCGTTGATCCTCTATGTATATAAAAAAAAAGAATCAGAGCTAATAAATTTTGAAGCGAAATGTTGGATTTTTTTCACGTGGGATGTGTTTTGCAGTTCCATGCCTGCTGTTTATGTGCCCAGTGTCCCTTCCCACCAACCCCCACTAGGAAATGTGTATGTGTGTGTTTAGGGGCAAACAGAATTTATTCTTAGAGATGTGCATGTGAGTAAGTGAGTAAGTGAGTGAAGGGGTGGAAGGACAAAGGTAGGACTGAGATGCTTACAGTCCTCCTCCAGTGTGACCCAAGAGCTTGTATATAACGGTTGCGGAGCCTTGGGCTTTTGGCTCTCCTGAGCCACATCATGCTTTCTGACATGGGCCAGATGTGCAGCTAGGGTCCCTTCTTGAAAGTCTCAACAGAAGCTTGTGGAGCATGAGGGACTCTTCATCCCTGTTCACTGCCTTGGATCTTAGAAATGTACCCTATATGATTTGTAATTAGCTCACTGAGGTCTCTCAGTACTGCCCAAAGAAAGTAAGAATCCCATCCAGCCCCATTACCCCGACCTCTCCAGGGACTGTGGCTGGATCTAAAAATATTTTTAAAATGTTTCAGGAAAATGCGTTGTAAACTTCATAATGGGAATTCATGTTGGCGAAAGATGGGACTCCACAGTGCCATCTGATGTCACAGTGTTATAACACATATAAAACGCTTTTTCTTTACTAACGTAGCTGAGGCCTGTCTTTTGCACATTTATGCTGGTTGCTGTGGCAAAATGTTTTGCTGGATAATATTTGAGAAGGCAGATTGTCACTGCACTGAAGGGTGTCCTGTCCAGTAATATGGGGTGGAAAATTTCCCAATACTGAAATAATAACGGTGCTTTATTTTTTCCATTTCATATGTTCATTAGTAATTATATGTGAATGGCAACAATAGTAAAACAATATTACTTAATTAATACAATATTAATCATGCCTGGCAGTTTCAGACTTTATTTTCTAGCAATAAAATAAATGTGCTAAATTAGAAAACTCTAAGGCAGTATATTTTATTCTGCAATGGAAGTGAAACACTTTCTGATGCACTGTAGAAGCCCAGCTTTCCATCGCACCACGCACCACTTCCGCTGCCACCATGTGCTGGCTCTTGCTGAACTCGGTGGGAAATGGGACCCTCCTCAAAGTGTTGCCACTTTCATGTCTTCTCTGCTGGGGGGTGGGGAGCCAGTCAGCAACCTGCACACAGGAATGCCTCCTTCTCAACAGCTGAAGCAGTGGGCGGATTCAGTGCCGCATCTTGAACTTCCACCAGGTGGGTGCTTCTCCCCACGACATGGGTAGACCAGCTCTGCACATTCCCTTTCTCAGAGAACAAGTGGGGAAATCTTTTGCTCTTGCGTTGTTAATTCCTAGCTGTTTGGGTGGCCTGCTTCACCAGGAAGTGAATGCAAATTCCTTGGGCAAAAAGGCTTGACGCCTGGAGGGCAGAAAGAAGTTGGATTGCTGCTTAATTCCAACCCTCACCACTCCCTGGTAGTGCTTTGGCTGGGGCTCTCAGGGTCCCCCAAAGGAGACAGGAGTTTCTTTACCTAGTTCCTTTGGGGCCAACATACTTACTGCAGAATTCCTGTCCCATTTTGAATTTTGATGCTCTCTCCTCTCTCTTCCTGTCCCCACCCTCTCTTTATTTCCTACCGTCCCATGTCTCTCTGACCTGCTAAAGTCCAAATCAGGAGTTAAAATAAAAATGGAGGGGGGATAACCCATCCTTAAAACTATTACTCACATGAGACAAAATTGTCATGGGAAAATGACCTCGCACAGACACACAAACAAACCCATACTACTTAATGACACTGGCTAGTGTGTGCATGTGTGCATGTTTATGCCAATCTCCCTCCAGACCAGAAAGTTGCAGGTCTTGCTTCCCTTCTACCTCCTCATCCTTCTTGGAGCTGGGCCCCTCTGCCTTGTCCTGCTAGCTCTTGCTAGCTCCTTCTCAGAGGATGATATTCCTCATGAATTATAACGGCCTGTGGCCCATTCTTTCTTACTTTTCAAAGTGTGTGTGGTGGATAATTCCTGGAACTCCTGAGAGCTGAATGTAAAGCAGAATTCATTTTGTAGCTGTCTCAGAATAGTTTACTCCATATGATACTCTTGCAGGCACATAAGCCCAGATCCCCGTAGAGCAGGCTGTGGGTAGGTGGCAGTCCTGGCTTCACCCCACTGTTCTGACAATCAGAGTCTTTGGAGAAGCTGTACCAGGGAGATTCAGTTATTTTTGCTGCCAGACTTGAAACTCAACCAGTATAATGCCTTTACAGTGGTACCTCGGGTTACAGATGCTTCAGGTTACAGACACTTCAGGTTACAGACTCCGCTAACCCAGAAATAGTACCTCAGGTTAAGAACTTTGCTTCAGGATGAGAACAGAAATTGTGTGGCGGCGGCAGCAGCAGCAGCAGGGCAGCAGCGGGAGGCCCCATTAGCTAAAGTGGTACCTCAGGTTTCAGATTAAGAACAGACCTCCAGAATGAATTAAGTTCTTAAACCGAGGTACTACTGTATATACTGGTAAATCTGTTGAACAGGACTCAGCTACATTAGTAAAGAAACAACAATTTGAATGTGTTATAAATTTTTATATGTGATTTTCCATAACACAAGGCTTTTCTCTTTTGTTATAACAATTTAATTTCTGACTTATTTATAGTGTTCTTCCCCCCCCTCCAATGTGTAGATCCATCCACAGTCTCATTAAGCTCTGCATACAGCTCCAGTTCGTGCCTCCACCCCCCACCCCAGTGTAGGATGGAAGGCAAATAAATCAAATGATAAGGAACTGAAACACCTTCCCTTCAAAGAAGAGCTAAAGCCTTTGAGATATGTTTCAGTTAAGAAAAAGGGCAACTAAAGAGAAAGGGAGTGAGAGGGGAGTGGAAAAAGCAGAGAGAGAGGCAGCCTTTTGAAATAAACATGCAATATTATTAGTTCATACTTATATCACATTTATATCGGGTCATAAACATGAGAGATTATCAGCATTACTAAGAGCCTGACCCGATTTCTTTTTTTGTCTTATTTTGACTCTCCAGATGATCTACTGGTTCCTGTCCTTTGACCACTTCAGAGAGAAGCACATGCCTCCTTCCCCTGTGGGTGCCAAGTCACTCCCGGATCCCTTTATGGAGTCTCCAGAACTGCGGGCGCTGCTCCAGCTGCTCCATTGGCCTGCTCCACCTGAGGATGCTGTAGCCTTTGCTTCCTCCACCAGTGCTGAGAAGAGCCACTACCGGCTCTTGCAGTCCCAGAGCAACTACACAGTGGGTAACATGCTCCTGGTGTCGCTGGAGGCCCGGGACCAGAGAGGGCAGCCAAAGCACTACGGAGGAGACTTCTTGAGGGCCAAATTGCATTCCCCAGAGCTGAAGGCGAGTGTGGCAGGGACAGTGGAGGACCACAAGAATGGCACCTACACACTGACTTTCCCGCTTCTGTGGGCAGGTGCGGTGCAGGTGTCTGTGCGTCTCATCTACTCTAGTGAGACTGTGGCCCTCCTTCGGCGCATCCGTGACTCCCATCCCTCCACAGTAACTTTCAGGGGCTACTTTGTGGACCCAGGCCAGGGGAGCAAAGAAGAAGTGACTGAATGCAACGTGCATCCAGTCTCAGGCCCAACCTGCCAGTACGTGGATCCTGGCACTGGGGAGCACTGGTTTTGTGCCAGGCCCCAGCATCACTCCTGCAATGACCTTGTGTACCACTCTACTGGGATCTACAAAAATGTGCTCTCCTCAGCAGAGAAAGTCTTCCTTAGTGGGTGAGTGCTTTGGAGATGGCTAGGAATGGGGAAGGTAAGCTTATGGCGTGGTGATAGCGATGCAATGCCAGGATTTCTTATGGAAACCATGGGAGTTTTTCTAGGCCCTTGGAAGTAGAGATGGTGTCAAGTCTACTTATGGTCTCTTGGGGTCTGGAGTGTTATGTTTGTTCCTGGAACCACTCTGCCCTCCTCCCTGTGTTACAAACCCTACTTTTCCCATCTTCAAGATTATTTCATACCATCAAAAATTATGTCCTTTCCCAAGAAGGGGCTGCCATTCATTGGAGCAAAAGAATGAATGTGTGTGTGTGTTTTTATTTCCTATGCTTTCCTGTGTGTTTAATTCCTGTACAGAACATAACTGGGTATGTGAAGATAAATACCTTTGTTCAGTTTATTCAGCTGTGCAATATGATAGGTCTTTGAAACTTAAATTTGGAGGAGCCAGAAGGCAGGCACATTGTGGAGAAATGCCACTCCATCTTTCACAGGGCATGGAGGATAGTTTATTGTAATGCTTAAGGTCTGAAGCAGGCATAGGCAAACTCCGGCCCTCCAGATGTTTGGGACTACAATTCCCATAATCCCTAGCTAACAGGACCAGTGGTCAGGGATGATGGGAATTGTAGTCCCAAACATCTGGAGGGCCGGAGTTTGCCTATGCCTGGCCTGGAGGGTTAAATGAAAGCAAAAATGTCAGCAATAGGAGCATGTGATCAGATAACAAAATGTTAGTAATGTTCATGAGCACATTTCAAAAAAATAATAATTGCAAAAATCACAATTGCAAATCACAAAAACAGCAAAAATAATGCAGCACCAAAATCAAATCTTGGCCCCAACAGAAACCCATAAACACTACCCCCTCCACATCTGTGGTAACATTGTCCTCTGGACTTTGGACATACACTTTATCCATTAATATGAAAATCAAATTAAATTAAACACAGATTGAGAGATTGCCTGTAGAAGGTGAGCCAGTGTGACCAGTAAGCAACAGAACCCAGCATAGGATTCCTCAGACATGCTATAGCTACAACACCCCTTGGTCTTTAACAACGTGATGAGCTTCAAAGAAGAAACTCACACTTCAGCAGTGATGCAGCTCAAGTTGCCCTGTTCTTCATTCCTCTCTGTTCACACAGAGCTGCGGCAGAACGGATTATTCCAGGGAGTGTGCCCATCATCCAAGTGCTGCCTAGCCATCAGCTGACTGTTGGTGAGTGGAAATAGATGGTGGGAAGTCAGTTGGCTCTGTGTTTATATTCTTAAGAATGGCACTTGTGACCATCCCTTGCCTGTGTTCCTGTAGCCACCTCCCCACCGCTCCCATGCCACCCAGGCCTTGCCCTCACCAACCCTTCAGGTTTCTACTACAAGGATGTGTGGGTTTCCTTGGGATGTTCTAGCCGGACCTTCCCTACTTCTGACTTGGCACTCAGCTGCTTGCGAGGCAAGATAGTCCATATGATTGGAGACTCCACACTACGCCAGTGGTGGGAATTCCTGCTGGCCTTCATTCCATGTAAGTCACTGTCTGGATGTGGAAAGGGCATTGTCTGGGGGGACAGGTGTCCTGGTGTGGGGATAGATGTATAAGAAAGGTACGGTTGAGCTTCAGAACCGGAATGAAGGAAAGAGAGGTTGGTGTGGGAAGTGGTGAGAATTGTGTTGGCTGGGGTGGTTGGCTTTGGCAGAGAACTAAGAAGGAATGTTTGGGGTAGGAGAACAGTGAGGGAAGCTGCTCCCTCACTGTTACACATGTGTAAGGGTATGCAAATCATGGATCAGAGCACATGAGAACATTTGATGGATGACTGGAGTGTGGAGCTGTCCATTTGGGACTCTAACTCTTGAGTCTCTCACACACTCTGTCTTTCTCTTTCTCTGTGTAGCAGTCAAACGCATAGACCTTCACATGACCTATCAGTCTGGCCCACTGCTGGCCGTGGAGCCAGCACAGGGCCTTGTGCTGAGGTGGCGTGCCCACGGCATTCCGCTGCGCACCGCGAAGTCCAAGATGGCTGACATGCACTACTTGGCCAATGAGCTGGATGCACTTGGTGGGGGCCCGGACATGGTGGTAGTTTTCACGCTCTGGGCCCATTTCACCACCTTCCCCGTGGATGTATATGTGCGGTGGGTGCACAGCATTTGGCAGGCTGTGGCTCAGCTCCTGGCCCGCAGCCCCCAGACCACCGTTGTCATCAAGTCAGCCAACACAGGATACAAGTCTGTCTATGGCAGTGACTGGCTCTCCCTGCAGCTGGACAACATCCTTTGTGCCATGTTTGCAGGCATGAAAGTGGCCATTGTTGATGCCTGGGCCATGACCTCCTGCCACTACCTGCCTGATAACATCCATCCTGGCAAGGTGATTGCACAGAATGCGGTCAACGCCTTCCTCTCCTATGTCTGTCCAGGGAAGTGACTCAGAATGGAGTAGTCTTTGTACAGCAGAAATAGTGGTAAGAATTGTGTTGGCTGGGGTGGTTGGCTTTGGCAGAGAACTAAGAAGGCTAGGACAGTGATGGCCAAACTTGGCCCTCCAGCAGTTTTTGGACTACAACTCCCATCATCCCTAGCTAACAGGACAAGTGGTCAGGGATGATGGAAACTGTAGTCCCAAAACAGCTGGAGGGCCAGGTTTGGCCATCACTGGACTAGGAGAACAGTGAGAGAAGCTACTCTCTTACTGTTACACATGAGTAAGGGTATGCAAATCATGGATCAGAGCACATGGGAACCTTTGATGGATAACTGGAGTGTATAGTTGTCCATTTGGGACTCTAACTCTTGAGTCTCACACACACTCTGTCTTTCTCTTTCTCTGTATAGCAGTCAAGCACATAGACCTTCATGTGACCTATAAGTCTGGCCCGCTGCTGGCTGTGGAGCCAGCACAGGGCCTTGTGCTGAGGTGGCGTTCCCATGGCGTTCCACTGCGCACTGGGAAGTCCAAGATGGCTGACATACACTACTTGGCCAATGAACTGCATGCACTTGGTGGGGGCCCGGACATGGTGGTGGTCTTCACACTGGGGGTCCATTTCATCACCTTCCCCGTGCATGTATATGTGCGGCGGGTGCACAGCATTCGGCAGGCTGTGGCTCAGCTCCTGGCCCGCAGCCCCCAGACCACCATTGTCATCAAGTCAGCCAACACAGGATACACTGTCTATGGCAGTGACTGGCTCTCCCTGCAGCTGGACAACATCCTTCGTGCCATGTTTGCAGGCATGAAAGTGGCCATTGTTGATGCCTGGGCCATGACCTCCTGCCATTACCTGCCTGAAAATATTCATCCTGGCAAGGTCATTGTGCAGAATGAGGTCAACTCCTTCCTCTCCTATGTCTGCCCAGGAAAGTGACTCAGAATGGAGCAGACTTGGCACTCTATTTCTGCAGAGCACATGGAAAAACTTCCACAAGGAAGAGGGGATCTCCAGAGAGTTTCCAATGAGGATGGGACACCCTTTTGTCATTCTTCAAATCCCGCAGACCTTTCTGTCTCTCAGAAGATATGGAGGAAGATGATGGCTTTCTTATGGAAGAACTTGCCAATACCTGTTTTGGGTGGGTGGGAATTTTACAGCATGGAATAATAGGACGTGATCATCTGGGGCTTCTTCCTGCAGAAAAAGGGCTGCTGCTTAAGGTGAGATGAAATGGGTCCATCCTTCTCTGAGATGAATCTACAGGGCTGGGTGCCTGGACAGCAGTGTCCCTCTACTGGACCACATTTGCACTTGAGACCTTCACTGTTGATGGGAATGAGGCCCAGCCCAAACTGTGTTCTTATGTAAGAAGGCTTGTGTGGCAGCCAGGGGTGGAGGAAGGGTGTGTGGTGGTGGGGGACCATCCTAGGTGTCTTCGCTGTGGGGGGTGACATTTGGCGCACCGCCCGCCCGCGACTCCCAAGCCTACCCCAAAACATTGGGGAAGGGAGAGAGCTGCACTGCTTTGCTGGGGTCATTCCCCCCCCCTTCCCCCTTCATTTTGACAGCTGGGGGAGGCTTGGGAGTCGCGGGCACACGGTGCACCAAATGTCCACCATCGACGGCAATTGGCTGAAGGGCGCGCGCGCTGCTCTGTGCACCTGAGCAGCTATCCCATGCCTGGGAGGGCACCCTCTGTGCCCCGCCCCCCTCGGGAGTGCACCCGCCCTGGGCAGCGTGGGCATATGCTTCGCTGCTGGTGGCAGCAGCAGCACTGTAATGGACTGGAGAGCCCAACAGCTGCCTCTGCCAGGGAAGCTCAGTTACACAAAGGGTTTGGACAGCCTCCCCCTTGCAAGCTGGTATCCCTAGTGGGAGCAGCAGCAGCTCTGTAATGAATCACTACCAGGTAAGCCTGCCAATGCATGAGCACAAGGGTGTGGGGAAACTGCCAGCCTCCCCCTCACACCTGCAAACATGCTTAGCTGACTGTGGTGCTGTAATTGTCCAGGGAGCTCAGTGGCCACATGTCTGCCTGGTCCCTTACAATGCTGTCATTGCTGCTAGGCAGCCACCTTAGCATGTGCAAGGGGGTGGCTAGAGCAGTTTCTCCAGCGGGGGGGGGGGGGCAGCTGCAGTGAGCACTGAATGGGGGCAGTGACAGGAAGTCAACTCTGGCAAAACAGAGAAATCACACCCACCCAAGGGCATACTTAGGGGGTGCTTAGGTTGACCCCTGCCAACGGTGCAGAATACCTAGGAGCCCATGGAATTGGCGGAAATGACTGGCAGAATCCGTGATCAGGGAGAAGAGTCGGTGGAAGAAGATTGGAAGAAATTCAAAGACTATTTACAGAAATATTGCAAAATTAAAGAATGTTAGAGTGATGTTGGATTGAAATTAAGTGGCTTCTAGCTGTACAGGCTTTAAAGTTAAAGATAGATTAAGATTAAGGATTAGGACTAAAAAAGTCAAAAGAAATGGAAAATTGGTTTTTAATAGATTAAAATTCAATGTTATATTATATTAAGATTAAGGATGGGATTAAAAAGGAGGAAAAGGAATTGCTGGACAAACAAATTAAATCAGAATACAATAGAGGGAGGTATGAGGAGGTCCGGGAAATAAGTAAATGTAAAAGTTGTGATGAAAAGACGGAATTGTTTTTAACTGTTTTTTCTTTTTTCTTTTTGTATCTTGTATGGTGGTTTTTTTTCTTTTTATTTCTAAATTTCTTTATTATTAAGATGTTTTTTCATGTGAAATTCCAATAAATATCATTAAATAAAAAAAAATACCTAGGAGCCCACCCTTCTATCGGCACACTTCACAAGCCACTTCTGGTAGAGTGCTAAAGGAGATGAAAATAAGCTTTTTGAGTTTCCGGTCCATGGTCTCTCCTGGCTTTGGATGCACTGATACAGCTCCTTGCCAAGAGTTCAAGAGAACCTAGGTATGTCTCAATTGTTTCTATGTGTAATCAGAAGCATGTCCAGTCAAGTTCAGTTGGACATTCCTCCAGCTTAGAGGGCTATAGGATTGTAGCCTGAAACAGCTCCAGAGATTTGTTCTTCCACCCTCCAATAAGCACTGTGTTTGAACATAAAAGGAAAGCCCTGGTGGCTACTCACCTGACTTTGTTAGTATTGACTAGGGAACATGAATGTAGGGGAGATTTCAGGTTTGCATCCATAACATGCAGTAATTGCTCACTACAGATGAAGTGTGCTAAATTTTGTTGTGTCAGCACTACAGAGTATACGTGTGTACACATACAGGCACAGCATTCAAGCACACATACACCAAAGCAAAGTTTCTCAGAGTGTGAAATGTAAATCATTTGCCTATAATTTGAAAGTGCCTTCTGTTGAACACAAAAGCATTTGATTATCTAGCTTTTATTTTTTTAATGTGGCCATGATTCTAATGTTGTATTTGTGTATTGAGTGTTTTACATAGAAAATGGAATTGAAATAATAAATATTATTTGTTCATATTTTGCTTTTGAGCTCATACTTAATTTGTTCACTTTGCCACTGTGGATTGTAACAATAAACTTGGAGCAAAACCCATTTAGAATGTACATTACGAGAATACAGTACTACTGGAGACTAGTAATAGCTGTCTCCTGAAAGGCAGGCTCCCAGGTTTGCAAAAGAGCAGCTTCTGTCTCCAAAAAGTAAGCCATGGTGCAAAGGCAAGAGAGGGGACATACTGCTGAATTGAAAGAGGTGGTGTGTTTTGTGGGGGCAGGGAAGGGGGGGTGAGGTGAGCACTCTCTCACCACCACAGTACATTCTCTTCATCCAAAGAAACATTTCAGTCCATCAAAGCAGAACTGGAGAGGAGTGGCCTGAGTCCCGACAGGCTGGGAGGGCTGCATGTGGTCCCTGAGACTGATATTTCCTATCAGTGCTTTAACCCATTGTTTCCCAATCGGGGACCATATGGTCCCCTGCCCCCCCCCCCCAGGATATTCCAAGGGGGCCATAGGTGAAAATTGCATAAATGGGGGTGGGGTGGGTCACGGCACAAGACTAGGGGCCACAGAAGGAAGTGAGAAGTGAAGAAAACACTGAGAAAAGAAAACAGAAAAGTGAAGAAAATAGAAAACAGAGAAATGACCAAGCTTCCCAGTGGATGGATTGCCATGCACACTCTGCGGCAATGTCGCTTCCGCTTCTCCCTCCAACTTTCGCACCCCACCGCTGCATGCACCAAGATGTCCGCATCTTGTATGTCATGGTGCATGGCTACAGCAACGTTAGTATGAGGGGCTGCTGTTTCTTTGTGCAAGCATTACTACGAAAGGAGGTATGTTGCTGCATGCAAGAGTTACACAGCCTAACGCGGAATCTTGTTAATATAATGGACAGAGGTGACCTTCGGTTATCTCTCACAGCAACACAACCGGATATTTTAAAAAGCTTGTTTCTGGTCATCAAGCGCAAGGGTCACATTGATCAAGAAATACTTAAAGTATAAATTGCTATGTAATTGTATTTTGTATAAATTATAACAATTATAAATAAAACATGTTCTACTTACAAACAAAACATTTAAATAGCTACCTTTTTACTGGTAAGACGGGGAGCGGGGGCACAAGAAGGAAACAAAGTCGGAAGGGGGCCACAGAAAAAGGTTGAGAAACACTGCTCTAACCCACCCCCCTAAACAAATGGCAATTCCTGGCCGGGCATTTTGTGGTTCACCTCAGGCAGCAGAGTGTCTTGGGCTGACCCTGTCCCCTTGCTTCATGAATTGTTTGGCATGAAGGGGAGATTCTCAGTCCTTATAAGCCATGGGCATAGCTGGGGGGGGGCAGCTGCCCCCCTAAATCAATACAAATCTGAGGTTCTGGCCCCCCTAGCAAAAGCCTGACCCGCCAACAAAAATCCTGTCTACGCCCATGTTATGAGCCCTGTGAGTAGCCTGGCTGCAGCAGATTCACTTAATGTCCCAGATGAGCCTCAGTAGCTGTGCCTCCAGGAGGCTTAGTTCACTGACTTCCTCCCCTGCCCTGCACTTGTGTGTTTTGCCCCACAGATTGAAGTACCTGTTTTGTATCTCTATTTACGGGAAAGTCATGCAAGAGGGAGGAAGCAAAGAAAGATGGGACAGATGCCAAAGGCTTCTCAGAGTCTCAGACCAGCTCCTCTTCTCTGTCTTGGACTAATATTCACAGCAAGGGTGAGTCCAGGAAGTCAGTTATAAATCTACCTCAATGAATTCATGTGCTGTCTATAGATCTTTGAAAAAAGAAACAAAGAAAGAACTGATATGTTATAATTTATGATAAATTTTGAAGGCAAATGTTGGGTTCTTTCAGGAGCATAGGGAGCTTTCCCAATTCAATAATTTCTGGATAAATTTCCTGCCCACTGGCCCTGGATTCAGATCCTGGGGGGTGGGGGTGTCCTTTCCTTGGGCAAGTGGTTGAGATGAATGGCATTTTGAGTTCCCTTCCCCTGTAGAAATCCAGCTTTTTCAGCAGCATTACAGCCCTTTCTCAGAGAACAGGTGGGGGAATCTTTTGCTTTTGAAGAGTTAATTCCTGGTTGTTTGGGTGGCTCCCTTTACCAGGAAATAAACATAAATTCACTAAAGGCTTGACTTATAGGGGACAGAAGGGAACTTGCAATTTTTGTTTAATCCATGTGCTCACCTCTCCCTGGTAGTCCTTCGACTGGGGCTTTTAGGGTCTCCCAAAGGAGGCAGAAATTTCTTCATCCAATTCCTTTGGGGCCAATGTGCTTGCTGCAGAATTCTTGTCTGATTTTGAATCTTGTTGCTCTTTCCCTTCTCTTTCCCCTGCTCCTCACCCCCAATCTCTCTCTACTTCCTCTCCTCTCATGTCTCTCTAACTTCTTGAAGACATGCAGACCTTGTTGCTAAGGGGGACAAAAATGGGACGCAACCCCCTGCATCCTTAAAACAGTTCTTGGGACAAGACTTCCGGGTCAGCGCCATCGGTGAATGGCGGAGTTCCTCCGACTGGAGGAACGGTCTCTGTGGAAACTGGGTCTTCCCGCCGCGGCGAAGGCGGGGGCCCTTTAGAAATCCCAGGCGGGAGAAGCCTGGGAACGTGGGTTCCGGCAGCACCAAAGCGCCTCACCCACAAGGAAACCCATTTTCGGGTCCGAGTGAAGGAGTGGAGAAGCAAAGGCGAATGATTGCTATTTCCATGGAGGGAAGCCGCGAGCCACCGCCGGAGAGCGCTGACTTTTTCCTGGACACACTGGACCTCCAAACTGGCACCAGGAGTAAAAATGAGAATTGGACTAAGAAATTTTTAAATTCTATGAAATTAGGCACGAAGCGGGAAGGTGTAAACAGGAAGTCCGCTCCCGTCCCCAGACATACAGCTTCTGAAGCAGATCTTGCAACCTAATAGCCTGAAAAGTTCTTTTTGTGTTGGAAAATTTCCTGCACCCATAACCAACAAACCCCTTGGAAGGCAGGAGAAGGGGGATTTGACAGCTTAATCCTGCAGGAAGAGAAAAGGATTGTGGTGCTCCACCACCTAAACCTGGGGATGGGGTGTCGACAAACGCTTGAGACGTCCATTGACTGAAAGTGGAGTACTTTTGACAGATAGTTAAAAAGAAGAAGAACAAAATTAACTTCCAACGCTACCTCTGCATTTGCTCTTAAAGAAACAAGATTTGAAATTGAAAGGACCTGAAATTTAAAGTAACTTCTTTGTTGGATACTTTTTAAAAATAATAATGGATACAAACAGAAATTGTGTCCCCAGAGGAGCCCGCCAGCCTGGTGCCTAGCTGCATATGTGAGATTTGGATCGTGGGGAAACACGTTTGACCTTGTTCTGGAATAGAAAATGTATTGGCAGGAAGGTTTGGTGTCTGCCTCGTGACTAACAGCCTTGCGGGAGCAGCTGCACGAAAGTGAGTCTGATGAATGAAAACTGGATTTTATGAATGCTGTGGCCAGCCAATATGATTTAACAGGGAATGAGGATGAACCTGGCTTGACAAGGCAAGTCCAAGGGCAGATGGAGGAGGAAGAGGCAGTAGCTATCTATTACACAACACAAATGGAAAGACCCAAAGCTTTGCAGGAACAAAAGCTACTGCGTTGGAAGATTGATTTTGGAGAGTGCTGGGAAGCATTTGAAGTTAAGGAAGCTTTTAACTCCAGTGTGACTGTGAAACAGGTGAATAATTATTTTTTGGATATATACTTTTTGGACTACAAAGATGAAGATTGGGAGTGGGACTGGGGGGAAGGAGACAATATAATGAAGGAAAATGGAAATTATTACTGGATGGAACCCTCCGGAGACCCACTCCCCCAGAAACCAACAATAGACAAAGAATTGCGTAAGCACAAACAAGAACAAAAAAATTTGCAGAAGGGGCCTAGAAGAGATTTAAGGGCCTCGGACATCAGAACACCAGATTGATGGACTATGTAACGGACAGAAAGGACTGATATGACCGAAACCAGGAAGATGGGACGTTGGATGAAAATCATAGAAATTTTTATGTTAATTTTGGAATTAGTTTAATATCAATGAAACTTGTCTAATATTAATGAAATTTGAGGGAATATGCTGGAAAGGAACCAAATTGGCTTTAGTAGAAATGATTTTAAGGAGAAATGTATGAATGTGATGTGATTTCGAAATTTAAGATTTTTAAGATAAGATAAGGTTAAAGATTAAGGCAAATTGAACAACAGATTATATTAAAAGAGGGAAAGGTTACGTTGATTAACAAATAAGATAGATTGTGAAGATTAATTATTTAAATTAAAATTGAGAAATATGGGAAGAATTTGCTGAAATAACGAATTAAACTAGAATACAAAAAGGGAGGTGTGAGGAGGTTCAAGAATCAAGCAAATGAAAAGTCGAAATTTGAAATTTGTATTTTCTATTTTCTTTTTTTTCTTACTTTATTATTTTTTATTTTTTCTCTTTGGGGTTAGGGTTGGGGATTTTTTTATGTATTGATGAAACTTTGAATAAATATCATTTTAATAAATAAATGAATAAAACAGTTCTTGGGACAAAATTGCCATGGGAAAATGACCTGCAACAGATACACATACTACTTAATGACACAGCTAACACTTATGCGGGGTGTGTGTGTGTGTGTGTGTGTTTTTGCTAATCTTCCCCGGGACCAGAGAGCTACAAGACTTGCTTCTCTTCTGCCTCCTTGCCCCTGTCTGGAGCTGGACCTTCCCTTCCCTTCCTGCTGGCTCTTGCTAGCTTCTTCTCAGAGGATGCCATTCCTAGCCCTTCCTAACCCAGACCGATTTTGGTTTTAAAAGGTAAAGGTACTCCTGACCATTAGGTCCAGTCACGGACGGCTCTGGGTTTGGGGAGCTCATCTCGCTCTATAGGCCAAGGGAGCTGGCGTTTGTCCGCAGACAGCTTCTGGGTCATGTGG